GTTAACCTTTTGACTATTTTGAGATGATGGCTTGTAGACATTACCACATTTGTGTGATGTACTTTTACAATCTTCTGAAACTTAATAAATTATGATCCAATTTGCTTGGGTGCCCATTGCAGATCTTTCCATCTACTGAAAGAATTGAAAACATCAATGATCAGTACTGGACTTTACGAGCAGAGGAGGTATATCTGTCTCTCTACCTCGCCTATTTTGTCTCTTGTTCTGTTATCGTTCAAACATTTTCTGCATTTTTATCTGACTTATCTCTTTGTTCCCGATGGAAGTAGATTTTGGTTTTTTGGAACATTTTGCCCGCCTCTTTTTTAGTTTCAGATTGTACCAAATTAAAATGAAGTGATAGTCATGCTATGGCTGAAGTACATTTGTAATTGAATGAGATAATCGTTTTACTGCTTTTGCTGTTATGGAGCCTTTTCAGTGGCGTAGGTTGTTTGGATTGATAATTGATTTAGAGGAACATCATCTGCATTTACCTAGTTGTGCAGGTTATTTGAATGCTTGAGATGAATAGTTGCGTTTGAGCTAAATTAGTAAAATATAAATGCAAGTTTTCGCTTGTTAATGACTCGGAGATGCTGACCTTCTTTTGCTATCTTGTGAAATTTCAGATACCTGATGAAGAGAAGAACATTGGTCCCAATGATCGGTTAATCCATGTATATCATTTTACTAAAGAACCCGGACAAAATCAGGTGGTAGATCGTATCACTCTTCAGTTACTTGAAAAGTTATATGGGGGTCCGGTGTCTTGGACCAGAGGTTTTGAAAACTTTGTTAACCGTCCTTTCTTTTGCAGCAAGTACAGAATTTCGGCGAGCCCTTCTTTTTGGTAATCCATGAAGGTGAAACTTTAGAAGAAATCAAGACCCGTATCCAAAAGAAACTTCATGTCCCTGATGAGGACTTTGCTAAGGTATGCATGACTTTTGTCTGATTTGATAAACAGACAAAGATGTTAATAAGCTTTTTGCATTGTTATAATTGGTGGCGGAATTAAATCATTGTTAATGCGTTTTTTTGTCTTATCTTATTTAGTGGAAGTTTGCATCTTTTTCAATGGGACGACCCGATTACTTGCAGGACTCAGATGTAGTTTATAATCGCTTTCAGGTAAGACTGTTATCTTTGATTCTTTTCAAAAAGTAATTCGTGATTTAACTCGTTTATTTTTGGAAACTAAAAATGACAACAGAGAAGAGATGTGTATGGTGCGTGGGAGCAGTATCTTGGGTTGGAGCACATTGATAATGCTCCTAAAAGGGCTTATGCCGCAAATCAGGTTAGAAGTTCTCTCCTGCTTTCTAAGAAACTCTTCTCTCGCTGAAGTCTAAAATCTGTATGAATGCTCTTGTTGTAGAACCGACACGCTTATGAGAAGCCGGTGAAAATATACAATTAAGAGAAAGGCATGGCTTTCCATGGAGGAATCTCAAGGGTGCTTGTGGTGGCGAGGATAGGATGTAGAGAGTCTCGATTTAGATTTGATAACCAAAATGAATATATATCTTCCAGGAAAGGGTTTTGATTTTGGCTCTGACAGTAGTAAGTGTGGTCTCTTTTGCTTCCGAAACTACTCCTTTGGTGTTAATATGGAATTGTCCTAGACTCTCTTTCTCTCCCTTTCTCTCTACAAAATTCCCATTTTGAAGACAAAAGCCGCGTTCTTGGATTTGGGAGGGCGTTTGGGTTTTTTGGTTTTCAGTTAGGATTGTATTCCGAGGTATAGTTTTATGTTCAGAATATTCTACTCTTGTTGCTGTTTATTTTTCTCTTAACTCCTCCTTTATAGCTTAATGAAATCTTGGATAGGCTTCAGTCAGATTCATGTGCTTTTTACTTGACAAATCAAACCTATGGCCTCTTCTTGCACAGTATCTCTCCATATGCGCTATTTCTTAATTATTGTTTCAGTCTGATACTTGCCAGTTTAACGTACCAATCTTGAATCTTTTTATTTTTCCTACAAGTATTGTCATTTTATATATAAACCAAGACAACACTTGCAAGTGCCAAAAACTGTGAAAGCCACTTACAGAACTCGAGAGAATTTAAAAACTGACAACAACGGATTATCTGAAGAAACTCATAATCCATTTTGCATAACACCAAAGTACAGTACTAGGCATTCAAATCTTCAAGTTCTTCTGCTTTAACCTAAGAGTTCACACCATATTGAACATCCAGTGGATATGCACTTGCAAAAAAGAGATTCAATATAATATCCTATTATTCAAATTAATTGAAGTTACACAGTAAACGAAAACAGTATGGTTTCGGCTTTGCATTCATGATAAGAGACAGATATTTCGGATAAAATGGATCTCTATACCTAGCCTCGTACTGCAGTATTTAAACAGAATAAAAGATGCTTTTCAAATTAAACAAGTGGTCACTACTTTTCCTGAAACCATTAATAGACGAATCATACAACAATTTCACTTTTCTCACCATATTTCTATTTCACATTCATGTAAAAAGATATATGCATTTCTTGTTTGTTTTACCAAACTTCTTGTAGTTGTATACGTTGCTTTACACTGCCATCCTTTTTCACACTCCGACGATTGTGTTGTACGTACCATAAACAGCAAAGATCAACCCGCAAATCACGATGAATACATCGACGGATTTGTTCCATACATTTAGTGATGGACCGAGCAGCGTGAGGTGATAAGAAGCCGGCAACACAAACGATATGAGTGCACACAGGGTACTTCCTACTAGAGATGCAAATGTACCAAACCCTGGGACTAAACTCGCGATTGCTGCAAGTCCTACCACCAAAAGCGTTCTCGTCACAAAGATTGCACATTTTGAGACTGAACCTGTTTCGCTGCTGTACCCTTGATGATGCTTTTGAAGGCAATCTATCCTCTTCAGTTTCTGCTCTATGATCTCGTTAAGCGGATGTACCATGATTGGGAATGTAAACGTCAATCCCACACATAATCCAATCTGTTTAAACCAATGAAAATCAGGACGGATTGAGTGCAATTTTTGAACATGGTCAAGAGAAACACAGAGATGCTAATTTTTTTAGGTTAATGTACAAAACTATAACAGAATTCTAGTTTTTTTAAAATGATCTACAGATCTGTACCAAGGGTAAATCATAAGCACAAACAGAACCAATATTCATAAGGAAATGTGGAAAAAAATCAGCAACAAAACACGAGTAATGGCATAATTTTACTACCTGCACAGCAATGGCGGACCAGTTATTTGGGAGATTGAGTGTGATGATATCCTTTGTTTGATCGCCATAGGCCATATAACCACAAAAACCGAACAACACATAGACAAACGTAATCCCGGCAAGCACTTTAGCTAACAACTTAGGGAAAGCTTCTCTGTCCCTCATAGAATTTTCTAAAGCCAAGGTCATCGCAAAACCCTCGAAACAGAACACCGCAACTCCTCCAGCAAACGGTAAGCCACCAATGGTAGACGAAATGGCGGTTCTATCACTAAAGGAGAAGTCTCCATCAATCACCATTTCCACATTTTCTTTAACAACGAAAGACATTGCTATGATGTTGCATATATCAGCAAAGATGCTGAAAGGCGAGAGAGCTGACAAAGAAGTGATCCAAGACAATCCAACTTCGATTGGAACCAGAATCAAGATGAAAGAAACCATACTTAGCCCATACGAAGTGAATATGGATGACAAGTTTCGACCTATGAAGACAAGATACGCTACTGACCCACCGCATTGAGCTGTGAAAATGAGGAATTCGGTTAAGTATCGACCTTTTGTTCCCATACATTTGAAACCTAAATCACCGTATGTTTTCGATTCTTCTTCTCCTTCAGATTCTAGCTTGTCTCTGCACTGAATCTGCGAATATACAAATCATAACAACCCAATTTGAGAAATCGAGAGATTCCGAGAAACCACGGAGACTAAATCGGAGAAAGAGGTTTAAGAATTTTGGAAGAAAAGGGACTAACGAGGAGGAGCATGCAGTAATAGGTGGCGAATCCAACGATAATGACGCCGAGAGATCCGGCGAACCAACCGGCGATGCGGAATGCGTAAGGAAGCCCAAGGACGCCTGTACCAACGATGGAGACGATAATGTTCCCGAGCGTTTGAAGAGCAGAGGTTCTGTCTCCGCCGGTCGTTTCGGACGGCGGAGCTTTTATCAGAGGAAGAGATGGATCACCGTTCGCCGCCGTCAGGTCTTTGATCGCCATCGCCAAGATTCACTCTAGTTTTTTTTTTTTTTTTTTTTTTTAATAGTTTTTGTTTCGTTGCCAAGGCTTCGCGATAACATTGGAGACGTACGAAACTTTGCCGCCGCCATTTTTATAGGTAAGAATCTTACCGTAAAATGAACACCCCCGCACGAAATATTTACTTTGATGTGATGTGACGTGGCACCATAGCATCCCTTACATCTAGCACGTGCGAACCACGCGTTCCCGCGATACAGGTCTGTGCAGTTTGGAAAGCCCATAGATAAGAAGAATCGAAGAAGAAGATGGGAGAAATACACAAAAAAGAAATATATATCCACAGATTTGTTTCTTTCGAAATCCAGATTTCTGACAATAAGATTAACAACTGTTTTAGTGGGCAGTGAGGAAAATGTAAACAGATGGGAACAAAGGTTAGTAACAGTTTGTGTCAATTAACAATTTAATAGATGTCAGGGTAAGCCATAACTAAATTTTGTATACGCGTTTATCGTCTTTTAAAGGTTGATGGATATTGTAACTAAACTTATATCGCATCATGATATTGCATGTGCATTGTGCAACGCTACTAATACTAGAAATAGACAAACAATATCACCCAATACAAATAAATTGCACGATACATTATTACCACCATCAACCAGGTGACATTGTCGCATTCACCACGTGATTCACGTCAGTGTTTCTCCATGTTATCCATCTCATTTGATGATTTTATTTTTCGCAGTAATCATCTTAGCTTTGATTTTTGACTCATCAATAACTCTTAGTTACGTCTAAGCTTTAACTGGATTCAAACAAAAAGTTTACACACCAATCAATTTTACAAAATGTCCGAAACCACCGAATAACCTGCTTTGAGTGTTTTACCACCTAATGTCTAAGCAACGGCCTAAAAATAAGAAACCACCTATCTCTCTTTGAATTGAACATCATCAACCTGGTCTAAGTAACTTTTGCCGGTAGACCTTAGAAAGCTTTACGGAGATCGTGATCAGGTTCAGAACCATGATTCTCGTTTCTCGAGTCCTACCCTTCAACAAAAGATAAGAGACTAATTTGACCTTGCTCTGGTCTATGGGTCCAAAATGACTTATCAGTTACCAAACAGATATTAACTGAACATAATCAACGTATCTAAGTTTTATTGGCCCCAAGTAATGCCTATACTTCAATAGATCGTTCTCAGTTCACGGAAGCACGGAGACAATGTGGGTGATAGACACAACGTATTGCATGTATAAGCTTTCTCCTTGGCCCAACGGCTAAAGCACCCATCTGCTTTAGCTTCTCCATTGTCAAATTCGCCATTTGAAACTTATTCATCCTCTGTCCTTTCAACATCCTTTCAAACTCTCTTCCCAGTCCTATAGATCCAACCCATGCGTTCATTCCGCCCGCTTTCTCAACCTTCTTCTCCAGATTCAACACTCTCAGCTTCTCATTATCCATTACAACTGAGCTGCACATCACTCTAGGAAACCTTATAGGCTTGTGTCCCGCACGGCTCCTGTGAATCTCCATTCTTCTATCCGGATTCATTCTACTATCTTGCAGTGATCTCCTCGGCGCTGGAGCTTTCCTGGTTGTGAGATTGCGACCCATAACTTTCTCTGGTTTGTCTACTGGCGTGAAATCAGGACAGGCCTCAGGTTCCACGGCGTGAGCATTAGTAGTTTCGTGAGTATCTGTAACCAGGTATCTCAGCTCAGTTTGTGGCTGCGAAGCTGCAGGCGTCTGCAAAGTGCAATGTTTAATTACAGGAAGAGATGGAACCACTGTGTGAACAAGAGTAGCTTTGTGCACCTCTGCTCTTAACTCAGATTGTAACTGAGAAGTTGCAGGCTGCTGTAGAGTGTACAGTTCAGGTACAGGAAGAGAAGGCATCATTGTGTGAACGGGAGTAACTTTGCATGTCTTCGGTTTTAACTCAGCTTGTGTTTTAGAAGTTGCAGGCTTCTGCAAAGTGCAATGGTCCATTACAGGAAGGGAAGGCAGCATTGTGTGAACAAGAGAAGTTTTGAATGTCTCCGCTTGTGATTGAGAAGTTGCAGGTTTCTGCAAAACGATATGTTCCGGTAATGGAAGAGAAGACATCACTGCGTGAAGAGGCGTAGTAGTTCTGTGCGTATCCACAATAACATCTTCTTTGTCAACTTGTGACAGAGAATTTGCAGGCTTCTGTAACGTGAAATGATCAGTTACCGGAAGAGAAGGAACCACTGTGTGAATAGGAGTAATTTCGTGGGTCTGTGCAACACTGTCTCTTAACTCAACTTGTGACTGAGAAGCTTCAGGCTTCTGCAGAATGAATTGTTCAGGTAGAGGAATAGTAGGTACCAGACTGTGAACAGGAGTAGATTCGTGCGTATCTGCAATAACGTCTCTTAACTCAGCTTGTGGCAGCGAAGTTTCAGGCTTGTGAAAAATGAAATGATCAGGCAGAGGAAGAGAAGGCGCCACAGTTTGAACACAAGTACTTTCTTGGACATCCGCAAGGCCGTCACTTAACTCAGCTTCTAATTGAGAAGTTATTGCAGGTTTCTCCAAAGTGAAATCTTCAGGTGTCGGAAGAGAAGGCAACACAATGATGATTCTCTGCTTTTTAACAAAGAGCCAACCGTCTTCCTCCCCATCAAAACCCAACTTGAAAGGAACACTCTTGCTCGGTTCCAACTGTCTCGGCCTTAGCTTTGCCATTAGACCTGAGATTCCAAAACATCATTAATCTATAAAAGCAAACCCAACTTCCCATCACAAAAAAAAACTACACATTGCTACTTATTAATCATACATATTACATAACTAGGAAGACAAAATCACAAAAAGAAGGATTTCATTTTATTCACACAAAACGTCTGCTGTAAACCCATCACAGACGTTTCGAAAAAAAATATCAAAGCAAAACGAAGGATAATTTGTAGTGGTAAACCCATTAATCGAACTTGTAGTCTTCGTCTAAATCGGAGTAACAGCACAATTTCATGAAAGTGATAAAGAAATTAGAATCGAACACCAAAGACTCTTACCCAGTAAATTAGCGAAGAAGAATAAACCCTAGAATGCAAAATATGTTGTTAGCAGACAGAGAAATTGAGAGACCAGAGAAACATTTCGGATGTAGAAGCAGCTAAAAGGAGTCTTACCCTCTTACTCTGAGCTTCTTTCTGAGAGTGACGATGATGAAGATCTCTCTATCTCCGACCGGCGGAGCAAATCTTTTTTTTTGGATATTAATATCCTACTTAATTTTGACTACCTTAACTATTGGGAAATCGGAGAATATTAAAATACACATGTTGATGTTTTGACAAAATTTTAACACTAAAATATATACAAAAAAAAAAATTTCTAACTCTAAATTACGTGTCCTATAATATCAGCTTAGTGGGTGTTATTGGATAATGAATTTTAATATAGTCTAACTCTAACCCAAGTCTAATGTTATTTAATCAATGATTTTAAATACTTTACTCAAATCAAGTGTTATTGGTTCTTAAATTTGCAAAATCTTCATTAAAAGAGTTTAAAATCTAGTGTTATTGGTTCTTATATTTGCAAAATCTTCATTAAAAGAGTTTAAAATCTAGTGTTATTGGTTCTTATACTTACAATTATTAACGAAAGTCTTATGTTATTCAAGTTTGGTGGATTTTCACAAATGAATTCATTTGAAAAGCTTTGAGTGAATCTGAAACTGATTTCATGTGTAAATTATGTTAATCCGAAAACCAACCTTGTAACATGAGATTTGACAATCTAATAATAAATTAATAAAAGTTTCACACGTACATTATCAATATTTACAAACTCATTCACCCATGACCCAACACATATGTATCTCTCTTTATCATTTTTTCCCAGTTTTTTTTTTTTTTATCTCTAGTTAATGTGTATATTTGTTTTAACAGTTGTTGTATGATTCATTTGATCACTTTAACAAAAAATAAAACAATTTTCATCTTTAAAAGATATGTTAAGACTTCACTACAGAAATTTGAAATGGGAAAAAAATACGTGATGATAAAAGTTTGGTATAATTTCATTGAAAATTGTAAAATCATTTGTTATAGAATTCAATTCTATTGTTCAAAACCAAAAGATATCATGTGTCAGTGTAAATACAATTTCACTGATTTAAAGAATGAATAATATTAAATCAGTCTCAATGAACCCAGATTTTGAAAGTCTTATGAATTTTAAAATCTAATGGAGTTGAATTTAACTTAAACAACCAATAACACCCCTTTAGTCTTATATTATTTAGTCTTGTCTTTTATCTTTAATTTTACATTAAATATACAAGATGATATTTACTAAAAAATAGAAAAAATAATCTTAAACAACAATTACGTTGGAAAGGATAAAATAATGCGTTTTACCTACTGAATGAAAATAGTTTATTGTGGTCTATATTAGTATAATCATTCTTTTTGTTAGTATATGCGTTATAAATATTATAAGCACACGCGCGAAAAAAAAAAAAAGAAGTTTTATATTTAATTGACTTACAATTTTCACAGGAGTTTGAATTCTATGCGATTATAATAAAACAATTGTTAAAAATTCTCTTATGCTTTTTAATTTATTAATTAAAATTATTTATTGTGGTTTTACTTTAAAAATTTACTGTTTTTATTAACATTCGGGTTGTTAATATTAGAGATACGTGTAAACTAATAGAGATTCTAATATGAGCATGTTCGTTTTGTCGTTGTAGCCGTAACTTCAAGTACTTGTGTTATATTAAAAAAAAAAAGTTTGATTGTTGTTATGGTTACGGTAAGTATTGATGTTTGTTTGGTTGCTGCAGGTTGCTAGTACAGTTAACACCATATTCTGCAATAAAATATTTGAACGTTGATTTTATTTAGTAGGCAAAAACGTTACATTCGCTTATATTGCGACTAAACAAGCATGTCCTATATATATTTTTTCACGATTCCATATGTGTTTGAATTATAATGATCAACAATATAAACATAATAAAAATATTATAATTTTTCAAATAAATAAACTCGATTTGAAACTACACAAATCTTTGTGTTCATAAATCAATCTAACAAAACTTCACTCAAAAACTTAATTTGATGAATTTTGGAAGAAAGAAAGTTGACTTAAACCAATTTGTTACTGGTAGTATTGGATATGGGCCTTATAAAAAAAAAATTAACCACCCATATATATATATATTAAGATCATCATGCCGGCATGTATTTTTCGTAGGTTTATGAACACACCACAGAGTCAATCAAATCCAAACCGTTGATGACAAGCCACTACACTCAATCCTGAACGTTGGTTCATTCAGAGCATCGTGTCCTCGTTTATACCAAAAATAGTCTCTCTGTGATAAACCAGAGTCTCATTCAGAGACAGAGAAGACACTCCATGAAAAGCCTTCTTCGCCGTTTATTATAGCAAATAAAAACAAACAAAAACAATTTGGGGTATATTACGAATATTCATTATATTATTATTTTTTTTCCTTTTTTTCGTTTAAGCGATTAAAAAATAAAAAAGAAAAGGAGAAGCGCGCAGAGAAATTGAGTTGTTTTTGGTTTTCTCCCTTCTGAGTTTGTTTGTTTCGTGGAAGGGAGCAAAATTCTCCATTTTCGCTTTTTGATTTTTTTTAATTGTTTCTCTTCTCCGATTTCTCGGTCGCCAAGGGGTAAAGGTTTCTCATGTTTTGATTTTATTTTCCGATTGTGATTTTACGATTCCGAGAGAATTGAGTTTTTGCCGTTGTGGTTTCTCTGCAGAATTGGCTTCAGCTGGATGTTTTTATCTCATTCAATATTTAGGGCTTTAGTGCGATTTTAGGTTTCTTCCTGTGATTTTTCTTCTGGATTAGCTTTGTGGTGCCCAAAACTCCTTTGGAATTGGAGAATGGAGTCTCCGATCAAATGTTGTGATTGTGGCTGCGATTGTTCTTCACAAGGTCCATGGATTCGATCTATCAAGAGAAGACACGATGAATTAGTGGAGGAGAAACGTTTCTCTGTACCGGAGCTGGACGACCTTGACATGTTCTCGAATCCCAGAGTCCATATCGAGAACGAATGTGAATTACTACGCGAGACTGTTTCCAACCAACAGCAGACGATTCAGCATTTGTACAATGAGCTCGAGGAAGAGCGTAATGCTTCGTCTTCTGCTGCAGATGAAGCTATTGGTATGATTCGGAGGTTGACGGATGAAAAAGCTGCTCTCCAGATGGAGCTTACTCAGCTTCAGCGTAATTTTGACGGCAAAGTGCAATACGAAAACGCTGAGATTGCCGCTTTGGAAGATGTTGTCTATCGAAGGGATCAGATTATTCAGGCTCTTGAGTTTGAAACTCAGGCTTATAAGCATAGGTTGATGAGTTACGGGCTTACCGAGGCAGAGGCTGATTGTGACAAGAGCTTGCTTAGTCGTTACCCGAGCATGATCGACATTAATTCCGAATCTGACTTCCCTACTTATGACTACCCTCCTCTTAAGTGCAATATAAATGAGAACCAAGATCCTCTGGAGGCTGATATCTATGTTGCAGATGATGAAAACTACCCACCAGCTAATTCTCCTCATGGGCGAGAACATCTGAAGACTTTGGATCGCAGACTAAGCCAGATGGAGACAAGTCCCAGCTTTACTCAGTTGAATGGTGATCTTTCGGGTGCGAGAGGGAGGGATGTTTTGGAGAAGGGAATGGTTGGTGAGAGTCCTAGGCATCAAAGACAAGTTAGGAGGATTTCCCCCACTGGTTCAAGTTCACACTTGGGAGCATCTAAAGAACTAAGACCTGATGTTTTTGTTGATTCCCCGAGGTTCGAAAGCTACAGCTCCAAGAAAGTGGAAAATGTCTCGTATACAGAGAATAATAATAATACTAAAGATGACTCGTCAGAATTAGGAGATGACATGAGTGATAGAGTTTATACTATTGATTCCGTCCATCACAGCAGTGTGTCTTATAGTGGTGGTGTTACTGAACAGAAGCTTGAGGATGGCACTTCTGATAGCAATGTGGTTTTCCCGAGAGAACACACAGATCTTGGTGATCCTGATATAACAAAACTCTACATGAGGCTTCAAGCACTGGAGGCTGACAGGGAATCAATGAAACAGGCACTTCTCTCTATGAGGACTGAAAAAGCTCAAATGGTACTGTTGAAAGAAATTGCTCAGCATTTGTCAAAGGAAGTTGTCCCTCAACGGAGATTGCCTCTACGTAAAGCGTCTATTGCTGGGCCTTTGACTTTCACTCCCGTCTTTAAGGTGATTTTGCTTTCTGTCGCGCAATTCATGGGTTGTTGTCATGTTCTTTATGATCACTAAACATTCTGATTGGAAGCATTTTCTTCTAAAGCTGTGTCTTGTTGTCTACTGTTCTCACTCTTTAACTTGTTCTTTTGATTATTATTCCTATTATGCAGTGGATCACATCTTTTGTTTCATGGAAAAGAAAGGCTCGTCGAAGCAAGTAAGTAACCTGTAACAAAGAAGAAGTGGTTGATATATTAAACCGTGGCTAGCTTGCATTATAATCTCTTCTTCAATATTCCAATAACAGGGACACTGTTTCACTTGATAGTTAGAAAGTACTGTTGGATTTTAGGGAGCTGCTTCTGAAAATTCTCGCTCGTCTCTAATCTCTATTCCAATGCAAATATGCAGATACATGTTTGGAATGTCAGGAAACAACTTGGGCTTGAAAATGCTTCTAGAAAAAGCCCCTCGGTCACAAAAATGGCGATGTGTTCTTAGGAGCACCCAAGTGTGAAACAGATCCAATACTTTCAAGCAAACAAAATCACTCTCATGACTCTAGAATACAAAGCACATAGTGTCAAATACTGATGGATTGGATTGCAAGGTAACATTTGTTGCCTTTCTACAACTTGGAATTGGATTCTCATTCTTTCTTCATTGTGCTGTGCGATATTCATACTGTTTTCCCCAATATTTCAACTGTTGTATAAAAGAATTGGGTTAAAGAATGATATACCTCAGAGGCCATACAGTCTTTGTATGGTGTCCAACTTAAATTGTTTCATTCATGGGTTTTTTTTCCAATATTTTGGAGATTCATCAGAGTAAGTTCTTTTTGTTGTGAGTTTGTGACCAGCATAAGTCAATTACCACGTTTTTTTTTATTGTTTTTCTTTTGCCCATATATATGTTTGTATTTCTCCGAAATTATACCTAAAACTCTAATCACAAGCTTCGAATTACATAATTACCATCTATTCCATGTGGGTTTGGAAAAGTGACCACAGATCCAGCTATAGATTAGTTGATCCACTGACACCTTAAAAGCGGATCAGCCAATCCTGAGTCTGGTAAAACCAACAGATGAGACCTGATCTCTAAAGGGTAAACTCTCCTCAGTCCACTCAGATAGGTTTGCTCTAGGAGGGTTGACTCGGGAGAGTCCTAAAACGTAAGGGTAGATTACCTGTCATCAAACATCAGTGCAATATCATAACTCACAACACTCAATAGTGGACAGCATTCTAAATTAAGCAAAACTTCAATAATTTTCACATCAAGTGATGATGATCATAAAACACTCCATAAGCACTGCATGCTTATCAAACCACAGCTGCTGTGGTGTTGTTTGTGGCCAAAGGCAGAACGTGGAAAAGCTGTGAAGACATTAACAACAGATGTGTCTGCACTGTCCAGAATGTTCAACAGAGACAAACATTGGGAAAATGCTCAAAACTCTCTATTCAAACTCTTTTAACAAGGGACAACATGATTTCAGGATCTCCATCTTCGTTTATTCGAGAAAACGACAACTATGTCTGCTTCAAATCTCAAAGATGATTCATATTCATTACAATGCTCTCTTTTAAATAAGGTACAACAGAAATTGCACCTAGCTTCCTTGAAGTTGTAAGCAACCATGTTTATGTGAGTCTTCACATGTAACTTTCCGTCAATAGATGCGCTGTGGGGGTAAAACATACCGACTTTATCAGTCTGAGTGCTAGTGATGGTCTCAGGATCCTAAGCTTGTGTTTTCGGGTCAAACATGGAACCGACATCTTTGGACATTCCTAGTGCATAAACCTTTCCATCACGTGTGAGAGCGGCAATCCAGAATCAATAAGCTAGAGGAGGAGGCTTCCTTGTAGGACAGGGGTACCCCGATTTCATATATTTCAGAACCAACCGTCACCAGACTCGAAAAGCATTGGGAGTGAAGCCAAAGCATACCAACTTGATGACTTGTTGGTCTTCTTCTCCTCATTGGCTACGGTTTGATCAGGCTTCCGGCAGAGGGTGAACCAACGATAACCTGAGAGGCTGTTGAAGCAAACATAGAGACAACTCTCGGTGGTGCCCAACAGCCAAGAGTGACCTGGTCTCTGGTGAAGCTACGAGAGATCGAAAGCTCTTGGAGACGAGGGATAGAGTCGGATAGTACAATCTTGGCAAACGTGCGAAGATGTTCAATACCAAATCGACATTAACGGATGTGGTTCTGTAGGCGATGTCTTACTCTTCGTCTTCCTCTTCCTCTTCCTCTTCCTCTTCATTTTCTTGATCAACCTCTCCTCTGCATTAGAGAATATATTCTCAGTGGGATATCACTTTGAGGGTTTCGGCCGATGGCGGCAATGTTTACTGTTTTATAGGAAATAAAAGTTGTTGGGCTTTATGGGCCGTTACTATATTGTAACACTTCACCTTCTTTTTCATTTCTGGTCGGACGTAGCACTTCACCTTTTTTACGCTCGTCTTTTAGGTTCAACAAAATATTACTCTGCTAAATTGTGTGTTAACGTGGTCAATATTGAGTTAACTGTTAAAAGGGATATTCCTTTTATGGGTTTAATTTAGTAAATTACTAATCACCAAAGAATAAAACATAGTAAATTACTAATCACCAAAGAATAAAACATCGTTTAACATTCCCTACTAGGAAAATAAACTGTTTTTATTTTTTCTTTCTTTTTTTTTGTCATCTTTTTTTTTTCTTTCTGATTTGGTATTTTTGTTATAAAATATAAAACTCTTTTTCTTGACAACATTCCTATATGTATATATGTTGATCTTAAAATGAAAAATAAAATGATATTTTCTCTTTGTTGACCAAAATCCACTCGATTTGAATTTTATAATTCACTCCATGTTTTATACTATACAATTTCATTATGTGTCAATAGAGTCAGCAATATATAAATTCAAAATGTTTGTAAATTAATGAATACAATTAGAATTAGGTATCCGGTGTTGGCTCTATTGGTCATCATGAGTTCTAAATTCGAGTTCTACTTAGGGCCCCTAAAAGAAGAATAGATTATATATTTGCTCAAATGATTCTCTTATTCGAAGAAGAAGACTTTGGTTTAGATTATTACCAAAAAATAAAAAATGATTTAAGAGAGGGATTATTAAAAAAAATTGCAATTTAATAAGTTACGTGCATGATTTCGTTGACAAAAGAAACATACAAACACGTGTCATGTGTTTAATAGTGAATATTCTTTGTCTAAAAAAACATATGTTAGTGGAATTCAAAAGCAAAGACCAATCAAACAAATCTTTAGTCTCTCCTCAAGTAAATGGAGCCGCCACCTCTTACCTCCACCACATGTTTCTCTTCTTCTTCTTCTTCCTTACTAATATTCTCTACATATATATCATTAAAAACTCATACGTACGTATTCTAGTCAAATGGATCATGAGGAGGAAGAAGAGATCGAGATCCCTAATTACTTTATCTGCCCAATCTCACTTGAGATCATGAAAGATCCAGTCACGACCGTTTCTGGCATCACCTACGATCGCCAATGCATCGTTAAATGGCTCGAAAAGGTCCCCTCTTGTCCCGTCACGAAGCAACCACTTCCCTTAGACTCCGATCTTACTCCTAACCACATGCTTCGCCGTCTCATCCAGCACTGGTGTGTAGAGAACGAGACTCGCGGCGTTGTCAGAATATCAACACCTCGAGCTCCTCCCGGGAAACTTAATGTTGTCGAGGAGATCAAGAAACTCAAAAAGCTCGGCCTAGAAGGTACATAACATACTATCGAGTCCGGTTGTTTCGAATAACTAACTCGGTTTACTCAAGTTATTTTAAAATCCGGATTTATTTGGTTCGGTTTGATGTTAACAAAACTATACCTCGGTTTTGGGTTCATAAATATCAAAAGTATATATAGATGAAGAATTATTTCTAAGGTACTATATGTTTTATATGTAAACTTAGCTAGAGAGGCACAAAAGAAAACTATGTTTGTTAGGTTCGGTTCGAACAAATGAAAGTATAGTTTGGTTGTTTTTTTTACCGATCGGTTTAAGATTAACAATTTTGGTTTGGTTTTTAAATCGTCTAGCGTTACGAAGAGAAGATACGTTGCAGAAGCTTGAAGTTTTGGCAATGGAGGGAAATAACAGGAGATTTATGTGTGAAGCTGGCGTACATAAGTCTTTGATCTTGTTAGTAGTCAAGTGCACTAGCGAAGAAGAAGAGGGACGACGTGGTATCAAAGAGCTAGATGAGTCTCTTCGTCTTCTTCACTTGATCGGTGTTCCATCAAATGACGCAAAAACAATCTTGATGGAAAACGATCGAATCATGGAATCGTTGACTTGGGTTTTACACCAACAAGACTTCTTCAATAAGGCGTACACGGTTTTGCTATTGAGGAATCTAACGGAATACACTTCCTCTCATATAGTGGAGAGATTGAATCCCGAGGTTTTCAAAGGGATCATAAGGTTTCTCAAGGATGTAGTAAAGAGTCCTAATCTGACGAGCCCTAGCGTGAGTGATACGGTACAATCTTCAAGACCTAGCTTGGGAAAAACGGAACCATCAAAACATGATCATAGTTTGGTCATCAAACAAGCGGTGACCTCCGCGCTGATGATTCTTTTAGAGACTTCTTCGTGGAGCCGAAACCGATCGATCCTAGTTGATCTCGGTGCGATTTCTGAACTCATCGAGCTCGAAATGAGCTACACAGGAGAGAAGAGAATGACAGAACTTATGTTAGGAGTTTTGTCTCGTTTATGTTGTTGCGCCAATGGTAGAGCCGATTTTCTTGCTCATAGGGGCGGAATCGCGGTTGTCACAAAGCGGTTACTGAGAGTTTCACCTGCAGCAGACGATAGAGCTCTATCTATCCTAAGCACTGTCTCAAAATTCTCGCCAGAAAACATGCTTGTGGAAGAGTTGGTAAACGTGGGGACAGTGGAGAAGCTCTGTACCGTTCTAAGAGTTGATTGTGGTCTGAATTTGAAGGAGAAAGCTAAAGAGATACTTAAAGATCATTTTGATGAATGGAAGAAGTTTCCTTGTATTGATATGACTCTACTTACTAAGCTTCTAAGTTCCTCACCCAAAGATCAACTCAACGAGTTTTACTCACGAGTTGGTGTTTAGATTTCCTCTGTGTACTCGGATAGAGAATATTTATAATCTGCCGGACACAACACATACTTTTTAGTTACTCACCATATTCAAGTGTGCTGCATTCAATCAAATTCTACATCGACCTATTAGATCACAATGAGTCAATGATGATGCATAAAGTTTAAGTGATACAGAGATCCTTGATTAAGCAAATGTAATTTCTTAAGTGTAACCAAAACCACTCTAAAACTTCTGTTTCACAGATTGTATAGACAGACATAACCATCGAGTATTCTAATTGAAATACACAAACCAAATAATAGCTTTTTAAACTCCAAAACCAAAATTCAACAAAAATCGAAATTAGAGGAGAATCCCACAAGTTTGGCATAAGAGACAGAGCTTATCGCCTTCGCATTCCACGGCCACGACCTCCACCACGTCCTCTCCCCATTGCACCTGCAGCATCTCCCTGTGCACTCTCCGACTGCAATTTACAACAATTATTAAAACAACATTCACACATTATCACAGCATACAAAAGAAAATGAGAGCATGTGTTATATACTTTAGGGTTCTTCACAGTCTCGTCCACACTTAGAATGAGGCAAGCCGCTTCAGTCGCAGCATTTATTGCATTGATCTGCCAGGAGAAAGGGAATCAAACTATCAATAAACTTTGCAATGAAAGATCCCGACACAAGATATAGACATATTCATCACTGGCACAACAATCTGAAGAACGAAAAAAGAGTGGAATAGAATGGAATCTTGAAATACCTTCACAACTGCTGGTTCCCACACGAAGTTAGCAAAAGAATCTGCTATTCCACCAGTATTAATGTCTACTCCATAAGAAGCTCCTTCACCTGTTATACACAGATATCATAGATAAGATCAAGAGGCTGCCCATCACAAGATTAATATATGAAGCTTGTGACAGTGAGAAAAGGCTCACCGCTTTGCATGGCGTGTTTTTGTCTTAGTTTATTTAAGACATCAGTTGCATCAAATCCAGCATTGTCACATAACTGTCGTGGAATAACCTGTAGTACCACCACAACCAGTGTGATATTAGATTTTTGTGTTGTGTATCAAACGTGAACCAACAAATTTCAGATCCCGGTCAAAGATCCTCCTTAATTAGTTACTGAATAACACAGAACACCTTCGGAAACTCTTTTATTTTAATATTTATATGAGCATACAAGCCACAATAGTGAGATTTTCATAAATCAATAGGCACAAAAGCAAAATATCCAAGCCAACCAGTGTGATATTAGATTTTTGTGTTGTGTATCAAACGTGAACCAACAAATTTCAGATCCCGGTCAAAGATCCTCCTTAATTAGTTACTGAATAACACAGAACACCTTCGGAAACTCTTTTATTTTAATATTTATATGAGCATACAAGCCACAATAGTGAGATTTTCATAAATCAATAGGCACAAAAGCAAAATATCCAAGCCAACCAGGAACTGTACCTCCAGAGCCTTTGCATAAGAATTGATGAAAAGCTGTGATTTCCCAGCAATTGTTCTTGAATGCTGCCTCAGGTACTTGCTTATCTCCATCTACAACCAAGGAGGAATGGTTCAAACCCAACATGCACAATATTAATACTGAACCACAGTGATGCAGGACACTTACATCTATAGCTCCACCTCCAGGGACAACAGTTGAGTTTTTAACAGCTCTTCTCACAATCATAATTGCATCATGTAAACTCCGCTCAGCTTCTTCGATGAACTGCCATTAATTTTTTTAAGGAATTCATATATATGCTGATTAGTTTTCATTCATGAAGCCTCCGATATTTGATGTATACCTGATCAGCTCCACCACGGAGGACAATAGTGGCTGTACGGCCTGAAGGGCAACCACTGAATATGTTAAACCTCTCCCCACCAACTTGTTTTTCCTCGAAAATTTCACAAGTTCCAAGAACCTGCATAAATTAAAAACATTCTCTGATTCATATGAATGAAATCGACAAGTCACTGAAAGCTAGTAAGCGTATCCAATATCAAGCAAAGAAAATTGTTCTTCACGAGCCTCATCTATTATGTTGTTAACACTTGTCTGAACTGTTCCTCCAGCTGCTGCAGCCACACGGTTAAGATCTTCTTCTGCTACCCGACCAGCACAGAAAATATCTCGATCCGCAAAGTACTGCAACAAAATGTCAGGCAAAACACAGTCAAGCTCTCTTAAGAAGTACAAAAATAAGACACCAAAAATGAAAGGTACACTGTCGTGTACAAAACAAAGTACAAGAGCAGAGAACTTATTCATAGGTTGCTGAGGACAATACACTAAACACACAAACTTACAAGTGCAACTTTAAAGTGCTGCTGATGCTTAATAGTCATACACTGAGAATTAGAAGACTATAACCTACCAATGTAATCATGCCTTTAAATTGCCAAACGATATTTTCAATTTCTCCAGTAGATGAGGAAAAAAAAAGATATCAACAAACCTGAGTTGCTAAATCACCAATTGCCAGTCGAGAAAGAACAACTTTTGCTCCACTCTCAACACATTTGTCTAGCTTGTCATAAATGATATTCCATTCTGCATCAACGATTGACTGGTACTGTGATGGATCTGACAGCCTGTGAACAATGGGTAAAGCCAAGTCAAATAAGGTGAAAAGATGCTTCATTGTAGGGAAAACATAAAGATAAAGAGCCAGAATACTGACCTAATTTCAGCGTTTTCCTTCTCAGATTTCAACTCCAATTCGATGTTAAGTAAGAGAATTTTGGGGTTAACAAATTTCTTAGGCTGTTGCTCAAAACCCGCATATGAGAATGTCTTTTTGAAAGCAACACCATCAACGAGGAAAGAGTCTCGCATATTGCCACCAGGAACCTGGAGAGCAAAACATCACATTAGCTTAGATGAATCATTAGCCTAGCTTTACAGTACAGGCAAAAATGGAATTTTCCATTACTTGACTTGGATCATGAAAAATCTCATTCAAAGACAATCTGTTATAGATGTCCATCATATGGACCCTGTCGCACTAAGCCAATTCACACTTCCCCGAATCTAACTGGACCTATGAAATGATGCAATGAATAGAGGCAGAATGCAGCAGATAGGCCATTTGTGGTACAAGATTGCGACTAGAAAACTGCTTGATAACAAGACAATTGTATCCTAGTTTAAGACATTCCCAGAATTCCATAGAATGAAAAAAAAAACACAACAGATTTGTAGTAAAAAAAACAAAGATTTGTTTACCTTCTTGATCCCAATCAGATTTAGCCTGTCGTCATGACCAATCGCCATAACAGCATCAACAACCATTGTAGCAAAAAACTCCTTTTCCCCACCGATAAGCTTAGATGAAAGAGTAGTAGCAGCGCATTTAGCCAATAAACCTTTCTTTTCCTCTACACTCTTCCCCTCAATGCTAACAGCGAGTTCTTTAACTTTGGCAATTGCCTACATCAGTAAAGAGTAGTGATTAAGGTGGAAGAAGATCCAACAATTAAAAGACTTGTGATTCTACTAAGGAAAAGAAAATACAAACCAAAGTGCAGGCAGTGCGGTAACTCCTGATTAAATTCTGGGCGTGAACACCATCCTCAATAAATGGCTTAGCCTCCTTCAAAAACTCTGCTGTAAGAAGAACAACAGTTGTTGTTCCATCACCCACCTAGCCAAACAACAGAAAGTTCATAGTTCAAAAAATCAATCACCCATTCTAAGATCTGAAAAGATCAGACTTAAATTAAACAGTTGAGATCCAAGATTGGATCAGTAAGTAGCTCAAAGTCAGAACAGAGCACACAAAATCCAATTAGGAAACGAGAATGGGGAGAAAACAAAACCTCAGAATCTTGGGATTTAGCGATATCGACGAGGATCTTAGCAGCAGGATGAATAATGTCGAGGAGCTTCATGATGGTAGCACCATCGTTGGAAATGGTGACGGATCCTTTATCGTCGTGAATGAGTTTGTCCATCCCTCGTGGCCCGAGCGTGGTTCGAACTACATCTCCAACCGCCGTGCAAGCGTTGATGTTGCTCAGTAGCTGTGCTTTCCCTTGAGATGTGTCCGTACCTTCCTTCAACAGTATGATCTGCGGTTGCTGCTCACGAAACCAAACCAAAGTAGTGGGGCATCAGTCAGTGTCTTAAACACATATGTATGTAAAGCAGAGAGAGAGAGAGAGTAGATGCGACTTACCATCATCGACGCCATTGTAGATTTGTAGATGCGTGAAGAGAGCTTCGGAGATGTGAAGAAAGTGTGAGAAATGGAGCAGAACGAGAGAGAGAGAGAAAGTTAGGGTTTAGGTCTTGGGATGTTTGTTCGTTCATATAGAAAGAAGCAACTAAATCAATCGATGTTCTTAGAACCGGACCGGCCGGTTGAACCGATAAGTTCACCCAAACGCAGCGTTTATAGGCACGACAAACAAACCCAAATTAAAAAGTTAGATAATTAAAAAACTATTCACAAATTTCTCCTTACACACATTTGTTTAATGGAGTTAGACTTTTATTAGACCTTCAAGTTCTATATAATTGTTGAACTTCTTAGTAAGTGTTATTGTATGTTTGTCAAAATTCCTGAGTATTAGGCCTTTTTTTTTTTTTTTGCCGAATCATATAACTTGTCCCTTCACTTGGGCTCAAGCACAGAGTCACAGACGAAACTGTCATTAGACGACCAACTCATTCACAAAACTAAAGGCTGAAACTGAGAATGGCCGAGTCGTCGTGACAGACTATATTTAAAGAATACAAAAACCAAGTTTGAACCATTAAAGTGCATGAATAGTACAAACCTGATCGATCAAAATATGTTAGCTTTGTTGTTGTTATATGATATGTAAAGGTTTAACACATGAAAAAAAAAAAAAAAAAAAAAAAGGTTTAACACATGATCCGGAAGACCACACACACTGTAAACGCGGGCAGCAGAGTGCATTAGCTTGGGGGACTTGAGAAAGATATACACATACATTTTTTTTTTTTTTTAATAATCAATTCATCAATAATGTTCCAATGTATTTTTGTTTTGTTCCAAGGCCGACAAAAATAAAATAATAAAATCCCATTTATAATAATAATTTAGGAATGCCTTGAGTTACGAATTTGCGATTTGTTTCCATATTTTTCGTTTACCATATGGGGACAAAGGCGCATACACGCTTTCACTTTCAACTTCACCTTCCCTTCTCCGCCATTGTTACTTTCTGAGAAGCTTCCAAGTCAACCCATATAGACTTGCTTATTTGACCTCTTCTGCTTACTTTATAATCCTCCTTTCGGACTTTTCAATATAACCGTCTACTTGAAGAATCAGTACGACTTCTCTCCTCCTTTCTTCTTTTAAGTCTTTCCTTTTTGGATTTCGATCTCAATCTCTCTCTCTCTCTCTCTCTAGATTTTTTCCGATATTTCAATGAACGATTTGTTTTCCAGCTCGTTCTCACGCTTTCGCGGCGGCGAACCATCCCCTCGCCGAGACGCTCCCGGAGGAGGAGGAGGCGACGGGGTTCAGATGGCGAACCCAGCGGGATCAACCGGTGGTGTGAACCTGGACAAGTTCTTCGAAGATGTTGAATCTGTGAAAGAGGAGTTGAAAGAGCTAGATCGGCTCAACGAAGCACTCTCTTCCTCTCACGAGCAGAGCAAGACGCTTCCCAATGCTAAAGCCGTGAAGGATCTCAGGTCTAAAATGGACGGTGACGTTGGAGTCGCCTTGAAGAAGGCCAAGATGATTAAGGTTAAACTCGAGGCGTTAGATCGCGCCAATGCTGCTAATCGGAGTCTCCCTGGCTGTGGACCTGGTTCTTCCTCCGATCGAACCAGGACCTCTGTCCTCAATGGTCTCAGGAAGAAATTGAAGGACTCTATGGATAGTTTCAACCATTTGAGGGAGCGTATCTCGTCCGAGTATAGAGAAACTGTACAGAGGAGGTACTTCACCGTCACCGGCGAGAATCCGGACGAAGGAACCCTGGATCGACTTATCTCCACTGGTTAGTTTAATCGTTTCTTCCACTCAAAATCCACTTCCTAAACATCGATATGATGAACAACTGGTTTTCACAACATTAACTTCAGATTTTGCATTTAGACTATGAAAATTCGATATGTTTTGCTAGTTCATAGTTTGCTTTAGAGCTGGGATTGATCTCTGAAAAGCAAGACATGAGTGGCGTGTGACATTTGGGGAATTTTTGCTACTGTTTCTGTTGCAGGAGAGAGTGAGAGATTCATGCAGAAAGCTATACAAGAACAAGGAAGAGGAAGGGTGTTAGACACCATTAACGAGATCCAAGAAAGGCATGACGCGGTTAAAGACATTGAGAAGAATCTCAGGGAGCTTCACCAGGTGTTTCTAGACATGGCCGTGCTGGTAGAGCACCAGGGAGCTCAGCTGGATGACATTGAGAGCCATGTGGGCAGAGCTAGTTCCTTTATCAGAGGCGGAACAGAGCAGCTACAAACCGCTCGGGTTTACCAGAAGAACACGCGGAAATGGACATGTTATGCCATTATTATTCTCATCATCATCATCATTGTTGTGGTTCTTCTTGTTGTTAAACCATGGAACAGCGGAAACGGCGGAGGTGGTGGTGGTGGTGGTGGAAACAGTGGAGGAGCTCAGCCAAATTCAGGGCCACCACCAAGTCCTCCTCAGGCAAGGCGTCTATTGCGTTGAAGTTGAGTTTTGTTATTTGCAAATATATTCTTTCTTTGTGAAACCTTCAATCAACCCAGCTTTGTGTTCCACTTTCTACTGCTGGTTCGTTCTTAATCTCCCTTTTATTTTGATTTTTGCTAAAGAAATTAAAATTTGGGTTAGATTAGAAAATTAGTAAAGCACATTCTCTTTGCATCTATGTTTGCTATATATGGGTTATTTTTTACTTTTTGTGATGATTTCAGGGTTTATCGTTCTATTTGGTTTAAGTATATGAAGCATTTGGAACTAAACTAGGTTCTATCAACAGGTAACACAAAAAAAAACAATTTATGTCTTTGGCGTTTTCCAAATTAGTTAGAGCATGATACTATATCAAGAGTTTGGTATTTATATATGAGTTGTTCTGGTCTCCGAGAGATGTAGAGATAGAGAGTACTTTGGAAGCAAAAGAAAAGTGTTTTTATCACTAAACAAACAGAACAGAACATAAACAGTAAACACTAAAAAGAGAGTAGTTTTATGTACACAAAACTATTCAAAAAAACAAGCTAGTGATCCTCTACCTTGCTTCCTATATGTCCTCTTTCTTTTACTCGCTTCGTCCATCATGAATTAGTCAGGAATCAGCAGGATAGAAGGATGACAATTTCACATTGATATATATAACACACATCCAATTTTATAGAATTTACATCAAGTCAACTAAAACGTCTTAAAATGTCAAGTTGCCTACTAGATGTATTGCAAAGTGCAGACACTAGCTATATTACCGTTCAAATTACACCTCAGCATTACAATCCAAGGAAAAGGCCTGAACCAATAACTACGAAAGAAAACATATCCCTCCATGAAAGGACATATTTGAGAAAAAGGTAAGAAGTACGTTTAATTGTATGGTTTCTTTTTGTAAACACAATGTGATAGAATAGATGAAAAGAAAAGTGTGAGATGAATTCTAGCTAGGTGTATCATACAGACTACAGTGTTGAACATTCAAACGCATGAAGGAAAAAAAAAACGAAAGGCTATATATATACAATTAATAAAAGTAGAGCTAGAAACTGATTCGCCAATATAATGACAAATTAGGGTTCATTATAACACGAACACAAATCAAAACTTAACTAAACAAACGAGATCGACACAAAGTGCTGATGAGAGAGGGGTTTACGGGTTCAAGATGGGAGCATGGCGCGACACACAGGACAAACCCCACTATTCCTAAGCCACTCCTCGACACACATGCGATGAAACACGTGCTGACACGGCATTAGAGCCGCCTCCACATCCGACGTCCCAACTCGGATCTTATCCATGCATATCACGCAATACCCTTCATAATCAGACCCAACGATCACCGTCTCCAAGTGTGTCTCAACCGCCTCATCACTCGCAGGAGCCACCGCAAGTCTCACATCCATATCACCACCTCCTTCACCTGGAAACGTCCAAACAATCACATCCATCGTGACTTTGATCCTCTCCACGTTACGCAACGGAGAGATCGCATCAAGCTCCTTCAAACCGACGATCTCATCAGTGAGCGTCCTAACAATGGACGTATAACAAGGGACTTCGATCAGATCGAGAATGTGGTAGACGATGGCTTGTATCTGGTCCTCATCTCCACCGATCAGCCAGTCCTTATCGTATCGTTGAATTTGATGAAGGGTTCGAGTTTCAAGATTGGTGAGATCCTCGTCTCCGTCTGAATCTACATCAGGGGCAAGAGTGTAATCCACTTGGAAATCGAGCATTAGGTTTTGGTTTTGCCCTAGATCGACGACGTCCTTGTTGTAGATTGTCTCGACGGAGATGAGACTGTCGGGTTCGGCTTCCGTAGCATAGAAAACCATGATGATTTTTATTTTTTCATTCAATGTTGAGTATTATTGAAATGTGGAAAAAGTAGAAATGTTCAAAACACAAACCAAAGCAGAAAAAAAAAAACAGAATCGAGAACTAGAAGCAATAAGAATTACATACACTCAGACTGACACTACAAGAAAACAAGGCAAAAACCTACCAATTTTCCTACCAAACTAGTGGTAGGATATATTTTCTACCATTTATCTAGGATTTTTTTACGAAAAACGAATGTTGTAGGAAATTGGAAGTATATTTCCTATAAAACTTTTTTGTGAGAAAGTCGTAAGAAAATATCCTACGAAAATCCTACCAAAATACAGTCGTAGAAAATTTCGTAGGAAATATGACATAATATGATAGGAAATTACGTAGTAGGAATTTAGTAAGAAATGTTCCTACCAAATTCTTACCAAAACTATTTTGAATGAATTGTTTAGGAAATTGGTAGAAAATATTTCCTACCAGTTTCTTACGTATTATATCTCGTAGGTTAATCGTAGGTTTTATTCAACATTTACATTTTATTCAACTATCTCCAATATTTAAATCTGTTTACATATATATTTATTTTACATTTTTAATTAATTTTAAAAATATTTGTGGTTATCAGTGACACTATTATTTTCTAAATTTTAATCTTTACAAAATTCTAAAACACTAAATATAACCCAGAATTTAATTTATTAAAGTAAAAATCTAATTATTTTTAAGCCTAAACTATAAGAAATAAAAATTTATGTATACAAAAATTAGAATTCAAAACTTATAATGTAAATCTTTCATTTTTACTAGAGAGCAATTTGAAAAAAAAAACAAAAAACTTTTGTATATCTAAAAAAATATAATAGATACATCTTATATATATCATGTACACTTTTATATAATAAAAAGTATAATAAAAAGTGATTTAGTAAATTATGTTAATGTTTAATCATGTAAGTAGATTTTTTTTCTCTTTAAAAACTGTAAAGATATTCTATGTAAAACATCATAGTGTTTCTTTTTTTTTTTCATCAACATTGTAGTGTTTTAAACAAAAAATAGAACAATTTTTTGTTTCATTTAGTAAATTGGGGTTTGATGAAACACACACCAAATAGAGAAAAAAATATTTAACTTAAACAAAAAACATATTTAATTTACCTACTAATTTCCTACCAAAAAAAATAATACCTAAATTCATCCTTCTCCCCGTCGTCCTCCGCCTCTTTCTCTTTTTCTCTCTTTGACACAACCAATTCCAAACCAGATTTATAATCTAGTATAATTTTGATCTCGAGAAGGCAAATGAGGAGTAATTAGTGATGGAGACTTAGGAAACGTGAGCTATTGTTACCCAGATGGATGCTGAAGAGAGATTCATTGGACATAAGTGCTCCATTCAGCTGGAGGTGTAGAGGTTCTTCTTGCGAAGACATGGGAAGGGATTCTGCGAATTACAAGTAAGTTTGTGAGGTTATTGAGTTTCATCTTTGACAGTGGTTTTGTCTGAGTTCGATCAGATTCAATCGGGTTCGATTTATGATTTGGACAAACACAAACTCATCCATATCTGTTGTCTTCTTTGTCCGCCATTGTTGGCCACGAATTGAGCTTTATATTCTCTATCTCGAAGTGGGTTTTACGAATATTGGTTAGTCTTCTTCTAAAATTCGATTTTGGATTCAAACTCTTTCGTTGTTGCATTTTGGGATTATGAGAATTCGATTTTGGTTTCAAGCTCCTTCCCTGTTGTTGGATTCAAATCTCTGAGTTTTTTGGTTACTGTAACTCTTAGCTTTTAGGGAAATTAGCAGAGTTGGGAGAAGACTAGGAGTAGCTATTATTACGGTAATGGAGTTTCTTTATGGTACTAAAGTGTCAGATTCAGACTTGTTTCTTGGTAATTAGGTTCACTGTGAGACTTTTAAGCTTGGACACATTTGATTTCGTTGTGCTTTAGTACTGCTGCTATTGATTTACAGTGTTGAGGTCTTGAGAATAGGGTTTACAAATGCTGTTAATCTTTGGTTTATGCAGTTTGTTTTCACTTATGAAATTCTTCTTCTTTTGTTGACATAGCTAGAAGAAACATGGACAGCTTTGTTTTCTGGAATTAGTTACGTTAAGTGTGTTTCGTTTTGGTGAGAGATCATAGCAGAACGTTTACGTGTATTGCCTTGGTACGTGTTTGTGTTAGTTATGCATTTTTTTGCAGTGGTTTTCTGTTGGTTTGTTTTCACTTCTCTCAGATCTGTATCAATAGAGAGACAATGTCTTTTGTGTTAATTATGTATTCTTCTTTCTTAGAGTGAATTTTCTCAGAATTTTGAGCTCATCTTTGGGTTTTTTTTAGATTTCTCTTTAGTATAATGTATATGAGCTTTATGTGTATAATGTACAGAACCAAAGGAGTGTTTTTATGTGTGTGTTTTTTATGTGTTCTAAAAACACATAAGTAATGGAGTTTGCTTACGGGAAGCTTGGACGTACTTAGTCCACTAACTCATGAATGTGTTGTTCTTTGAAGGTGTTGTTGTCTGGTTTGTGTACTTAGTCCACTAACTCATTTCGTTTGTAACTTCTGGTTCTTCTTCTTAGTTTCCTAAGTCACTCTAGTTGATTAAGCTTTTTTGCAGCTTTAATTTGTTAAGCATGTTATGTGATCTCAATTGGTGTTTGTCTGTTGAGTTTTTGCAGCTTTTTTTGCAGATTCTAATTAGTTTCTTTGGTCACTCTTGTCTTTTTAGTTTCGTTTAGGGTTTAATATCAGTTAAAGACTCTTGATTTTGATGTTTTGGTTTGTAACAGGAATAACATGCTTTTGATGTTTTTGCTTTCAGATTGATATTTGGTGAGTCTTCTCTGAGGTAAGTAGCACCTTCTTTTCTGTTTCTTTTTTATGGCCATTTGGTTTTGATAACTAAAACAGTTCGTAATGTGTCATACATATGGTTTTGATAACTAAATAACATGCTTAATACATACTAATGTTTCATAATTTTTCATTTTGAATACCATGTATCAGTGGTGAAGTTATTAACGAGAAGAGATTCAAACATTGAAGGCACATGAATTGGAGAAAGACGCTTAGATCAAATACCTCATGGAATGCAACAAGCTCTTCATCCTTATTCGGTAAACCCTGAGCGTTGATGATGAAGACGATGCAACACAACCATAAATGTTTTATAATGTTGTTAAAAAGTTATAAATACTGATTGTATCACATTTGAGAGTGAATTAATAAATTATATTTTTTCAGCAATTGGATTTTTCTTTTTTTTGACAATTTTAAAGATCAAAATTGATTGATTTAAATAGTGAATCGAAATTAATTAATTAATGGATGTATGTTATTTGTAGGAAAATAGAATGAAACTGTGGTAGGAAATTGGATTGAAAAGTTTGGAAGGAAACTTGAATGAACGCATTATTTGTAGGAAAATTAAAGGAAATTATTTGGTAGGAAATTAGAAGGAAACGGTTTCCTACGCTTTATTGGAAGGAAAACGGTCAAAAATACCCTTCGCATTTCCTACGATAATACCTACAAATGTTCCTTCCGTGCGGTTTTGGTAGGAAATTTTCCTACCAATATCTTACCAACTACGATTTCCTACGGGCGATTTCCTACCATTTTTCTCGTAGGAATAGCGAAAGAAACGGCTGTTTCCTACCATTTTTTCACGCAACGACCCGTAGGAAATCGCTGTATTTCTTATAGTGTGACAAGGAAGCCGCGGCAACCACAACACCACAAGAACGACAAGGCAAGATCCTTGTCGTTCTTTATCTTATGTCCACAAGGAAAAAGAAAAAAAGATGAGATGTCCATCATTTAAAAATACTTATTCTCTTTATCTTTAAATTAATACTGTTTCAGAACTTTATAAAACCAAATATAAGTTTTCTTTTATAATATTTTTAAAAACAATTGTCAAACACTACTACTTAATAGGTTGCACAATAATGAAAAATGTGGTCAATGCAATTATTAGCATTAAATAATGACAGGAGTACAGGACGATGAATGAAATTGTTAATTTCCAATATTGACTTGGGGAGGAAATTCAATTTAATTGTGCAGATATTTAACAGCACAACCCCCATAGCGATTTTTACATGTTGGTTTTTAATCCGGGTTTTAGTCTTGGTTTACCAATTTGGTTTTTAAAGAATAGTTATTGTAAACCCCAAACAATATGGTAAAATAATAAGTTAGTTTTGAATAAATTTCTTAAGGAAATGTATGTACTGTATTTATGAAATCTTATCTCTTTATTTCAACTCTATTTAAATGAGTTCCCGCGTATTCTTTCTTCATATGTGTCCAATATCACTTAAATTTCAAGAAGGGAGAAATTAAACAAACACAAAGAGTGACCATGACAAGAAAAAAAGGTAAAACTTGCATGGATAGAGAATGACAAAGCAAGAGCAGTCGCTTTGAAAAGATATATAACAGCGTTACAGAGAAAGTGAAAGAACTAAACATATTGTCTAATGTAAGGGCTTGTCTAATCATTACCAGCCCTAATGACGCTAAACCAGTGGTGTGGCCATCTCTTGAAACAACTCATGGCCTCCTAGACCAGTTTTATGCCTTACCAAAGTTCATGCAACATAAATATGCGATGAGTGTCGAGTCATACCTAGAAGAGAGGATCAATAAGATTCAAGAAAAACTGGCTGCGAATAACAACGAGAAAAAGAAGTATGCCATAAATGAGATGATGGCCCAACTACAAGACGGGAGTATAAGTATTGCGGATCCTAGCTGGAGTGATCAGAGATATGACTTGTTATCTTTCTCAAAGAGAACAAATCATATCTTATAGGAAGCAGCTACCCAGCCAGCAATTTCCCCCTCTTCCTGATCTACCAGTATTTCCATTTGAAGTGCAAGTGGAGCCGCTTAATTAAGAACACTAGAAATGATGTTTTTGTAGGAGATAGACAAGATGATGAGAGAGATGAAGCAACAAGAAGAGCTGACATTAGTGCTTCATCGGAGAATGGAAGTAATTACTTAACTGATAAGTTGGGTTTCCCACCCAAACCTGAAATATATCAACAAATTAGGAGCGAAAACCATCATTTTGAAATGGATCCAACTTTCCCCCAAATGATGACTTTCAATGGTTTGCTTGGACCAGTCTCTCAACATTCACAAAATCAAAATATGACCAGTAATCTAATAATGGTTATGATCCCACCAAGGCAATATCCATACCAAGGAAGCAGCAGCAACGGAAATCATCATTTGGAAATGGATCCAGTGTTTCCCCAAATGATGAGTTCCAATGGTTTACATGGATCGGTCTCTCAACCTTCACAAAATCATTATATGAACAACAATCCAATTGTTAAGATTCCACCAAGGCAGGCAGCAGTAGCAACGGAAACCATCTTTTGGAAATGATGACTTTCAATGGGTTGGCTGGATCAGTCTCTCAACCTTCACAGAATCATAATATCAACAATAGTCAAATAATGGATATGAACCCACCAAGACAATACCCTTTTCATATCATGAACCATGAAGTAGGAGTAAACGAGGGAGGATACAATATTTGCAACTCACAGTTTTACGGGAACAACAATATTATTGCGACCAATGATAAGTCTCGTCAAGAGCCAACTCCTAGTGAACCAACCGGTGGAGAAAATCATGCGGATGCGATGCCATTTGACATCAATAATATTTTAAACTCTAAATTGGTTCATGTTTTAAGTTTGGTGTGCATTTATTTTGAAATTGTGTCGGTTTATTTCTTTATGAATCCTTACAACTTTTTATCCTCGTTATTTTAAAATATTGTTGGTTTGTTTTTTTTTTTTTTTTTGTGAAGTTGTTGGTTTGTTTCTTTGTGTTACAAGTTACGAATATTTAAACTGTTTATTTTGTCATTTGATTTTTATAATGCCCACAACTAGTTTAGTAATGTCGACAAACTTCAGTATGAAAAGTTTAGTTTAGTAATGTCGATCGGTTGGAGAATATGAAAGGTTTAATTAAAAATATATATATCTGAGTATATTTGAGTATTCTGACTATTTTAGTTCATGCAGGCCAAGTTGTAAAATACAGTATTTAGCACAAATCATACAAAAGAAATAAAACGTAAAGAAAAAAGCAGGCGAGAAATAATACAAAAGAAGCAACACACAAGGGAGAAAGAAAGTCATCACTCATCAGAAGATGTTTTTGAATGGGTTGGTTAGTGAGTCCTTGAGATTGGAGTAGAGGCCATAGAGCGAGTACTGCTTCAGGTTTGCAACCTCATACCACGAATTCAGCGCAGTGTAGTGCTTATCCGTGCCTGAAAACGCCAATTGGATCCCCAAGCTACAATCTACTTGCCCTCCTTGGTTCTTACAGTTTTGCGTCTTGATTGCACATTGGTCTTTGTTGAGGCACACGAATTTTGTATCTCCAGAACATTTCGAGCATCCGTCTTTCTTCCAGAACATGTTTTCAAGCCTGCCCTTCTGGAACTCAAGAACCTAGAATACCCACCCAAGATATAAGACAGGCAACAGAGCTAATAAGAGATGGGAAATTTCTATAAGAAAATGAAAATGATATGAGCTTTATCCAATTACAAGGGTGAAACTTGTCACGATATGATTGCTGTCTGCAACCATAATTGGCACTGATCTTGCAGCGTATTTTGCCCCAGCGAATGCTACCATATACCCCTTTGAAGCATCCTGAAATCACAAAGTAACATCAGACAAACCAATAATTTGATATTCAAGACCTTTGCTTCCGAGGATAAGCAATCTTATAGTAATTTCGAAACAATCTATGGTGTAACAGGTATTTGACATGCCAAAATCTCTGTTTTGAACCTCACTGAAACAAATGCAGAAAGGTATCAACAGATCTTCCAAGAACAGAGACTAAATCCTAAAACTTTGGTACCTATGGTTAAATTGAATCTAATCTCAATGCAAGTAATGTCGACAATACGCCAGGATTTTGACGAGTCAACAAACTACACTAATCTGGTAAGATAGTTCCGATCTATAGAAAACCCCCTAAGGATTGACCTAAATCGTTTCTAATCTGATCAAAACCCTTATTTCACCGGGAGAGATTCAGAGATGAGTCACGAACCGGGCGGAAACTGGAGGAACTAGAGGTATTGATGGTAAGGAGTGTGATCTCATCGACCTTAGGTCTGAACACGGCGACCTCAGAGTTACCGTTGAGAGAGAGTCGACGGCGATCGCAGGGAGAGTACTGAACGGAACGATTTGTACCGAAGAAAGAATCTTTCGCCGCAAAGGCAATGCCGAAAGTGAATCCATCGCCGATCCCGACAGTAGAATCCGAACAAGGCGAGTAGACTCGGTTATCGTCGCCGGCCACCGTCAATGATGACGTCAGCGCCGCTGCGAAGAGGCAACACAGAAGAAGGAATCTAGCCATCTGTCAAAAAGCTTTCCTTCCAAAATTTCGAAAAAACCCCGATTCATTAGGCTGTCTTCATTATTCAAATAACTAAGCCTTTTAATTTATGGGCCTGCCTTATTCGGCCCAAACAAATATATGCTTATATGTACATATACATATTTGTATTAAAATAATATTTAGAGGGTAATAATAGAATTTTTAGGACAAGAAAAATCATGATTTCGTGTTGGAATGTGAAATTTGTAATCTTCCAAAATAATGTTCAAAAATGTGTGCTGTATGATTGATTAAATAGAGTCAAATCTGAGCTGGCAAATCCAAATTATTTTGTAGCTTTGGTGCCAAGTGGGTGGGTAATTTGAACTGATGAAAATTGTTAAACAAACTCCACCAAACGGTTTGTTCACTGCTAATCATATGCGGTTAATCACACCGTAACAGATTGACTCCGAAATCCAAACCGTCTATTTATAGTAATCAAGGACCGGCGTCAACGAACGGTTAAGATCAATCCGACATTTCTTGTGAAATGAGAATCCCGATTCCGCATTTCTGTCTTTGTCTCTTGCTTCGTCTTAAGTTTAGTCTCCTCACCGTCTCATCGTGGTCTCCAATCATCGTCGTGGCCTATTGCTTCTTTGAGAATCTAATTATCATCAATCATGTCTAAGTTTATGGGATTATCTTCGCTCGCTATCTCTTGTTTGCTCTTCGTTTCAACGATTGTCGCAGCCACCGATGTTCAGTACTGCAGTATGTTTTGGTCTCCTTCGATTTCTGAGATTGCCAATTCTTGATTGTAGTAGTAGTTTGATTGGGTTAAGTATATCAAGTTCTAAAAAGCTCGGTGATGATTTTGATGTTGGGACAGCTGCGTTGAAAATTTGATTTTTATGTAGATGGTTTTGATTTGTGCTCATAATTTGTGTTGATTGTTTTGATTTTTATTTAGATGGTTCTGGTTTTGATCCTGATTGAGTCTGAAGTTTTAATTTTGATTTCTGGGGAACTGTTGGGAAATCTCGATCTGATTTGGTAAGTGTTTGTTTGGTTGCAGATAATAATGAAGAGTATGAAGTGAATGTGAAAGGCGTTGATATATCGCCTTATCCTATAGCTAGAGGCGAGCCAGCCACTTTCAGCATTTCTGCTAACACAGGTAACTCTCAAAATATTACCTATGAAGCTATATGACATGTGTACATCTTTTGCTTGTTTGATTACTTTTGATGTTTTGTACTATTAATTGCGTTCCTAGTTTTTATATTCAATGTTTGTTTATATGGTAGATTTAAATATGTTTATACGCTGAAACTCCTTGTTCTTGCTTCAAAGGCTCGATCTTTAAAAAAAAAATATATTTGGTTTTCTTTTACCTGAAGACACTGAGATCTCGGGGGGCAAGTTGGTGATCGAAGTTTCATACTTTGGATGGCATATTCATTCTGAGACACATGATCTTTGTGATGAGACAAGTTGTCCTGTGGCAATTGGAGATTTCTTGGTCGCTCACTCGCAAGTTCTGCCTATATATACTCCCCCTGTAAGTTTATTGATCTATTTTTGGAGTGAGATGTTGAACTTGATGTTATCTGTTACAATCTGAGCAAATGGTTTACTCTAATCGAATTTGTTTAGTTGGATAACTAAAACAGTCTGAGAGTAGGTTTAGCTTGGTGTCCATAGCTGATAATGAGTAAATTTGGAAATATAAAGTTGCCAAAATAAGGAAGTTGAACCTTTTCAAGATTTGCTTGTTGTGATCAATAGTTATACGGTTGTCATACCAAAGTCCGGTTTTCGCTTTCTGCATATTAGGACCAATCTAATGCTTTGATTTCTCATAGGGTACATACTCACTTAAAATGAAGATGATTGATGGACGCAAGAAGGAACTAACTTGTATCAAATTTTCATTTGACATTGGATTTGGATCTTCATCTTTGGCCGACATCTAGAGCTGATAGCTCTATGGAATATATATACCGTGGAACCACTCCATTTGTTTTGTATAAAAGAACACTCTTTTTCTATACCACAATTGTTGATGAAAAACCCCCCTTTGAAATTCTCATTCTGGACTATTCATGAAATCCCATTTATAGAAAAAACAAAGTATTGAATTATTGTTTAGGTTTGGAGAGCTGTGGTTAATTCTAGTTGCAAGCATAAAGCTGAGACTACTTAATACATCATTGCATCCACGTTCATGGAATTAGAAAGACGTTGCATACATAATCATTCATCCAAATTAACGACCCTTACCAAAAGAAAATGGATATTTCCATAGATTCGTTATACCAGCATGTGAGAAGTCTCTCTCTTCCTTTTCCTTGCTATGTATTTGTGGCACTAATATATTTTGTATGAAGAGTTAGTGTTGGACAGTTGGTTGCACCTAATGCATTAGATTAGATAGATATTGAGTTTCAAGTTTCCGACGAGAGCACGAGATGCCTCTCAACCGCTTCCAACGAGTTTCAGGTCATGCGGAGGATATGATCTATTTGTCAAAACAAACAGATGCCAAAATTTACATAGTGATATCCGCACGTGCGGAACACGTTAGAAATAGACACGTGTCCTTTGTTCACTGGGCAGGCCTTTACTTTTTCACTCGCGCAATACTTTTCCTCTTCTTCCGGCCAAAGACCCACAGAAGTAGTCTCTCTCTCCTCCGACTCCGTTTACTAGATCAGCCTTCCTTCTTCTCGCACCGGAATCTCAAGGTTCATTTTCCTCTTTTCTGTGTTTATGTGTTTGGATTCTGCATACGATCATCTTCTATCCCAAATCAATAAAAGTCTTATCAACGTATTTGGGGATTTTCCTCGTCCTACTTTTGTTTGTTGTCCACAGAATCCAAACACTGCTTAGAGTAATATTTGTTGTTCTAGACAAATCCCAATTACGATTAGTTAGCTCTAAATGCGTCTATATTTACTTGAATCTGTCATTTCATCTGCTGCTACACACTCAAATCGATAATTCTCAATAGTCTTCTTATAAGTTCATTGACCTAGTCCTTTTTTACGGATCTCTCTATTCACCTGTAACGTATCAGTGCTTGTAGATATGGTAAGAATAATACGAAGATGAAGGAATCAGATTCCAACATTGGGACTTTGTTTGTTGCTTCATACCATTTCGACAAAATTCATTATTGAATCTTTAAGCACATTCACAATAAAACAGATGAACGGTACTTGTTATTAGGAAAAATTGTGCGAATTACGATGTTGTGTCTAATGCGTGAGATTTGATATCTCAATTTTCAGACAACATGGCCTCCTTCGATGGTCCAGGGTTTATGATGGTAGACAATTCTTGGATCCAGACCAAAGCCATTGATGTTGGATCATCTACCGATATCTCTCCTTACCTTTCCAAGATCCTTGAAGATTCCGTCTGGAATGGAAACCGGTCCATTATATTTGATGTCTACTGGGATGTTGAATCTTCTGTTGACACAAAGTCCCGATGGCGCCTATGCTCGGTGAAGTTTAGCACGAAAAACTTCTGTCTCTTCCTCCGCCTCCCAAGCTCGTTTGGCGATAATCTCAAGGATCTTTACCGCTTCTTTGCTTCCAAATTTGTCACATTTGTCGGGGTCCAGATTCAAGAAGACCTCGCTTTGCTTAAAGAAAACCATGGTATTGTGATCCGAAGCTCTTTGGAGATTGGGAAACTAGCTGCCGTAGCCCGAGGAACTCCCATTGTTGAATTCCTTGGAACCAGGGAATTAGCTCACAAGATTCTTTGGTATGACATGAGTCGGCTCGATTCGATCCAGTCCAAGTGGGATGAAGCAGGGGCTAATGATCGTCTTGAAGCTGCAGCCATTGAAGGTTGGCTTATCTTCAATGTCTACGATCAGTTGCAGCAGTGATCTTTTGGGGGAAATGTTCTTCACGTAATTTATGTTAATCTTCTTGATCAATTGCATTTGTGAGATTACGCTTGACCATTACAGTTTTGCATTTTGATCTGTTTGTTGTTGCTATGAGTGAACAATACTGTCTGAATAAAACCATATCCGGCTTGTTTTTTGTCTGAAGATTTTTGACATTATATTACATGCCGAATGTAAAGCTGAACAAACAAAGCGAACCAAAATGAGTCAAGAGAAATAAAACGAGCAAAAATGTTAATTTGTTTAGTTAGATACAAACTGATTCAACTCTAGATCACATTCACAAGTTAGCTAAGCTAAGAAAGAGTTACAAAACTAACAAAAAAACTCAACAAAACGTTAGCAACTCTGCCTAGGCTTTCAGACCGCAATTTCTACATCTGTACTGTAATGAAACTCGATCTGTAAACGGTGATGAACAGGCGCCGTCGAGGCTAATCCTTTCTTGATATCCTCCTGCAACTCCCTAATTGGTATCGCAGCCAAGAAATTCTTAATATACTCTTTACATGACTCCTTCCCTCTGCACAGAATCTCTGATTCAGGTTCTGATTCGGATCCTGCTTCCTCTTTATGAAGAATCTTGTGGATGACGGTTTTATGGTCGAATTTCAAAACATAAGCTTGATCACAACCCTCGTAAAGCCTTTCTCCAAGTGTGTCAATGATATAGTAAGCTTCCTTCTCTACTTTGAGGACAAAGAAGTGATCATTCCAACTCACAATGTAAACATGTGGTGGAGAGTCATCATCATAACTATCGCTATTCGCCGAGCTTTCCTCAAGAGTGATAATCTCAGCCCAAATACTATCGAACGACATAGCGCCTTGCAAAAACTCGAATCTCCCCTCGTTGATCATCCCGTCAGGGTGGAAAAACCCAACAAAAGATTTTCCAGGGATGACTGTTAGAGGACGGATCTTTGCTTGTAGAACGGTATCAAGATCGAAATGCTTGTCCGGGAATTTCTGCATATATGTTTCGTTTTCGCATAGGTTTCTCCACTCCAAAGAACCTTCTCTGATCAGACTATCGAACTGAGACTTGATCGGCATGAGATTACCATTCTTCTGAAACCAATCCGCAATAACTGCTACAAGAGCGGTGCAGGCACTCTCACCAGCTGCTCGCTCGCTTCTCTGGTCGATCGAAGCTAGAAAGACATTTGTCTGAAGCTTCATGTGTCCATCTCGGCTTGTCACTTCTTTCTCCTCCCAACTTCCAATGGCAAAACTGTCTTCTCCAAACTCCGAGAAAGAAGATCGAGGATTAGCAGATGAATCTTCATCAACTTTGCTCTGCAAATAAAACATATGCAAAACTTGAGGACTCAAAACACATATACATATAGAACCGAACCAAAACTGTATCTACCTAAAAACTTGAATGATATTTGGCCTTCCTTAGGTTTCTATATATCATAAACCGAAAAAACTACCAGAAACTGCATTAAACACCTGACCACTAAATAAGATCTTACCCCAAAATGAGGATGAGCTTCATCTGCGCTAAGTTGCCTCCGATCATAATCAATGTCATCTCCACCTTCTTCTCCATTATCCTTCTTTAACAAAGGCTCTCCTTTGGATTTCGGCGACCTGAAGCTCAATTTCCGCTTTCTCCATGGCAATATGCTACGCCGTGGAAGAAGTGATGTCTCATAGACCAAACCTGCAGCGGGATCTTCAGCGTCCGAGCAACCTGCTCCTACGTCAGATTTCCTGTGGCTATAATAAACCCAATCTTCGTCTTCGTCGCTAATTTTCGCACCACAGTTCAACGAAATTCCCACACCATTTGCATAAGACAAAGGTCCATAGGAGAAAGATTTTCTCACACTCATTAAATCTGCTTTGCCTTCATCAAAATCTGTCTCGAAATCATCAAGAGACTCTGATGATTCAAAGCTTGAGAATCTGCCTTCTTCTTCCCGGCAAGCCTTTTTGGCTTTCCTTGTAGAAACATACTCTGTAAAAATCTTGACTTTTCTGAGACCAGCTTTGATTGCAGAAACATCCTCCTTCTCATTTGACTGAGTTTCAGTAGGCTGTTGTGGTGATGGAAACGGGGCAAGGACAGGCACAGGCACAACCGCAGTTTGTGTCGAAGAGTCTGATGTTTCTGGAGTGGTTCTAAGCTCAAGCAGGCTCAATGATACCTAAAAGGAACAAGAGAATCACAAATGTCAAAAAAACGCAATACTGAGCCAACAAACTAGAGAAGTGATGAAAGAGAGAAGAAGTAAACCATACAAAGAGCAATGGATGTGGCTCGGAGGCAACACAAGCAGAGAGTGTGAGAGGAATGTTTATATCGAATTCTCTTTTATCGGTCACTCGCGCGTATTCAGCAAGATTCAAAAATGCAGTTCCAACAACAGGAGCTTTATTCTTCTGTCCTTGCTTCATTCCCTGAAAACAAAATCAGAAATCAGTTCTGTATGTTGTCTTTAAGGGAAATTGATACCAACATGCAGAACCAAACACCTATGACAACAATTAAACATCGTTTGAAATGTAACTTAATACGAAGATGAGACATAAATGGGTATCAAAATCATCCAGCTAGAATACCAGGAAACAAGCTCTACAGTAACATGAACTCTCTAGTTTCAAGTCTTATAATCAAACAGGTTGAAACATTAATGGGCATTCAAATCTTCCAGGCAACAAATAATAAAGTCTCTTAATTTGATCATCCAGCTAGAGTTCCATCTACAGCCTAATCAAACCATTTCCAAAGTTCAACATTTGAATCTAGAGCTTAGACTTCAAATCTTAAGATACGGATTAAGACTTACATTGGTGAAGACAGAGAAAGCAATCTCCCAAGGATAAAACAAACTGTCTTTGTAAGAAGTGAAAGAGCATAAGCTCTGAAACTCTTCATCATCCCACGAAACGACATCGCTTTCGCCCAGTGCCTCCTTGGTAAAGTTCCTCTTCACCGTCCTTCTCAAAGATCCCAATGTCGCCTTAGGACCTTTCCAGCGAATCTCCACCGTTAATCTCTCCTCCTTCTCCGGGACACCTTCACGCACTAGATCCCAACCCTCAAGCTTCTTCACCGCAAGCTTCACCTCGTACTTCCTCGTTACTAACGGCGGCCATGGCCGCCACTTCATCATCTTCACCACCATTTACGCACAAATTAAAAATTGGAATTTGGAGTCGTCTAAGATGAAAACAGAATCCCACAAGATCAAAAGAAACGTAACAAAACTCTTTTGCAGTAGTTGAGAAATTTAGAGAAACCTAGAGAATCTAAATAAAAATAAAAAAGGTTTCTTTGGCTTCAATCTATAGTTAACCTAAGAATAAAGATCAATGCCCAAAAATAGAAAGTGGATTTAGACCCAGAAATCTATTAGAAGCAGATGTTTCTTATTGGAAAAGAGAGAGAGAGAGAGATCAAAAAGTTTAAGAAGAAATTTGAAACTAAGTTGTTGAAATTAGGCTTCAGCTAAAGATTGCAAAAAGTGATGCCGTGAGGTTAGATGAGAGGAGAGAACAGTAGAGAGAAAGTGGCGCAGAAAACACAACACACTAAAAGCTCACAAGCGTGTAGACAGAGAGAGACAACGAAGAAAGTGAAAAAGGAAAGATCCCAACTTCACAGATCTGTCCCTCTCTCTCTCTCTCTCTCTCTCTCTCTCTTTAACGATAGAGCAGTATAGCTGGCGGATAAAACAAACAAACCGGTGTTAAACCAATGCGTGGACTATATAACCGTGGTTGAGTTCCAAATAAACGGTGTCGTATTATCTCGGTTTAGTTTAGATTAAACTCTTTTTAACGGCGTTGATAAAAAAAATTCCGTTTTTTTCATCTCTAATACACTAATAGACAAAAACAAATTAGTTCAACACTTTAATTTTTGGTTTTCATGTGTTGAGGAATTTGTAGAGCATCTGTTTTTGTCCAATGTTTAATTTATAAATTCTCTAATCTTTCTTGCACTTGTGTATGATCGTTCTAGTTGATTAATAATATTATTAGAGTTTTCTCTATGTAAGTTTGATTTGGTTTTCACAAGAAAAGAAAAAAGATTCGTTTGAGTTTGCATGATTGTTTATGCGACAGCATGGTTCATGCCACTGAATGTGGTGGTCACACTGGTCATAGTTATGCTTCACACTAAAGGAACATGCGGTATATCTTTGCATTATGCATAAGAGAATTTTTCCCAACAACAGCTTAGTGTTATAACATTTTTTGGATGGGTTGGTCTCTTTCGCAATTAGTGTATAAAAATTTTCAAAAAAAAACAAATGTGAAATAAATCTCTTTATATATATGTCATTACTTTATAAATTAGCAAGTCAATCATCACCCATCAACAATAAAAAAACATATGTTTAAAATTAAATTAATTTAATAGTTAAGAACATATATATATATATATATATTTTAAGTTATAATCATGAAAGCAAAATTTTTAGTGGATCCCTTATAATAAAGTGAAGCTTATTTTTTTATAGTTTTCCTAAGTAGCAATTAATGTTTTCTTTTTAATTTTGGGTCACAACTGGCCAGCTTATTAACCAAATTCTTACATTTATAAAAAAACAAGATTCAATAAGCAAAACTCGATCTCTAATGCGATGGTATCTATTAGAGGTGGACTTATTCTTTACGACTATGGTCACTTTATCCTTAATATACTCCATCAAATAGACAAAATCATAAAATATTTAATTACATTATATATTTAAAAAATTGGTTAGAAGTATTATAAGTAAAACTTTCACAAAAACAATTTCGAATTACCAACTGTTTATTCTGTAGTGATGAATGCACTAGCCACTAGGACTAGGTTTGAAATATACTTAAGCTTTTAAGCAAATGAATGCACAAGAAATAATTAATTTATATTGATATCACACATGTCTATCGGCTGTTTTTTTTTTCTTTTTCTTTTTTTTGGTTCACCAACCTGTCGGCTGTTAGTTTTGTGAAAATAACGTTTTTTTTTAGAATTGTTGGGCCTATAAATACCTTGAGATTGGGCCAATATAGCCTCTCTCTCTCTCCAGTCTGATCTCCTCCGATTTCTCTCCATCTCTCAATCTAGAAGTAAAATCCAAAAATTCTATTGCCGCGAACTGAGGGATGGATACGACGGCTCCGGCGACGTTAGCACGGCCAGGTATATAATTCTTAGTATACTTTCGAAATCGTGTGGCAATGGCAAAAATCTCGAGTTGTATGTGGCTGTTTTTTTTTTGTTTCGTTTTAGACTGTTTTAGAGTAAAGTAGGTGATGAAGATCGAGAGATCTTTATGTCTATTCACGTCTTCGAATTAGTTTTCTGTTGACATGTTTTACTGTTCACAAAGCTCCAGTAATGGATTTGGTGGTTTCTTCATTAGTTAATGTAATGAAGAAGTGATGAAATGAAATAACAGAGAATGATAAGTTTTCGTTATGGTATTGTGGAAGAGTTTGTCCAATTTTGAATTGTGTTCAACTCAACAAGTAATCAAAGATAGTCTTGCAGCTCAACAATTTTGAACTGTGTTCAACTCAATAGTCCTGCAGCTTAGGTCTTTTTAGTCACTTCTCTCTTCTCTTTTGTGTATAAATTGTCACAAGTCTCTTGATGTGTAAAGACTGTGGATGCGAAACATATAATATTGCTTCTTTTGTTTCAAAGACTTATTTGCAGTTTTTTATTGTTAGAGTCACTGCTTGGAGACAAACTGGTACTAAAAGGGTTGAAATTTTACGGTTTCCATGGAGCCATTCCTGAAGAAAGGACACTGGGGCAGATGTTTCTTGTTGACATTGATGCGTGGACGAGTCTGAAGAAGGCCGGTGAATCAGACAACTTAGCAGATACAATCAGCTATGTCGACATTTTCAAGTTAGACCATTCACAATATCCAATCTGTGTCCATCCCTGAATTATATATGGCCAGCTTTGTCTTTAAGTTGTATTCAAGTTATGATTTTATTGATGAAAGAATATGATATTGTTTGCAGCATAGCTAAGGAAGCTGTTGAAGGGTCACCAAGAAACCTTCTGGAGGCAGTCGCGGAACACATTGCCTCCAAAACGCTTGAACTATTTCCTCAGATAAACGCTGTTCGGGTAAAGCTCTCGAAGCCAAATGTTGCTCTTATTAAGAGCACTATTGATTACTTAGGGGTCGAGATTTTCAGACAGCGAAGGCACTAGTTCAAGGAACTGAACAACCCTCACAACTTGTGTCGTTGATCAACTTTGTCGGAACACCAAGTTTATTATATCCATGTATTTTTCATTATGTATCATCTTTATATGTCTCAAAAGCTTTGGACTGTCATGTGCTGATTTATATCTTATTTTCTTAATACTCTTTCGGAATCATTATTTCTCTTAAACGAATTTTCAATGGCTAGCTGAAACTTGAGAGATTGTAAAGCTAAGTTTTGAGACTTCATATAGATGAGGAGATGAATAAAGTCGTCTTTGGCTAAATCTGGTTCTTGTGCTCTTTTGGTTTTCTCACACTCTTGATCTGCTAGCTTGAGAAAGTCGCTTGCCAAGGTGTCTACCTCCACCGAAACAAAAACTGGTGGAGCTGTCCTTATTGTTTGGGCATTTGGCAGAAAAAAAATCTCTTGTAATTCTAACATACAACTTAAAGTTCATTGTTGTTTTCAACTGAAATCCATATAATTTAGAGTATTATTATCAAATATTTGCTGCGCACAAAAGAAATTAATGTATATGAAAAATAGTATTTTAGTCTTCTGAATCTTCTCGGTTAATGTCATCGAGAATTACAATGAGAGAGACTATAAAAGCAAAGTCAACATTTGGATAGACCGTAACCGAGAAATTACTCTTCCCTATCAATATGCTTTGTGCGGTATGTTTCTTTTGCATCTGTAAACAAGAACAAAGAATCAATTAGCACGATCAAATTATACACTAGCTAATCCATTTTAATTTATAATTTTACTTCAGACCATTTTGATTAATTACCTGAGCAACAATGGCATCAGATTTGCCGGCGTAGACGACACATGAACGGTCGATCCAACTTCCTTTGACATGGAAGTCGCACACCTTCATTTCTTTATTTTGAGCCAAAAAAATGTCTAGCTTTGGCTTCATTATTTGAATCATCGACGATCGTTTCAATGTGTATACTAGATCACTTTGGTCTGTACTTTTCCCTCTAAATACTTGCCACCTATCATGCAAGCTCACCTTCTACAGTTTTTGTTTACGCCAAGAGTTAATAAAGCGTCTAAATTATGGATATGAACCATCAAAAATGGACTTTCGACAGATTCTATCGGATGATCTACGACGATGATTTTTGACGTACCAAACAAAGTGTACCATCCATGCAAGTTATAGATGTAAAGGCATATATGTTTTAATTTGTGTTGTACTTACATTTTCTCTCAAAGTCAAGATTGGAGTGTCTGATGCATCCAACAAAATCCTTTTGTCGCTGAGGCTAAACAAAGGTTCTTTGACCTTGAAAAGGAGATTGCCGTTGACGTCGGTGACAGCGAAGTTACCATCTGTTAGAGTCATCACCTTGCGTACGATCCCCAACTCTATGGGGTACGGTGCACAGAAATGGGGACTTACGATCGCCATTTTTGTTGGGTTCTAATTAATCTCTCTTTCTCTTTTTTGCTTCTTTTTGATTATTCTTGAAGACAGATACAATTAAGATGATCAGAGATTTGTGTTTGTTTTTTCATCATTTAGCTTTATTTATAGTTAGGACATTCCGCGTAATATGTGCAACAAATCTTTGTGGATTCCTTTTCTTTTCTATATCAGTTTTGCTTATTTTTAGTATTTATCTTATTTTAAATCTGTTTACCATTTTTTTTTTTGGTCATTTAAAAAATAATTATTAAATTTGATGAAAATAAATTAATTATAGAATAAGGAATATCTCTTAATCTTTTTTTGCCAGAAAGAAATTATCTACTGTATTGAGGGAAAATTAAGTAAAATAAGAAGGTAACTCGTGGTAGGATTAAAATTACTTAATTACAATGATAAAAATGTAGATGATGAAAGTATAATGATTTTTTTTGATAAAGTATACTTTGTCTCATATACAAAAAAAATGTAAAAATCTATGCCTATTCAATTACATTTTCTTTTTGCTATATATTTTATCCATTCTAAAGATTTTCATTTTGTGTTTTGTAGGTTCCATTATAAATAAAATTTCTGAAAAAACTGTAGAGACTTGTTAATTTTTTTTTTTTTTTGGAAAAATAATTGAGTGAGACTTACTTAAGATTAGTATTAATCAATATCCAACCTTGTTGAAAAAATATCAAAATCCAACCTTATTATCATCCGAGGACGTTAAGGACGTTTAAGTAAGATTAGCCAAGATTTGAGCTCGGCCCATTATCTAAGAAAAGCCCAAATAAGAAGGAGACACACACACTCACAACGTAAAGAAAGAAATTAGTGAGACAAGGTCAAAGCTTCTTTATTGTCTCGGGACAAACAACAAGTAAATGGAAGTTAAAGTAGTATTATTTTAAAACTGTCAATTAAAAAATACTATTGGCGTAAATAAATAAATAAAAAATCGGAATTGAAGTGGTGGGGCTCTTCAATGTTCATGTCAATTGATTGACACGCCTAACCGTAGAGAAGAGCTTCTTCCTTCCTTTCTTTTTTTTTCCCGAGAAGGCTTTTTTTTTATCTCAGCTTGGAATCAAATCGGAAAACGCAACTACAAGGTTCAAGTCATGAGCAACGAGTAGTAAGTGTATCTCTATCCTTGATAGCATTGTATCCTTTTCGATTTTACTTTTCTGGGTACCGATTTCGATTTTGTTTTCCCTTTTCGTTGTAGCGATTACTTGTTCAAGCTTTTGTTGATCGGTGACTCTTCTGTTGGCAAATCGTGTCTTCTTCTTCGATTCGCTGTAAGTTTGACTTGCTTTTTTATTGTTGAAAACTTGCTTAGCTCTTTTTTTAGGTTGCTTCTTTTCATCTGTTTCGTGATTTTGGGATTTTTTTTTTTTTTCCACAGGATGATGCTTACATTGACAGCTACATAAGTACCATCGGTGTTGACTTCGTGAGTTCCTTCCTTCTATATATGTGGTGGTTTCTATATATATATATATATATATGTGTGTGATCGATATTGTTCATCCTGAGTTACTTATAATGTGGTTCGAATTGGGCAGAAAATTAGGACGATTGAGCAGGATGGGAAGACGATTAAGCTCCAAATCGTGAGTTTTTTTTCTTCTGAGTCTTGTAATGAGGATAATATATGATATGTTTCGGATGTGATTGTGTTTACTCATTTTGCTTACTGTTGCTGCTCTCTTTTAGTGGGATACTGCTGGACAGGAGCGTTTCAGGACCATCACTAGCAGCTACTACAGAGGAGCTCATGGGATCATTGTGAGCTATCCTTTTATTCGTTATATTACTTGCCTTTTTTGTTTACCTATACTAGTGTTGTGTCCCAATTTCCGTTTCTCGTCAAAGTGGTTTAGCTTGGGATCTGTGTACTCTGAAACATGTTTGTTAGAGGAAAGAAGTTCCTGAAATACTAGTTTTACTTTAATATTCAAAATCCACAATTCTTAACTGATGATAATTTTCAACAGATTGTGTATGATTGTACTGAGATGGAGAGCTTCAACAATGTGAAGCAGTGGTTGAGTGAGATTGATAGATATGCCAATGAGAGTGTATGCAAGCTTTTGATCGGTAACAAGAATGATATGGTTGAAAGCAAAGTTGTTTCCACCGAAACTGGCAAGGTAAGCTCACATCTGTGGTTAAGTTCCCAGCAATCTTTTCTTCATTCATTTTCCAGTTATGATTTTTGCTTCTTTCTTATGCATATCTAGATGACTTTCAAACATCCTTTGCCTGTTATGTTCCCCTTTCCTCATTTTATCATATCATGGTTCCCCAAATTGTTAACCTGTGATGGTAATACAGTCATTGAGATTGTTGTACCTCTTAAGGCTGTGAATGTATATATGATCATTGACCAAACTCCAAAAGTTAGAAAATCTGATTCCAGCGATTATAAATTGCAGATTTTTAGTAGCTTTTTCTCCTGACACAAGAGAGACATGGTTTTCTTACGTTTCAGGCCTTAGCAGATGAGCTAGGAATTCCCTTTCTTGAGACCAGTGCTAAGGATTCTATCAACGTCGAACAGGCATTCTTAACTATAGCTGGCGAAATCAAGAAGAAGTATGTTCACTATCTAATCTATTATCTTTTTCTTTTTTTTTATCAAAATCTATTATCTTTTGTCATAATTTCTGCAATAAGTTAGCCTATATTCTTTAGTGAAACTATCAAAAAACGATTTTCGTTGATCACCATTATTCATCAAATTATTATCTGGGGAATTTGCTGCTAGCAACCATATACAAATTGCAGTTTTCTAGACTTGATATCTAATATACAGGAAATCTACAAACATACTGTTGTGTCGATCCCTTGTAGTCTCAAGCTATGTGTACATTACTTCAATGAATAGATTTTTCATATGATTGATATCTTTGTATCGACATTTAGTGGTTCACCTTGAGTCTGATCATATGGTTGCTCATATGCTTTGCAGAATGGGAAGCCAAACGAATGCGAACAGGACATCTGGTCCTGGAACAGTCCAAATGAAAGGTCAGCCAATCCAACAAAACAGTGGCGGTTGCTGCAGTCAGTAGTTTATAAAAAAACTTTTATCAAAACTATATGAGACTATCTTTTTTTTCTCCCTTTTTACTATGTGTTGCGAAAACCGATGGCTGTCTAAAACAACTGGAAACTGTAATATGTCACTATCCGAGTAAGCTTTGGTGTTAATTGCAGGATCCTTGTCTTTATTATTCAGAGACTTTGACTATGGTTATATATAATGGGAGACCTGCAACACGTGATTTTGATTGTATATAGATTGAACTAGACATGCATTTGTTTCTTTATATAGGCTGATGATGTTTATTACAATAGGATATGAGTTTGAAAACTTGCAGAGTTAAAAACTGCGAATGAAGGAAGTCCAAATCAACTTCGTCCATTTTTTACACTTAACCATGTTTGGATCATATGTGAATCGTATAGTCAGTCATCTTTTCTAGAAATAACCAAATTTCCTGATTTTGATGGAATCGTTTCAGAACTTGGATTCATTCATCGACCCTCACAAATCTCAAAAGAAACTTTCATTCATGCACATTCTTATTTATATCAAAAATAAAATAAAAGTGATCTTCGAAATGATTTAGACCGTGCACATTAATTAGATATCAGTTTTTGTCTACAAATTAAAGTTTCATGTTTGATTAAAAGTAAAATAAATATATAAAAAAAAAGACACAGAAGATCTCATGACAACGACACTTAACCGACCTGGTCCCTCTAAAGTAAAGTCTGACATAAACAACTCTCAAAACTTTGTCAAATGCAAATTCGGAGAATGAGAGACTTTTCCTTTCCAGAGATGTATATTCCCGAGAAACTGAGAGAACGTATCTAATCGGGAAGAGTATCTCCACGTTCTTTGCCCGTCTCGTAGGTTACGCATCAGCAGCTGGGTTTTGTCTGCCTTAACTCAAACTCAAACTCAAAAAGCTTCCTTTCTTTTAGTTTGCCGTCCGTTTGAAGGTGTTCCCTTCTCACTTCCTCACCACGATTCTTCTTGTATCCACAAATTTTTAGGTTCTTAAATCAAATCTCCTGTGTTCTGTTTTGATTCACTTTGGTCTTTGATTTGAGTGTTGATTTGTTTTCTAAAGGTGTCTCTACGGATTCAATTGAGTATGCAGACGAAACGAGAAGTTTCTGAGTACAGAGAGAGACTTAATGAGACCTTGTCGTCTCCTGAGCTCTCTGATGACCAAACTCTCAAGACCCTAATCAGAAAACAGCTCTATGAAGGTTTTTGTTGTTGTTGATGATTTGCTATATACTCTTCATTTTGCCTTTCCTTTAATGTTTTTAGTTTCATGTTTCATCACGCAGAGTGTAATGTGGATATACTGGATCAGAGAGTAGCTGCTTTATCCAGTGCAATTGAGAAGCTTAGGAGTGTATCAGCAAAGGATCAAGACTTGTCTAAGTCAAGCAACGAGGCGTCTTATGGTGATTGGAAAGTATGTTTATTGTTTTTCTCTTTTTGGCTCGATTTTGTGATCATCTTCTTGATCTTTTTGAAACGGAATTGCAAAAGAGTTGTGTTTTCTTGTTTACAGTTGAAACATGATGATGAACATTGTCGTGTTATGTACCGTGAAGGACTTAAAGGAAGTCCATTTCATACACTGCTCGTTGAAGGTTGCGTTGATGGGACTATCGAAGACTGTAAGTTTTCTTAAGAGTTTGCACCGCAAGAGAAAAGGTTTTGGATTTGATTCTAACTGTGTTTATGCAGGTTTATGTGTATGCTGGGAATCTTCATTCTATGAGAAATGGTGAGAGCTACCTTCTTTTTGCTTATGGAATGTCTCTTGTTTACGAAAATTTGATCGCTTATTGTTTCTATGTTTTCTCAGGTGGCCAAAAATGGTTTTTCCGTCATTCAGGGTCTTAGAAGCTAAATGCTTGCAAAAGTGTAGGATCGATGAACAGATATGTTTACTGAGGTCTGTTTCACGAATTGCTATCTTTGTTCCTATTGTTACTTATTCGTGAAGCTAATCTCTAAAATCTGAATACTTTGATGATATTTTTCTGGGGAAGAAAGGGTGAAAGCACCGTGGCCATTGACAGACAGAGAAGCTATTTTGCAGTTTTTCGTATTTGAATACTTTAAAGACGGTTTAGTCATCATCCTACTTAACTCGGTAAAAACAAGTTAGTTAGATTTTGCTTGATTTCCTTGCATCTTATTCCAGTTCTTATTGATTTGACATCATCCTAAACTGTTATCTGTTAGATCGAAGTAGAGAGCAACGGTATAGCTGAAGTAGCGAATGCTGTGAGGATTGACTTTGTAGGCGGAGTTGCTATACAAAAGGGGACTCCAGAAAGGAGTTACGTAAGGTGAGTGTGAGTGAGTGATAACTGATGAGTGATGACATTGTATACTAACTTGAAACTTGGATATATTAATGTCTTTGATTTTTGTAGATTCATAGCGGAAGTGGATATAAAGCTGGACTTGGTCCCTCCATCCCTTATCAATTTCATGTCCAGGCAGCTTCTTGGCAACGGTTTCACACTTTTCAAGAAGGTCATTGTCAGTTTTTTAATAGTTCATAAATACCTGATTTGTCAATTTGCTAGCTTGTGTGATGTTTTGCGTTTAATTGAATGTTTACAGACTATTGGTTCCGTGGCTTATTCAGATGATTACACCAGAGTTTTAGCTGATCCATTGTATACTCAGATACATGAAGCTCTGTATTCTACTGCTAAAACTAATGAAATCTGCCAGGTAAATGATGTTTTTAGCGAACAAGGAAGGGGCTGTGAAGAGAAAGAACTTAAGTTGGAAGCTAATGATCTATATATGGCAAAAGAGAATGAGACTCGACATCGCGAGAATGAATCTGTATCTTGCAAAAGATATGTTCCTGAGATTGAGGAAGAAGATTGTGTAAATGGAAAAGAAGAATATAAAAGTGTTCCTTCTTCTTCTTCTTCTTCTTCGGTAGAGGATGAAAATATCACTAGGAAGACTCAAAACAAGAATGGCAAAACACGATTCTGCATAAGTCCAGAAGTGAAGCAAGCTTTAGGGACACTAGAGAGAGTGATATCAATGGTTAGAAAAACCAAAACTGATAATAATAAGGCATCAACCTCTTCGGAGGAAGAAGAAGAAGAAGAAACATCATCATCACCATTGCAGAATTCAGGGAGCATTCATCTTGTTTCTAATAGCAAAGTTTGTATTCAAGATCCTAAAACTGAACTTCTTGATGAAGCATCCTTTGCACATTATAACAACAACAATAACAACAGCAACAGGTAAAACTATAGTATCTATATAAAAAAAATGTTTGCTTGGGAGTAGATTTAACCTTTTAAGTGGTTTTATAGGCGAAGTGGATCTAGTTCTTTTGCAAGAGAAGGCAACAAAGTAGCTCCTGCATCACCCGAGATCGATCTTACAACAAATTCTGAGGTCCCAAGGATAACAGTGTCACAAGCCACAACTCTTTTTAGCCAAACAACAGAGAATTCTGACGACAAACCGAGTGGTTTAAATGGAGGTAGCTCAAGTCTGCAGAGGAAAAGTAACCCGGGCTGCTTTGGTTTCAGGTTTTGCATAAGGACTTAGAAACTGGCATTGGTAAAAAAAGCCAAAGATTTTGTTTCTCTGAAGTTGCATACACAAGGAAACATCATTGGTTTTACTTCACTGTGGTTGGTGTTAATATTTTTCAACGGTCTAGATCTTATGAATAAGGACGAGGTTGAGTAATTTTGTTGTAAAGGTTCTATTAGTAGTTCCGAATACAATATAAGATGAGATTTAAAGCATCAAGAGATTTTGATTGTAGTTCACTCAATGTCAATACTCAATAGATTTCTGTGAACTATTTGATTTTATAACCAATGAACTTTAATAGAACTTACAAATAATTTACAAGGTCTTTTGTAAAAATATCAAATCAGTAGTGTACAATTTGAGATCTTTTTTTTTTTTTTGTCAACTGTACATCATGGGAGTTAGATTTTGCTACTTTCTTTATAATGTAAAAAAATTAATTGTTGTTCTTATATCTTATCAGTAGTGTACAATTATACCTGTAACCGAAGCTTAAATATTAAAATCGTTACGTTAAGACGAACCGGTTCGGTTAGTGAATAAACCGAAGAAACCCTAATTGGCTAATGGGCTAGACCTGAGGGATAATAAACCCTTGTTTCTTCTCTTCTTCTTCGCCGTCTTTCCTCATTAGACTTCCGAAAATTCACAAAGCTTGAAAACAGTTTGATTCACTGAGCAAAGAGCGTTTTATCTCCTCGATTTTGGAATCTCCATTTGCGATGGAAGGTTCGGCTGATCAAACCACGAAAGCTTTATCTGAACTAGCCATAGATTCTTCTACCACCTCGAATGCTGCTGCTGACCCTGCCGCTGCTGATGCTGCTGAACCTCGGAGTAAAAAGTACGTTTTCGTCTGATGTTATTCTTTTTACACTTTTGTGAATCCTCGTACGGGATTTGATTGTATCGGCTTTGTCTTTTTGATTTTTTCTGTGTAGTGCTCTGAAGAAGGAACTGAAATTGAAGCAGAAAGAGGAAGAGAGGAAACGCAAGGAAGAAGAAAAGGCAAAACAAGTGAGCACTCTTCTTTGTTTCCTTCTGATTCGTAACAATTCTGGGGAAAATCATTATAGATTATTGAATTATCTTGATAGCATCTCCATCGAGAAGTTTCAAGTTTTCTAGTTAATGAGTCTTGATTTTATTGATGCAGGCTCCCAAGCCAAGCTCCCAGAGCCAGAAGTCAGTGGCAGCAGATGATGAGGAGATGGATCCAACGGTATGAATCCGTTCAGTAGTTTCCTTATTCTCTTATGCAATGCAGCTTTACGTGTAATGTATGAATCAAGTGTTCATTTCTTTACTTTTTTGTTTCTAATATCTTTTGCAGCAATACTTTGAGAACAGATTGAAGTATATTGCGGCTGAGAAGGCTAAAGGAGAGAATCCATACCCTCATAAGTTTTCTGTGTCAATGTCAATTCCTGAGTACATTGAGAAGTATGGTAGTTTGAACGATGGGGATCATATTGAAGATGCTGAAGTTTCTCTGGCTGGTATGTTAAACTGCTAAGTGCTATTTGCATAAATTTTCGTAGCCGCTTGTCCTTTTTACTGAAAAAGATTCTTTCATTGTTGAACTTTGCTAGGCCGGATAATGAGCAAGCGATCTTCCTCTACCAAGCTTTTCTTCTATGATCTACACGGTGATGATTTCAAGGTTCAAGTTATGGCTGATGCAAGGTGAATGCTTTGTCTACCAGACTTTTTAAAAAGGAAAAAAAATACAATGCTGATTACTAAGTTTTATTGCCTTCTATCCTTCCAGGAAGTCAGGATTGGATGAAGCTGAGTTTTATAAACTCCATTCGAATGTTAAGCGTGGTGATATTGTTGGAGTCACTGGATTTCCAGGTTTGTGCAGCCTATATATATGTATTTTCATTCTTTAAGTCTATCCCAACCTCCTATTCACTTTTCGCTTTACTCTAATCTCAGGAAAAACAAAGAGGGGAGAATTGAGTATCTTCCCCCGATCATTTATTCTTCTGTCCCATTGCCTCCACATGATGCCGAGAAAGGCTGATAATGTGAATGCAAAGGTACAGTAGATTCTCTGTGGCTGTTATAATACCTTTAGAAATTCCTTATTTGTTTTAAACTAACCTCTTTCACTTTTTTGCTCAAATGTAGAAACCTGAAAGCTGGGTTCCAGGGGAAACGAGAAATCCTGAAGCATATGTCCTGAAAGATCAGGTATTATAAATTTTACAAAGGTCTATAAAGATTGTTATGGCAGTGTCGTAGTGACTATTATTCTGTTTCTGTTCAAGCAAGCGTTTGATGTCCTTGTGTATTGGCAGGAATCAAGATATCGCCAGCGTTATCTTGATCTCATGTTGAACGTGGAGGTTCGTCAGATATTCAAGACCAGAGCTAGTATCATCTCCTACATCCGTAGATTCCTCGACAATAAAAAGTTCTTGGAGGTTCGCAATCTCTCAATTACCTTTTGATTTTGCAGCCAGTTGAGTGTTCTCTCCTGATATTCTTAAATTTTAAATAGGTCGAGACACCTATGATGAACATGATTGCTGGTGGAGCTGCTGCGAGACCATTTGTGACACATCACAATGATTTAGATATGAGGCTGTACATGCGTATCGCACCTGAACTCTTTCTTAAGCAACTCATTGTTGGTGGACTGGAACGTGTTTATGAGATAGGAAAGCAATTCAGAAACGAGGGTATTGACTTGACCCATAATCCGGAGTTCACCACTTGCGAGTTCTATATGGCTTTCGCAGACTACAATGACCTGATGAAAATGACTGAGGATATGGTCAGTGGAATGGTCAAGGAATTAACAGGTGGTTATAAAATCAAGTATCATGCTAATGGGTATGATAAGGATCCAATTGAAATCGACTTCACTCCTCCGTTCAGGTTTGAGACAACATCTTTATTGATTAAACCATAACCTTTAGGATAAAGCTTTGCTTTGGTAAAAATCTACGTTATTTTTGTTTTTGTAGGAGAATTGAGATGATAGGAGAGTTAGAGAAGGTGGCTAACCTGAATATACCAAAAGACTTGACTAGCGAAGAAGCCAACAAGTATCTGGTTGATGCATGTGCGAGGTTTGATGTCAAATGCCCTCCTCCTCAAACAACAACTCGTCTGTTAGATAAAGTATAATCTTCTTTCTATCTGCTGCCTTTCTAGCATATGTAGTAGGATAACAAATTTAAATCTGAAATATTGCCGGGTTTTTTTTTTGCAGCTTGTTGGTGAATTTCTGGAAGTGACATGTGTGAACCCAACTTTCATCATCAACCATCCCGAGATCATGAGTCCATTGGCAAAATGGCACAGATCGAACAATGTTTTGACAGAGAGATTCGAGCTGTTCATCAACAAACATGAAGTAAGCCAAAAAATTTGAAAAAGCCCAACTTTGATTCATTGCACCGTTGTCTTTAAGAGTGTTTTGACTAACATGTTATAACTGGACTGCAGCTATGCAACGCCTACACGGAGCTGAATGATCCTGTGGTACAGCGCCAGCGTTTTGCTGATCAGCTGAAGGACCGACAATCTGGAGACGATGAAGCGATGGCTTTAGATGAGACATTTTGTAATGCTTTAGAATACGGATTGGCTCCTACAGGTGGTTGGGGATTGGGAATCGACAGACTGACTATGCTCTTTACTGACTCACAGAACATCAAGGTCACACTCTCACCTCCAAGTTTATCTCTGTGTGATGTATTTCTTTTTTGACTAAACTCATGATTTGGGAATACTGTTACAGGAAGTTATTCTCTTCCCGGCGATGAGGCCACCACAGGACGAGTCAGCAGCCGCCAAAGGTATGAACTAACTAGTAATTATAGTAATAATCGACTGGTAACTGTTCCCTCAGGATGGCTTTTTTAAACCCTGGTTTTAAAATATTTTTGCAGCTCCTTCACAAACAGAGAAGAACTAAGGAGAGTCTGCACCGACTGAGCATTTAAAGTTTGGTAGTCATTAGGCTATTATGGCGCTCTGTTCTCAAATTACTTGTAATTGCAGACCAAATTGTTTAAACAAGAAAAGAATTACCAATGAGTTATTATCAAAGACCTTTGTAAGACTCTCTTTGCAATCGTCGACGGTTTCTTGGCCGTGATTTCACTCGGATATTGAAGTTCCTGTTTTGTCTAATATCCATGTATTTTGTATTCTCATGAGCTTACCTACCGGTCTGGTCTCTAACTCTGCATATACGAATGAAGACAACCGAGACTAGTTGCAGCAGGTCGTTCTTTTTCTAGTGTGAAATTATTGAGCGTAGGGCCATTCTATCTTTGCCACCTTCAGCATTATCAATATCAAGTGCGCTGCGTTTTTCATTAGAAAAAAGGAAGAGAGAATATATATAAAAAAAAAATAGTCAGCTCCATTGTATTATGATATCATATCTATAGACACCAAAAACAAGTTATTGTTTAAGTGGTTGAAATGGTCTACTACTGTTGATAAAACCTTGTTTAGAGCTCTAGCTAAATATACAGCTATTATACTAATAAAGAGACTGAAGGGGAACAAATTAGAAAAAGTCATCGATTGAAAATGATAGGTCATCCAGCTTTAAGCTTTGTGTTGTGTAATTGGGTCTCTCCCTCTATTTCATGATAATAATATCTCACATAGACAGCCGGACGCCAACTCATCTCCTCTCTCCAACACATGTTTCATCATCGCTCTTACCAAATCTATATATAATACCTTCCATTTCTTTTCTTTTTTTTGTATTTCGCTATAAAAATAAATAAAACAAAATAAAGTCATACCTTTCAATATTAGTATAATGATAATTCAACCGAAATGGAGATTATTTTACCACAGAATATTAAGACAAATTACTCAGTTATAACACCGAGTTAATAAACTTTGTTTGTGTAACACAGACTTCGGCAAAGAACGTTGAATACAAATTACTCTATATCTGATGATATAATGATGTTTTAATGAAGTGGAATTTGACGCACTCTAAAACCATTCACAAATTAAAAGGCCAACTAAAAGAAAGAGGGATCATTTACGAGTTGAGAGAAGAAAATGGTGGTGGTGGTGGTGGGTACTCAAAAAAAGTCTTTTTCTTTTGTTCCCCACTTTATGATTCATTTTCATTACACCAAATCAATTGAAAAAATGAAGTTCACATATCTATCTAATTACAGTATTTATAACCCCCAAAACTCAAAACCCCCACCCAAAAATAAAAATAATAATATACTTTTCTCATATTAGAAATAAAAATCCAACAAAACCCCTCTTTCATATTCCCATTGAAGAATATGCTTTGAACATTGATGTTATTCCCTCTCTTGTGTTTTGTTTCGTTTGTCCTGCTCTTTTCCTCCAAGTCTTTCATCCTTGTCCAAAGAACCTGCAATAACACGAAAACTATTGAGTCCATGAACGATCGTTCGTCGCCTTTAATCGATCGTTCGTCGCCTTTAATCGATCGCGAAACTCTTAACCGCAGATACTAACCTTTGATATGTGTATACAGACAACACTCGAGAGATGTTTCTTAAATAATCTCTTCCAGGTTTGATGAATTCATCAGCATCTGCTTAGATATGAGTCCTTGCCTATTGCTCCAAGCATTCTACATGCTACTTCCAGCAACTTCCCTGTTTTTAAATACAGAAATAAACTTTTAATTATTAGGTCATCATCACTATCAATCACAATCACAATCTCCTGTCACCTTATTAAATTATTTCTGAAAGAAAAAAGCTTAAACACCCAATAATTTAATTAACTAAATTTAATAAGTGAAAGCTTAGAAACGTGAGAAGATGCTTTTTTAGGTAATGTGAAGAAGCTTCTCATGATTCTTTCTTTCTAATTACTTCTCACCGGAATCATCCGTTGGTCTGGCTCGTTTTGCCGGAGATCATATGACTAATCCAATGTCTTGAAACTAATTACTTTGAACCAAAACAGATTCTTTCTAACATGACACAAATATAAACCTACTTATTCACACATGATGGTTATATTATAAATATAATCTCAATGAATCTACGTTTAGATCAATTCACCCTATAATCCCTAATGCTACCAAACAGTAAACACAAATTAAAATCAAACAAAAGATGAATCAAATCATACCTCTTCTCGGTTGAACAACTTTCTTAGCCGAACCGGTCGATTTCTTAACCGTCTCTTCTTCCTCCTCTGGGAACAGAACACCATCGATCCCTTGAACCGATATCCGACCGTCGGTGTAAATATCCGGATCAAACAAATAAGCCGACCGGTCACCAGAACCGAACTTAACCGAACCATCAGCTTCCTTAGCACCAACCTTGTGAGGAAAACGCAGCGTTTCGTATTTGACCTTCCCAAATCTCCTAACCGAATTATACATACTCTCCTCCGTCTGATACTCGGGTATAATGTGGTAATACATGATTTGCTCCGGAGCTCCGGGCTCGCTCAGCTGATCCGTCGTCAATTTCGCCATAGCTTCGTCGTTCGGAGCTAACACGGTGAGGACGTAACCTTCAGACACTAATCTACCCATCTCCGTCGCCAGCGACGTCAGATTCACGAGGATATCGGCCATTTCGTTGTATCCGCCGTAATGCAACAATGTGTGGATGAAATCTTTGACCTGAGCATCGCCGTTGAAGTGTTTGCGAGCACCTCCTGGTCCCGGAGCCGGAGCCGGAGCTAGCGAAGGACCTGGAGCCATAGCGGATTGAATCGGAAGCACCGGCGGAGATCCGGCGGGAACTGCGGCGGATGCGGGTTTTTTGAGACGGTTGGTTCTCGGATCGATTTCAGGAGCTCCTTCGGGTAAAACGGCGGAGATTGATCGGAGACTTCTGCGTCGGTTGAAATCTTCTTGAACGGAACGAGGGATCAAAAGCCGCTCGATACCGTGGATCAAACCGTCGGGTCGGGTCAAATCATCGGGTCGGGTAATGACAGCGGAATTGACCAGTCTCTTGCCGTTGGTTCCTTTGAGTTGAGTTAAATGCAGCACTTGATCATTGCCTAGCGTAACGTGTTTGACCCGACCCGAATTCTCGTCAGGCCATTGGTTGGAGGCGACTCGTTTGGGGATAATGTGAGACAAGAGAAGCGTCTGGAGAGATTTGAGGTTACCTGGTTGGAGCAAGAAGCGTTTGAAATCAGGGTCGAGGTCACGCTCGAGGGCTTCATTGCGAGGGGCGAAAATAGTAATATTGTGACGACCGACGGCGTCTTCGAGGGTTTGGAGAAGGAGAGCCTTCTCGACTAGCTCGGCTAGCTCAGTGTAACGAGAGTCAAGGAGAGCTACGAGAACGGAGTTGGAGTTTATTTGACCAGACCCGGTGACGTTGTGGTGACCCGGTTCGAGAGCGGATGCAGTGAGGAGGAGGAAGAAGAGAGTAATGGCGGAGCAACCATAGATACAACGATCCATGGTGCTCTGTAAGATTGAAATAATCTGTTGAAGAAGGAATCAAGAAAGAAAAAATATGTTTTTGGAGAATTGAAGTTTGTTTTTTGTCGATGTTTAGTTGAATAGCCGGCGATTAGAAAGTGGGGAGTGAGAAACACAGAGGAGAGAGATGTGAATGTGAGCTGCTTCGGTGGTCTGTGTTTGTGTATCAAGTTTGGGTTTTCGGACAGGCTGGTGTTGGGGACCACACGGTGTCTGAATGAAAAAAGAATTAATTATTTTTCTTAGCTCTGACTTTTATTTTTATATATTCGGCTCAGCTCGGCTTCCCATTAATTAATACGTCTCTTAATCAAACCCTTTTTATAGAGTAGTATTATTTATTTATTTTTTGTTTTTTTCTCGGCTAAATCATTTTAAAAAATCATATAATCATTGAATAAACAACGGGACACACCACTTTGTTTTTGTTTTTTGTCTTTATTGATAAACTTTTTTCTTTAATTAATGAAGAATTACTACTAATTTCAGAACAAACAAGTTCTGATGCTATTAAACTCTTCAGATGGAATTTCTAGTTATGCAAGTGAATTCGTATTTCCTTTTTTTTTTTATCCGTGATTTAGGTATCAAATGGTCATAGTACTATATTACAATATCAGATATAATTTGATACTCAAATATTTTACATTGATTTCTAAAATCAGTGTAAAACGAAGTAATCGTAATTTTAGTTTAAAATTAAACTAAATATACGGAACAATAATATTAGCATTTTTTGCATTTATACGATAGGGTGAAAATGATGGTCTTTGAAGTTTTCCTTTTATTAAAGTCTTTTTAACTCTTAAGATAACAAGGACTAAGACAATCAGCGAGAATAATAACAATAACAAGATGATTATTATTAGAAAGAAAAGAAAGGGAGAGTAGTTAAATAGTCAGTCTTCTGAAGTTAATGATGTGGTGGGTGTTGATACTTAAATTGAAAGTGAAATTAATAAGAGAACTTCAACCAAACATCATATATAACCTAAAAGAAAAGAAGAGAGACATGTGAAGCAAAGGAAAGAAGCCGAAGAAGAAGGAAGGAAACACGTGGCTTGAAATGGAGCTGTCGGTGGTATGTATATGTAAATGACCTAATACTTACAACCATCATTTAATGTATAATACTATATAGTAAGAGAGAGAGACACCTTTTGGTTGCTACGTTATGTTCGTGAATCGTGTTATGAAATGTCCCACCTCCTTCAAACTCTTCCTCCACTTATTACCCCTTTTGTTGTTTGTTGTTTACTCTCTCTCTCACTCACTCCACTCTCGTACGCGCTCCTCCCAACTTGTCATGTGCACTTACTTCCAACCCAAATCAAGGACAGCGTTTTTGGCAAATGTTTGTCGTTTTACAAAATGTTTCTCATGGTTCCCGCTGGATTACAAAAAGAGACAGGGCTTTAAGAAGGCCCAATTGAACTTAAAAACTTCATCACTTCAAAGTAGTCTCGTCTGTCTTATTTGCTTTCGGCCCTTATCATTATATCCACGGGCTTTACCCTTTGTCGTCGTCTATAGAACCATCTGAAAAAATCCATATTGAAGAATTATGAACTTTAATATTCAAAACGAACGATTTAGCAGTGAATGAATCAACCTATATATATCTCGCATGTTTCTGTCTTCTTCTTTTCCATTGCAAGATCCAAACACGAATGCAACTCTTTCATATTTCATATATAAAAGAAAAGATCCCTAAAACATTGACATTAATTATTGGACCTAAAACATGGATCGGTTCTACATATAACATACCCTTTAGTTATCTTCATATTATTCATTCCGCCAAAGTGAGAATGAGAAGGTAAATGAGGTCACCAAAGAGGAGAGGACGGGTTTATAATTACATCTACATACAAAACCTATGACTATCAAAGATTCAGAGAGGTCCCCATCTTTTACTTTTCTTTTCGTACCACTAGTTGATTTCTTTTTTCTTCTTCCCGGTGATGACCTTTTGCTTTGTCAATGAAGACATAAAAATATGCGCATCTTCGAATAACCCAGGTCCAAGTATATAATTAACTAATTAAGTTGCCGAAAGAGCCGAAAGGGTAAATACATTTTTTTTTTAAAACCCCTCGTGAGTTTTATATTAACAACAAAATAACAACCAAGACATTCTTAATTTTAAAACACATTATCTTATATAATAACAATGATAAGATGAATGAATCCTCCGGCATTTTCTTTCGGTACAAGACGCACGATTTCATTTTAATACGATGTCTATGTTTTTTACGGCTTTTTTTATGTTGGTTGGAGATGGTTTGGTTGTTCAGTCTTTATTGAAAAAAAATCATATTTTACGTTTTTTTTTTGGTCGTAGCTGTAAGGAATCTTTATTGTTTACAAAGATCTGAAAAAAAAAAAGAACAGTTTGCATGAGATTCAGCAAATGATGAAATAAATGAAGTAGGGTAACATGCAAAGATGAATTAGTGATAGTGAAGTTACAAAAAGAAAAAAAGACAATTGAAAAATTCACAACAAAAGAAGAGTAAATTAGAGAGAGACGAAGAAGAAGGCATGAAGGTGGTGATAGCAACTAGCAACACCTGAATTAATTGCTTTTTTAAAACAACACTAATGACAAGTGATTTTTCATGGTCCCCCCCCCCATTCAATTACCTCACCCACCCCTACAAAGTCTACAACTCTTCCCAAAACCCCTTGAATATATATATATAGGTAAGGACAGCTTCCATAATTAATAATAATACTCCCACCCTCTTCTAAATCTCTATATTTTTACCCTTTTTATTCTTACTTTCACCTCTCCACGTCCCTCGTTTATTTACCGCATCACCTAATCAATCTGATGCCTTTTGTGGTACGAGTGATTAGCTAGTAAAGATTACAACACATCGAATCAAACTCTAGTTTTGTATCCTCAACTCTTTTCATTTTTCTTGAAATTGGTCTAATTAACTCTAACGGATCAAAAAATTCCAATGTTGGAATGGTTAGTTGCGTTCAAGATCGACAAAATACATCACTCACATGCTATTCATGTTTCGAAAATTCACATTGTTGACGATCCCATACCATTGGAATTTAAAAGTCACAACACCAAAGATTTTGACCAAAAAAAAAGGCAGAAGAAGCTTTACACACAAATTACAACAACACTCTCTCACACACACAAATTAATCAAACCACTATTAACAAGAAAAAAAGCCTCACTCATTCACCTAATCAAAATGCCTAACGGCTCTCGTTGTCGTCGCCACCGTTGCGTCTCTATTCCGGTATACTTCCGTAAACGACGTTCTCGGCGATGACGAAAGAGACTTCGAAACTCTCGGAGACGAAACCGATTCTCTCTGTGACGGACTTCTCCAAAACCCGGCGCCGTAAAACCTATTCCACATCTCTTTCTCCAACGCTAGCACCGCCGCGTCGTCTTCACCTGTCTCCTCCTCCTCCTCCGTCGCAAACACCGCCGTTACCGGCTTCCCGATATACTTCAGATCCAGGAAGTTATCATCGTCTTCGTCTTCGGAGACGTCTTCGCTATCCAAGGGATGAATCGCGAATTCGGAGTTCTGGAAAACTCTCTGCATCCGCTCGTTTTTCCCGGCCGACAGAAGCGGAGGAAGCATCCCGCTCTTCACGAGCTGTTTGCGGCGGCGGCTCCGGATAGCGCGGCGGCAGATTCCTTTGGGGACTTTGTAGATGGCGAGGACGAGGAGGTTGACGAGTCCGCAGGGACAGCAACACCAGACGGCGGCGCAACTGGCGGTGGTACCGCCGCAGAACTCGGCGGGAGTGGATCCGCCGCAAGTGGCTCTTGGAGAAGGAGAAGAGAGGCTACGTTGGAGCAAAGGCTGTCTACGGTGACTACGAGAAGGAGAAGAAGATGGAGTATCTGACGGTTTCGTTGGCCTAGACATCTGTCTTGGATCGTAACGTAACGTCGTGTTCATTTTTTCTTTTTTTTTATAAACAGAGAGAGGTCAGATTTTAAAAAAATCAATATTTTACTTGATCGTGTTGGTCTGCTTCTTCTTCTTCTTGGTTCAATTTTGAATCACAGAGGATTAATATGGAAACAAGGCCAAGCGCAACACCACGGAGTTATCTCCGGTGATGGCGACGGCGAGAAAGAAGAAGAAAGGCGAAAAAAAGAAAGGGAGTGACCTGTGGAAAGGAAAAAAAGAACAGAGAAAGCAAAGCGATAAATTAGGCGGGAGAAGTATAGGAACCAGACGTTTAATTATGACTTCCCGGTGGAGAAAATTAAAAAATGAAAAAGCAGGGGGTGACTTGAGAGGTCGTCCGAAATGGAGGGAGAGGATGAGTTTTTGGGTCGTGTGCGTGGGGGAAGGAAAGGTGAAGAAAGAAGGATTTGTGTCATTGTGTGTGTATTTATATATACAGCGAGAGATAGACACAACACAACACGAGAGTCCAACAAAAGTCCTTTTATTTGTTATCTTCTTCAGGTTTGGGGCTTTCTCTGTTTTTTTTTTTTTTTTTTTTTTGTTCTTCTTGCTTCTCTCTCTCAATTACAAACTACGTATAAAGTTTTTGTTTTAACGCGAACAAAACCCTACAATTTATGACTAAAATTGACTATCATCATGGTAAATAAAGTTATACATATTTTATTAGGGTTATAATCATCATTCTTAAGTTAATTACTATTTCTCTCAAGCACAAATTTTCCATCACAGTTTTTGTTTCACATTCATGCGATAAATTTACCAATCAGAAAATATAGATTACAACTTTTTATTTTCTTTCTTCTAAAAAATTATTTAAACGATAACACAACAATAAATAGATCGAAGATAGAAAGCAAATCATTGCACAAAACGAAAATGACATTTTTGTTGTGAGAGAAAGAGAGATCAAACATCAAAAGTGATGATTAGCTTATCTATCAATACACGTATGTATGTGTATTAAATATCTGACAATATATATTTGGATTAAATTTATCCGAATTTAGACGTCATCTCCTAGCCTTGGTTAGATGTTGATTGGTTTTTTTATTTTATTTTTTGTATTCGTCAACGAACTGATCGAAAACAAAACAAACAAACAAAAAAACCCAAGTATGGCGTACCACTATCATTTACAACAGGTATATTACCACAATATCTTATTTATCTCTTTCCATTTTTTTTTAAATAAACTCTGGGGAGGGACGACTGGGTTCATGCCCTCCAAGTTATAAGGTCAATGCATGTACTCATCTTTGAATATATTCGTCCCTTTAATTTGGAGCAAATATATCAAGTAATGAAATAACTTTTTGGCAAGAGAATATATCATTCTATCGTATATATATATACCATATGGACCAAGAATCTGGGGACCCTAAACAATTAACACATCATATCTTTACTTACTTACTTTGTACATTTACAAGTATTTTGATGACATTTAACGTACCAAAAATACCATGATGAAAGATTATGATGCCGGCACAAACTTCCACGAGCTGTAATTAAGTAAAGCGTTTGAAATAGAAACATCAGTTCTCTCGTTCAAAAGTATTAAAGTTACTGTCCAAAATGTGTAAAATGTAGATAATGCGAATAATAACTCCAAAACACAACAGACGACAAGGAATCAATCCATAACTGGCAAAGCTATTAAAAAAACTCTCACATTAAATCGAGGACTGTAATTTAGGAAAATAGTGAACAATATTAGGTTGACAAGATTTGCTTGCTTTTTGATTACAGTGGTCACTCATCACTATCCGTGGACCGGTTTGGGAGTTACAAAGATCCCCCTCGCGACCCTAGGAGTTGCTGAAACGTATAGAATATAAAGATAAAAAAAAACTAAAAAGATGCTTCAGAACAAAGAAAACAAACACAAAAGATCGGCAAAAAGATAATGCTCCTAGCTAGGGATTAGATTCATCAGATTAGATGTAACGCTCCTCGGAAAAATTAACTATAGCGCACCCCTAACACCTTCTCTGACAACATTTTTTAATAATAGTGATTGATTCCTCTCACACGTCAAATTATCTCTTCTATTTCGAGGTACCTCTATTGACAACTTGCATGGGTCCTGTCTTGTTAGTATACAAGAACAGAAGGAGGAGGAATCAACCAAAATGGGTATGATCATTAACTAATATAAAGCCATGTTTCTAGTTTAAGGTCTATATTACTCGAATACATTACTAGTAATATGTGGACCCTCTATGCATCCAATCTATCTAATGTGGACAGGTAATGGTTTCGTTTTCTCATCTTGTCTGCATCCAAATTCTATACATTATTCAATTCGATTCTGGTCTAATCAAAGTCATTGTCTACTTCACGTACGTGATCTCATAATGTATATACATGTCATAAATAGAGAAAGAGAGAAGTATTTGACGGATGTAGATATATATGATAGCTTGATCCCAACAATTTCTAGTTAAATATTTCCTCCTAATTAATCCAAATTTCAAAGCCTCTTCAAGTATAGGAAATAGAGATTAAGAAATATAAGGAAATAAGAAGATAGAAGAGGAGGTCACGCAAGTGCACAAGAGAACGAAAAGAGGAATAGCGCATTTCATAAGTCATGTAATCATCATTATATATCCTCATCAGAAAGTTGCAGTAGACTACAAACAAAAGTCTCATATCTGGATCTTGTTTTGTACTTTCCACTGAACGAAAGATATATATGTATGTGACGCGCGTATTAATTACAAGGTTATTTTTTAACAAGAATGCTAAATTTGGTACATAATTTGTGGATCGACGACCTATTTTCCCCCGATAACTATCACATCGTATCATAACACCACAGAACTTTGATCTCGTCTTTAAACCACCCGAATCAAAAGTTCTATTGCTATTTCTACCCGAATCGAAAGTTCTATCCCTATTTCTCCAATTGCGTGGATTTACATGGTTTTCGAACCAAACCCGATACAAAACCAATGAAACACGGTTTATAACAAATTTAAAACCCGACCCGAGACCAACTCACCTTGACTCAAGAACCCTAACCCTAAATTTCAAAAAAACCCAGAATCAAAATCCCCAAATTGATTTTGGTGTACTTTTAACAAATGTTGATTCAACAAAAGCTTAGAGAATTAGTTCCAACTTCTAACAAATGTTGTTTCAATGGAAAATGTTGCATGAAGAGAGAAACCACTGTCCAACAACACATTCAACGGAGTCGCTCCTTTATCATCTCTTTCTCATCCAAGGAGTTTGATTGAAAACGGATCAAGAATTCAAGAAAAGGATAAGAGACAGTTAGCATGTCCATAATATGTTCAAAATCCAAATCCCAAACTTGATTAAAAAAAAACATACATTAGCTCTAACTTCAGTGAGCATTCTTCACACAAGAGATCCTTTCGTACATCGCAGCCAACATTAACGGAGTCTAAAAGAATCAAATCAAGAACAAAAAAAAAATCAAAACCTGCTTGTGACGATTCAACAAATCTGGATTCGTAAATCGTTCCAAAAGCAAAGACAAAATCTGCAAATCAAAGTAGAAAATGCATCATTAACATCGAATCAAACAAGAATCATCTTCAACCCCAAGTTTAACACCACGAATCTGAAACGATTTTGGGTTCTTAGGTTAATTTTTCTAACCAGGTTGGTTTAGTTCTCTAATTGGGTTGAATAAGGTTTAATCCGGTTAAATGATTCGTCTTTTGGTTCATCAAAACAGTAACCCGATTTTTAACCGTATAAAACCCAGATTTTTGGAAAATTAGATGAGAACTATGATAATCGGGGAGAAATAAGAATAGAACTTTTGATTCGGGTGGAAATAGAAATAAAACTTTTGATTCGGGTGGTTTGAGGACGAGGTCAAAGTTTTGTGGTGTTATGATACGATGTGATAGTTATCGGGGGGAAATAGGTCGTCGATCCGGTACATAATTTGTAATATGGTCATTTGTATAATTGAGTTACTCTGATATGTCTGTGAATGAATTATCTAGGACAAAAAAAAAAAAAAACGAGAATGCAAACAACTTAGGAGTAGATGACGTACTGTATTGGATATTTTGGACGTGAGAAGATGATTTTGGTATTTGGATTGTTGATGATATCTATTGGTCCCTTTCATTTTTATGAAAGAAATGACACGTGTTAACCAGTAATGGAAAAAGTCATGAATACAAATACTTCATATTAAAAAAAAAATAGCATATCTTGAACTAACATGTCACTCAACTCAGACTATATATTATTTCTAGAACATATTTTTGATACACAGATAAACGACGACAACCATACGCGTGTAACAACGTGTTCAATTGTCAAATTAAATTAGGATGAATCATGTTCTCAGACAAAGGGGAATGGAGGTTGGAGGACATAATAATTGATTACAACTCGGTTTGGTTCGACTATTTGTTTAATGCGAAATTTTGTAGCCGCATTGATTTTGGTATGGCTTTTTTTATTTTCTTTAATTTACATAAAATTTATTTTTTAATATAACTTAATTAAAATTAAGCTGGTCGGGTTGAAATATTTTTGTATTAATTTCATTTTCTTACGGTTGAATTCAATATCTTCAGATGAATAAATGTTGGTTTCGTTAAAAAACGTTACTATTGTAACAAGCGGAATGGGCCTAAATTAAGACCACAGATTATGGGTCTCAATTCAGGCCTCAATCGACGATTCGGCCCAATTAGGGTGTGGACAAATATTAGTCATTTTTTTTTTTCATTTTCTCTTGCACAGTTGCAGATGTGTAAAAAATGTATAATTTCCCGAGCGGTTCTTGATATGTTTGATTAAAATTTTCGGATTTGTTCGTCAAGTTTATGGGTACAAAATGGGTCGGCTCTTAGAGGATATAAATGTTGTTAATGTTAGGATTTAAACATAAATATAGTATTATCATATAGCAAAAAGAAAACACCAAACTTTACAAGTTGCAACGATCGAGTAGGAAGTTAAGCTAAATTGTCATGTAGTGATGAAATGTTCCTTTTTGGCCGGTCTCTCCCGACCAATCCGACGTGAATCTTGATGTCCTTTTTCTGACCAATCTTACGTTTCATGAGAAGAAGATCCACGTTCCGGTCACCTTGGTCTTCTTCGTTTCGGGCATTAGCCACGCACTAAGTTTTGTTGGAATTATATCACCAAAACATTGTTTTATGATTGGTTCATGTATACAGGATATTCTAACGAACACGCGCGTTAACAAAAGAACAGCACGTACAAAACCTCTACGATTTTTTTTTTTTCTTTCTTAATTAAATGATCAATCACCAACATATATATAGTAACCTACTCATTCCGATATCATATATACTCCTAGCTAGATGTTCTATTTTTTTTTGAAACAATTCTGTTGATATATAATACACTCAATACACATTTATGAATGCAGAAAAACATGTATATAACCAACCAATATACGTACATGATTGATTATATGCAAAATCGGAAAGGCTTTTGTTGTTGTTGCATGTGTACGAAAATAGGAATATGTTGGTGTGTGCATGGCTATATAGCCTATAGGCTATAGATGTAAAGTTTTGTTTTCAACAAAAGAATGATATACTTTCGTTATTAGTGTTCAAAAACAGTGTTTTTGTGTTAACAATGACGATTGGTAAAAAGTAATTAGCGAATCGGTGAGTGATAACGGGTGGTCGAGAGCAGATGTTCATAAGCATGCAAACAGATCAAAGGGAATATTACATCACTAGTCACCAATATATATTTTTCTCGACCTTTCATTTGGAATTCCATATGAAGTGATGTTTTCAGACTAGCTATGATATTCACTAAATATTTTTTGTCATTATAATTTTTTTTACAAAAAAAAAATCTACCAATAATGTGGTCTGAGAGCACATATTTTTCATTCGTCATATTTATCGCAATTCAGTTTTAAGTAACAATGTTTTTAACTCTTGTTATTTTATTATTCCTTTCTGAACTCTTTTTTTTTTTTTTTTTTTTTTTTTTTCGACAACCTTTCTGAACTCATAATAGTACTATATATCATCATTCATCAATATAACATAATGTTTTTAAGTAGTTGTTCGATATGGATTAAGCAATCTATAAAAAAAAGAAGAAGAGGGAGTATATAGTGCGACACGAAATTGTTCTGTTGAAGTGATAAGTTATCTTGTCACATTTAACGATGTGAAAAATGAAAGAAGAAAAAAAAAAACAAGAATATTATATACGAAGTACGGATTGGTGCAGAACTCAGAATGAAATCTCGATCATACATTCATGTTATATTCTTTGGAATAATGCTTGGAATAATGCTTAGATTTGGTGCCAACAAATTGAAAAATAAAATAAAAATAAACGGATGTGTTTTTTACAGACTCTAAAGTTGGAACAAAAAAAAAGAATGGACGACATGACTATTGTTAAAAAATAGGTCTTGCACTTAAATTCATCTTACACCTTTTTAGATATTAATTCAGTGGTTTTATAGAGATTGACTCGTCAATTAATCAATCTGCATATCCGTAGGCCTTTATGCCTACAACCATTTTTCAAGTTTACAAATAAAATGTATCAGTTTCCAGGGAAAAACCCAAAATGTATTTGAATGGTTATGTTCTTTGTGAACCATAGAATTAACAATTAAGGGAGTTTTTGTACTATCAAAAGTGTAGTCTATTATTTGTTCTTTCTTTTTTGGTTTAAATGTTAAACTCTAATATGATTATCTACAAAGGTGTTAGGTAGAGAAGCTGAAAACAATGCAAAACAATACTACTAAATTATAAATTCTTTCCTATATCAGTATTCACTTATCAGCCATAGGATTATGATCATCATTATCTTTATTTATTTACATGTCAAATATTATTATTTTCTAATCATCACAATACACATTGGGAGCACTTAGTTTGACAATTTTACATTAATATTTATTTTGTTGCATAAAGTTGTCTGAATAATTTCATTTTATATATCAAATATATAAACACACACTGTAAAGTTAGAAGCAAAACATCCTCAACCTCTGATTTAGTAGAGAGCTTCTCTGCTGAGCTCTAGTGGGTTCTATCAACTTGGTCCTTTATGTTTTATTTTTCTTCTCCTTTTCATTTTTTTATATCATTTTTTTCTTAAATTTTCCTGACTATAACCGTGTGTTTACTACTGCGAGATCGTAAATATATAAAAATAAAATTTATTTTCCAGTCTTATATTCGTCCTACGTAATAAGAACATGTACGTTTATATTCTACCTAGTTAGATGAATAGCCATCCATCAATATATTAATGCGATCTAAGTCTAGCTAAAAAAAAGTCACCATCACTTTAAAGAAAAAAATATATTCAACAAGACATCCATAAAATATTGGTTTAGCTGCAAGCTTAGTCAGCTATGAAAAATCTGTCTCTTCACAAACAACTAAGCTTCTCTCCATCTATAAATATACCCCAACACTATCCCACATAACGCATCCCAAAGGTCTTACAAATATAAGCCAATTTCAGTAGCTTTAACGTTTTCCTTTGAAATTCTCAAAATGGAGATGGATATGAATGTTCAAGAGAAGAAAGCAGGGTTCTTTCAAAGGCTTAAGGATTTCCCTAGCAAGCTCAAAGACGTTGTCACGAAACGCGTAAAGAATGTGCTAATGTTTGGGAAAGATGATCCTAGACGTATCATCCACTCCATGAAAGTGGGGGTTGCTCTCACATTAGTATCATTGCTGTACTATGTGCGACCACTCTATCTCAGCTTCGGGGTTTCGGGTATGTGGGCTATACTAACTGTCGTCGTAGTCTCCGAATTCACTGTTGGTAAGTCTATCAATTACAAAACATAGTATTAAATGTTCTGATAAAAAAAAAAGACTTAACTAAAAAGGTTTTTGAATAGGTGGAACACTTTCCAAAGGTTTAAACAGAGGTTTTGCAACATTAACAGCAGGAGCCTTAGGGGTTGGTGCGGTACACCTTGCTCGTTTCTTTGGACACCAAGGAGAGCCCATAATTCTTGGAATCTTAGTGTTCTCACTAGGCGCAGCTGCAACATTTTCGCGCTTCTTCCCAAAGATTAAACAGAGATATGACTACGGGGCCTTGATATTCGTACTCACATTTAGTATGGTTGCCATTTCGGGTTACCGTACAGATGAGATATTAGTTATGGCATATCAGAGGCTATCGACGATTCTTATAGGTGGAACGGTATGCATCCTTGTCTCGATCTTCGTTTGTCCTGTATGGGCTGGCGAAGATCTTCACAAGATGGTTGCTAACAACATTAACAAACTTGCTAATTCCTTAGAAGGTGACTTTACAATAATATAATATCCAACATTCATTTTTGCTTTCTTCTTGGTATATATATATATCCAACATTGTTTTTTGTCCTAAAAAGGTTTCGAGGGTGAATATTTTCCACTACCGGAGAAGATTTCGAATGAGACAAACTCGTGTGTTCGAGAATACAAGAGCATTTTAACATCAAAAGGCATTGAAGATACTTTGGTATATATATATATTTGGAAATAATAATATAGAAGAACATATAACGTTCTTAAAAATATATATATACTAATTAATTAATTACTGATTATGTTGTGGCAGGCGAATCTTGCGAGATGGGAACCAGGGCATGGTCGTTTCAGGCTAAGGCATCCGTGGAAAAAGTACTTGAAAATTGCAGGACTCGTTCGCCAATGTGCCTTCCATTTCGAAATCCTCAACGGCTACGTTCTTTCTAATTATAAGGTTCGTACGTGTGAACTACCTAAATCGCCGTTTTTGAGGCAAATCAAATCGTTGTTAGCTTGGACGTACTGTATGTATATATTTTTGTTATGTCGTCTGGTTTTATTCTCTTCTGGTCTCTCCGCACGATTTCACACACATGCATAATATGGTTGTAGTATATAACTACAAAAATTTGCATATAAATGTCAACCCCTTAAATGGCATTAATGACCCTATACAATTAATTCTTGCAACAACACAATATACTCTTCCATGGAAATATATTCTCTAGGCATTTGGTTTTTGTTAGATGATTTGATTTTTTTTTTTTGCTTTTTGTGTAATTTATATTAGTTGATGAATTGTACGTGCAGTTCAAAACTAGATAGAGAATGTTAAAATTTATTAAATTAATTCATAATCATGGAGAAGTGTTATATATAGTATGGAAATTTGGTGTATGTATATAACTTTTCTTTTATCATTAATATATGTTAAAACTATAAATAACAAAGAGAGTACTAACGAATAATTAATGGCTAGCCAGGGAACAACAAAAAAGACAACTAATTAATTGTTCGATCCGATAAATTGTTAAAAACTTAAACAGGCACCAGAAGAATTCCAAAATAAGATTCAAGAGCCAATCGCAACTATGAGCAGAGAAGCTGGTGAAGCCCTAAAAGCCATAGCCAAATCTATTAAAACGATGAGCAAAGACACTGCTCGTGTGAACGCACACATTGACAACTCCAAAACTGCCGTTGGAAACCTAAGGATTGCACTCAAATCTTCTTATCCGGAGACAGACAAAGATCTTTTGGAGATCATTCCCGGAGTCACCATGGCATCAATCCTGATCGAGGTGGTGAACTGCGTCGAGAAGATCTCTGAGGCTGTGGAAGAACTCTCCGGTCTTGCACACTTCAAAGAGACTTTGGATCCAAAAATATTATCAGCGGAGATAGGACAACATCAGTTACTTCACAGGGGAACCGTTAAGCCGGTTCTAGATGGTGACAACGGGGAAGAAGACACTGATAGCTCTCCTCATGTTCTTATCAATGTCCATGATGAGCAGCCACCAGCGACCACCGGGAAGAACAGTTTGGGAGTAGAGAAAAATATCGTGTAATTATTTTTGTTCATTGCCAAACTTTCAAAACCTCTTTGAAGAGAACTTGTAATAACAAAATTTAGTATATATATAAGAGACATCAATCGGCATTCTTCTCATTGCCAAATACTAATATGATTCCTGCAGATTTCAAATCTCTATATATAAAAATTGAAGTAGACTCAACCATTGATTATGAAACACAGTTGATTATTAGATGTCATGTGAATTGTGATAGGATAGGTTCATGCTTAAGTTAACTTAGATATATAAAAGAATGATATCATTGCAATATTAAGTTAACCACACGCTTGCATGCAGTGTTTTAACTTACAAATTGACCACACATGTATGACACAAAGACTAAAGAATAAAATCACCTTTGGGATCCAAAAGCTCAATCCGAGGAACCTTTGCTCTGTTTGCAATGGTATAGTACTATTAATAATACTATCTTAATTAGTTTAATTTACTTATGACCATATACGAATCTGTCTTTAAAAGATCCTGATGAATATACCTGACCACTTTAAACAGGAGAAAAGGAGGGAACAAGTAAGTCATGACTCATGATCATGTGACTAGGCAGTTCAACTTGTGTATGCACTGGTTAATTTGAGTGATCAAAGTAAAACAATTTTATTAGTAAACCACTAAAGTAAACATATTTACTCTGATAACTGATAGTCAAAGGGGATTGGATCCCTAAATCTGATTATGTAGTGCATTCATTGTAAGGCTGAAAATTCTTTAAGCATGAAGTTTTTACTAGCTTCGTCGACCCATTGTACTATATATACTATTGTAGACTTTTTTTTTTTTTTTTTTTTTTTGGTCGAAAAGTGGTTTCAATAATAAAAGCGATTACAAAACAGAGGAGTTCAGAGAGAGTAGAGCACTCTTGGTTAAAGAGTCAGCAATACCATTACAAGAGCGAGATAAATAAGAGAAAGTAAGCGAGATAAACCGGAGTCGGAGAAGACTGATGTCGTGAAGAATTCCCCTTAGCTCAACGGTGGATGCCTTGGAAACAAGGAGGCGTACAAGAGTCTGAGAGTCAGAAAAAACTTGGACGCTTAAGAGCTCATGATCAAGAGCGGAGAGCAAAGCGTGTTTGACCGCCAAGGCTTCAGCAGCTAAGGCTGAAGGGACAAACGGCCTAGAGGCAGTATCATGCCAGAGGGGGACATTGAGAGCAGTCTGGAAGGTCCAGCCCATGCCACAATTTCCTGAACCTGAAGACCAGGCAGCGTCAACGAAACAGAGAGAGGCTAAGGGGTGAGGGAGAGAGGGTACTGCTGCAGAAATTTGGGGTTTAGGGGACGGAGACTGGGCAAACTGCCAGCATTTTGCATCGCCTATGGCTTTTCCAATTATTTCTGAGGCAGACCAAAGCTTGTTTTCAAAGAGGAGGAGATTTCGAGCCTTCCAAAGGTGCCACCAAATCCAGGAGAAGAGAGGGGTTACCGAAATACCAACCGGGGGGAGAGCGATCGAGTTTTTGCTGGCAACTAGGAGAGCTGCTGGATTGAGGCCGACAGAGAAAACTGGTTTGCGGATGAGGGGGGCGAGATCCCAGACCTCAGAAGCAAAAGGTCAAGTAAGCAAGAGATGGATAGCCGACTCTTGTTCGCCACATCTCTTACAATTAGCAGCTAAAAGGCCTCTAGAAGCCAATGCTGAACCGATCGGGAGGGCATTGACTAGGATCTTCCATAAGAATAGCTTGATCTTAGGAGAAGTATTTAAGCTCCAGATATTAGCCTGCCAATTAAGAGAAGGGAGGGAGGGGTTACAAGAGTTCAACTTAGATATCGCATATCCAGATTTTGTTGAATAGGTTCCGGATTTATCCGGTAGCCATACCAAAGAGTCAACTCTTTTGTGAGAGCTGAGAATCAAATTGCATATAGGCGCCTCATAATGAGGTAAGTGGTGACGAATGGCGTCAAGGTTCCAATCATTTGTGGCAGAGGAAATCAGGTCCTTTACTGTCAAGGATGAATTAGAGAGGGTCGGAGGGCCTATTGGAGAGAGAGGCGAGAGGGTGGAAAGCCATGGATCAGACCAGACCTTAATCACTTCTCCTGTACCAACACTCCAGCCCAGGCCTTTGCGGAGAACTTCCCTGCCAGCAAGAATACCACACCAACCAAAAGAGGCTGTTTTGGGAGCTTTAGACGTTAAAAAACTGGTTTGGTGGCAGTACTTGCCTAAGAGAACTTTTGAAATCAGGGAGGAGGGGTCATGAATCATTTTCCAGCTGAGCTTTGCAAGCAGGGAATCGTTAAAAGTTTCTATTTCCCGTAAACCGAGTCCCCCAGCGTTTTTAGGGATGGTTAACTTATCCCAAGAGACCCAAGCCATCTTTTTGTGGTCAGGGTTAGCATCCCACCAGAAGCGGGTCAGGGCCGATTGGATCCGTTTACAGAGAGAACGGGGGAGCTTGAAACAAGACATAGAGTAGGAAGGGAGGGCTGAGAGGACCGCTTTGAGAAGGACCAGCTTACCCGCACTTGAGAGGTGACGAGAGGACCAGGAATGGGCTCTTTGCTGAATTTTGTCTACTATAGAAGAAAAGATATCCTTCTTTCGTCGTCCAAAGTGTTCGGGGAGACCCAAATATTTCCCTGTTCCTCCCTCTTTGGATATGTTTAAAGCATCTTTAATCTTCTTTTTCTCAGCAGGAGCCATCTTAGAGGAGAATGATATGGCTGATTTGGAAGTATTTATCGATTGGCCTGAGGCCCGTTCGTACCGAGAGAGAATACGAGACAGAGCAGCGCAGTTTTTGGAGTTAGCTTTGCAGAAGAAAAGGGTATCATCGACGAAGAGGAGATGGTTAACAGCGGGGCTATTGTTGGACACTTTAATCCCGGGGAGAGTTCCATTTGCTATGGCTTTTGAGCAGAGGCCAGAGAGCACTTCAGAACAAAGAATGAACAGAAACGGGGAGAGGGGATCACCCTGACGAAGACCTCTAGATGGCTTCACCTTCCCTTGGGGTGATCCATTGATGAGGAAAGAATATGAAACAGAAGTAACACATGTCATAATCCAGGAAATCCAGCGAGGGTGGAAACCAAATCTCCGGAGAACCTCTTGAAGGAAATCCCATTCGATACGATCGAAAGCCTTGCTCATATCGGTTTTTACTGCCATGTGACATCGTTTGGTTGCACCCGAGACCTTGAGGTGGTGAAGAATCTCATGTGAGATGAGGACATTGTCGGATATAGCCCGGCCCGGGACGAAAGCTGACTGATGTTCCGAGATTAGAGAAGGGAGGTGGGGTTGAAGCCGCTTCGAAAGGATCTTGGCGATGATTTTGTAGAAGACGTTGCATAAAGCTATTGGTCTGAAGTCCGAAACCTTTTTGGGGCCAGTGATCTTTGGAACAAGGCAGACGTGAGTATCGTTGGATCTATCCGGGAGAGAGGAAGTTTCAAAAAAGAACCGGATGTCCCGGGAAACAGAAGTACCTACAATATCCCAATAGGATTGGTAGAAGCCAGCCGAGAAACCATCGGGGACCGGGGCCTTGTCGGAATGGATATCAAAGACAGCGGCTTTGATTTCAGCTATGTCCGGGATAGCGGTGAGAGCATTATTCGTTTCCTGCGAGACAAGAGGAGATAGGGCATCTGAGACTACCTGGAGATCGGCTGAGCTATTGGAGGTGAAGATCTCTTGGTAGTAGTCCGAGAAGGCCTTGGCGATATGGGATTCCTCATAAAAGATCTCGCCTGATGGAGATTCAATTACGGAGAGCTTGTTAAGAGCCCGTCTGCCTCTGGTGATGGAGTGGAAAAAACTTGAGTTCTTGTCACCACTATGGAGCCATTGGACCCGACTTCTTTGTCTCCAAAACTGCTCCTCTTTGATGTAAAGTTTGCCTAAATCAAGCTTAAGAGAAGCGATAAGGGTATGGTTTGGGATGTCGTCAGAGAGAGCTGACTCAAGCCGCTCCTGAAGCTGTTTAATGCTTTTACTACTGTTCTCCAGGTTCTCCTTAGTCCAGGCTATAAGATCTCGCCTGACCAAGTCAAGATGAGAGAGGAAGGATGCCTGAGGAGCAGACTTCCAAGACTTTTCTATAACTGCTCGTGTCCCGGGGTCATTAAGAAGTCTTCTGTCGAAACGAAACACTCCTTTCTTTTTAACCTTGGTGAAGTCGAAGTATGTGAGAATGGGGCGGTGATCAGATCCCTCATAACGAAGATATTGGCAACTGCTAGAAGGGAATGCTTCATGCCAGGAACAGTTTGCCATGGAACGATCTAACCTTGATCTAATGAAGTGGTTATATCGAAATCCTCTCCAAGAAAATTGGCTTCCAGTGTGTTGGAGGTCCAAGAGCCCATTAAGGGAAACAAAACTTCGAAAGGGGATAAAGGAGCCCTCAGAGCAAGCAGGCCCACCTCGTTTTTCAGAATTGTCGAGAATATCGTTGAAATCTCCCGTCAATAGCCAAGGGGAATCATGCAAGGATCCAAGGGCGATCATTGAATCCCAGAAATCTCTTCTTTTATCCTGACGAGGTTCACCATAGATGAAGGTGATATAAGAGGTTTTCCCTTTGTAAACAAGTGAGGTGTCCAGATAATTTACTGATGAGCTTAGAACAGAGAGTTCAATATCAGCTTTCCAATATAGAGCAAGGCCTCCGCTTAAGCCTTGAGGGGGGATCGTGAGCTTATGCGGGAAAGGAAGCCAGTCCAGCAAATGGGAGAGAGTGTCATCAGAGTTTTTTGTTTCAGAGAGAAACAGAATGTCCGGGGAAATGGATTTGATGATTTCCCGGAGCCGAGGAACTGTCAAGGGGCTCCCAAGGCCTTGACAGTTCCAGCTCAGCGAGACTAAGGAAGAGGAGGAGACGGGTTTGTAAAATCCGTCTTCTTTGGGTTGAGAGCTCTCCTAGGCGGGTTTCTTCGACTCGAAGATGGGGGAAGAGTGGAGGATTTGGCAGCTGGGAGAGAGGGACCGGGAGCGGGGATCCCTTTTCTGGGAGAGGCTCTCCCCCTGACCGCTTTACGTTTCCTTGAGTTAGCACCCCGCAGGGGACTTTTAGGGATGCGGGAAGGGCCAGAGGCTTTAGAAACTTTCCTTCTGCCAATTGGTTTAGGAGGGGGGGCAGTCGTGAGAGGCTGAGGCGTTCGATTAGGGGGGATGGAGCGTTCTTCATCCGCGATGTGGGATGGGGTTGAGAAGCGTGCAGCAGGGGCTGTGAGGGAGAGAGGGGAGAGATGTTCTTGAATGTTGGGTTCCAAGTACTGTATCTCTACTTCCTGCAGTCGACTAGAATCGAGACTGCGGTTGGAGTTAGCAGGGGCTAAGACCGGATCAAGAGAGAGGCGCTCAAGAGCTGAGACATTGGTTAGAGATAGTCTTTCCAAGGCAGGACGACGGTCCCGGGAGGTAGCGGGATGGGAATTAACAGTCTCCATACGTTCCCTAGATGGTCTTTCAGGAGGAGTGTGGGATCCGTGAACACGGTTTGACAGGGGAGAGCGAATAGATCTGGATCTATCGTCTCTAGAGGCCCTGGAGGTGTGACCGGAGGAATGAGAGCGATAAGGACGAGGATCTCCACTGGGTGATCGGGAAGAGTGTCTTCTAAGCCTAGAAGAAGAGGGTAAGTGGTGTAGCCTATCGTGGGCAGAGAGTTGGAGTCTGTCTTTGGCAGAGATAGAGTGAGAAGGGCGATCTGTCGTCAAGCGAGTTCCTTCAAGTCTAGAGTTAGGAGAGGATCTGAGTCGTCTCTTGGAGGGGCGAGGAATATCCTCATCAGCACGATTTCTTTTCTTATCATCGTGTCTCCGTTTCTCGGATTCGTGCCGAAGAAGAGCTTTTCTTTGGTTTATTCCGAGGGGAAGCATGGCTTGGTTTGATGAGTGAGAGGAGAGGGGGCAGAGCTTCTCAGCGTGGGAGAGGGACATGCAACGAAAGCAGTGGTTTCGTAACTTTTCGTATTCAAGCTCCACGGTTTTTAGCTGGCCTCGGGGGAGTTGAACTTCCAGAGAGGTTTCCAGAGGAAGAAGACCATTGATGTCCACTCGGAAGCGAGCTTGGGGAACATCACATTCCGAGACAGGGCCCAAAGCAGAGCCAATCGCTTCGAGAGCTTGGGATGTTCTAAAGTGGGTTGGAATTCCAATAATTTTAACCCAAAACGAGATCTGAGAAGGGAAGTTATCAGATACAACTGGCTCCCACCGTTGCAGGATAAGCATCCAGTCCTTGAAATGGTAGGGGGATTTCTGGACTACAGAGAGGAGGTCAGCTTCCGTGTCAAAGAAGAATTTGAAGAGGTCAGGTCCAAGCTCTCTTCCTTTGACATTAGAGACCATATTCCAGTACTGGGGCATGAAATCAACAATGGCTCGAGACCGCTGGACCAGGGAATTGGTGACACGGCCTATAAGAGAGAGGCGGTTCTCAGCGATGAGTTCTGAGTTGTCGCAGTCAGGGATGCGAATGGGGGAACGACGAGGTCTTGAGGCGGAGACTGGCCATTTCTCTTTTTCCGATCTAGTGAGGTGGCGAGACATCTTCGAGTTGGCAAGCGAATGCCTGTAAAGAGGGTAGAAACGACAGTGAAGTTGGATTACGACAAGAGTAGAAGGACCTCAAGCAGAGGTAAAGGTTTCTAATTACTGCACAAGGCAGTAAACGGTGAGATAGAACTCAAAATTTTCCCATTGAACCGAGAGGTAAGCTTAGGACAAGGAGAGGGGAGGCATGGGGGTGGAGGGGAAACAGCAAGAGGTCCTTGATTTGAACGGAGAAGAGGAAGGGTGGGGGGAGGAAACAGTAGACTTTTAATATTGTAAAGTAACATGGAATGACGTATGGAGTATGGACTAAGAAAATTAAGTATGAATTTGTAGTATTGTAATGCAAGTATATATGAACTTGGCTATCTATTTGAAACTCAAACCTAGACATGATGATGTACGCGTAATTACATGATCTTATTTGAAAGTCTAATTTTTAAATGAAGATTAACATTTTTTTTTTTTTTTGAAAACCAATGAAGATTAACATTTAAGTTGCAAATTTAGGGGTTTAATTTTTGTTAGAACGTCGTCATGTCATAAATTAATTAATGTCTATACAAGAAGTTAAAGAAAAAAAAAGTTAATAGAAAAATACGCTTATGAATTATGATAACATAGAATAACGAGAATAAATTAGATTTATAAAATATTAATTTTCTCATATTGCCATATACGTGCAATTATTCTCCATATCAAATTCACTCTTTAACATTGGTTTAGAAAAATATTTATTATTATTATATCTTGGGTCAAGCTGAAAAGGAATCCTATTATTTCATTGTTTGTTGAGGAAATTTTTGTTAAAATTCGGTTACAATTTGGTAATTAAGGACTTGAACTCCAAATTAAGCCAAATCAAATCAGACGACAGAATCTGGACTCATCTGTTTACGAGACACAAGCAAGAAAGAAGCTACATTTAGGTCTTTGTCATCGAGTTTACAAAGTTTTGTGATCGTGTACAATGTTTCGATTAATTAGGTTTTTTTTTCTTCTATCTTCTTCTTTTGCTACTGCTGTTAAAGTCTAACAGTCTATATAAAAAACTAAGATTCGCTAGGGTTTTGTCTGATTTCTACTCACTTGATCTGTTTTCCCAACAGAGTAGCAGAAGAGGCTTGAAGTTCGGTTTGATATGAGCAGTATTTGTGAGCTTAGTGACGATTTGCTCGTGAAGATACTGTCATTGGTTAAGACAAAAGATGCTGTTGCCACAAGTCTTTTGTCAAAACGGTGGCTTTCCCTCTGGAAACTGGTTCCAAGGCTTGACTATGTTACTACTCCATGGCATTCGTCGGATCCAAGTTCTGATTTTATCAATAATTTTCTGTTGCTGAGCGAGGCTCCAGTTCTAGAAACAATGCATCTCAGACTTGGGTATTTTTGTAAACGTGAGGAACATGAAAGATGGGTTGAGATTGCAGTGGCTAGACATGTGCGCGTTCTTGAGCTTATTCATTCCACTTACCCTTCAACACCAATGCCTTGTCCTAGTAGCTTGTTTACATGCAGAGGCCTTGTGGTTTTAAGCCTTCAAGAAGTGATGATTTGGGAAATTCCTTCGACAATATTTCTCCAGTCCCTCAAGACTCTGTCCCTTTTATGTGTCAGGTTCTGCTCCCGCCGGGATGATGAACTCGTTCATACGCTTTTATCCGCTTGCCCTGTCCTTGAAACACTGGTCGTACGTCGATGGCTCGAGGACTGTGTGACAACCTTCAACATTGCGGTCCCATCATTGCAGAGCTTATACATCATGCACAGACCAGGTGGTCATGTACAGACAGATGATCGCGAGTGTGTAATCAATGCTCCTTCTCTAAAGGCTTTAAAAGTTTCTGATGAGCTTAGTTGGTTCCGTCTATTAGTGGAAATGCCGAAGCTGGTGAAGGCAGAAATCAAGATTAGACAGGATGACTCTAAGAAGCTTTTGAGATGTCTAGCCTCAGCCAAACACCTTTCCTTATGCGTTACCTCAGCCAAACAACTACTAACGGAGAAATCTGTTGAGAATCTCTGTCAGCTCGAGTACTTAGAGCTCTGTACTATATGCTCTTCAGATTGGTTATGTCTTCTACTAAAACATTCCCCTAAACTGCGAGTTCTGAGGTTAAACAATCAGGTAAGTTATATTTGCTATGTGCCTGAATTAGAGTTGGACCTTCATCTTTCCCTCGCCCTTAATTAAGTCTCATAATTCTTGATAAAACTCTGTAGACCTCTCAGAGAAACTGTTGCGGCTCGTCGAGAAAGATCCGAGTTAAGTGGGAGGAACCATGTTGTGTTCCTGAATGTTTGGTGACGAGTCTCGAAACTGTTGAGTGGATTGGGTATGAAGGAACAGAAACAGAGAAAGAAGTGGCGATCTACATCTTAGAGAAGGCAAACCACCTAAAGAAGATGACTATATCCCGACATATCACCAATTTGAGAGAGAAATACCGTACGCTGATAGATTTGGTGTCTAGGCTGAGCTGCTGTGCTAGCAAATGTCGACTTGAGTTTGTGCGCTTGTAGCAGCACTAAGATACATTTTAATGGATTTTGGTTTTTTTCACTTCTTGCTTTATCAATTATAATTTTTATGTTTCTATCTATCCCAAAGTTTGTAGTTTTACTAAAGATTTTGTGAGAACCATCTGTATTTTATGGGTTCAAGCCTATTTGTTAATATCTCATAATTAAGTTGAGCTTGTTAGTTGCTTTTTGTTTGTTTCTTCGTTTCTTCTTCTTTAAAACAAAGCTTTTTTTTTTTTTTGTCATCATAAAAGCTTCAAGGAGATTGATCCAAGCGTTAGAAAACTCTTGAGCAAGAGAGTTCATGTCGACCGTGATATTCTGCATGATCTATATTACTATATATGGTCAAGAATCAAGATGGTGAATTGTTTTTACGTTATAGCTTGTGACCGTGAATTGTTTTTACGTTAGAATCAAGATTGCTACTTTACGTTTGTATCAAAACTTTGCTAAATTGTTTTTGTTTTAACAATCAGTCACAAGCTATCACGTGGCGTCCGTTGCTTGTTTCGTTCGTCTTAAGTCGGCCACTATTTTGGGCCGTTAATGGACTCGTCGTTACTGCCACTATTTTGAGCCGTTAGTTAATAAACCTCCCGATATCAACGTTTCAGTGTTTTTTTTCTTTCTGATGATGTCATTGTCAATGCCCATGCCCCGTAGGACCAGATTCTTCGATTCCAGCATATTCTTAAATCCGACACAATCGGATAAATCTCGTCAACCATTCACAACACGCCATGTCACCAACCAGTGGGACTTTTGCCACGTCAGTCACGGGTCAAGGACTCAAGCTACACAAGCTCCTATCGTCCGACTTGTTTATTTTCCACGTGTTCATCTTCCAGAATAATACATAGAGAAAACAAAATAAATAAACAATTCGAATTAATCTCAGCCGTCAATTCCTCTTCTTCTTCTTCTTATTCTTCTTCCTTCTCCTTCAACAAATTCTCGCAAACAGATAGAGAAACCTTAGCACTCTCACGACACGAAATCGTTGTGACGAAACGATAAACCCTGATTCATGGTTAAGGAAACTCTAATTCCTCCGTCGTCTACGTCAATGACGACCGGTACATCGGCGTCTTCGTCTCTCTCGATGACCTTGTCCTCGACGAACGCGTTATCGTTTCTGTCGAAAGGGTGGAGAGAGGTATGGGACTCAGCTGATGCGGATTTGCAGCTGATGCGAGACAGAGCTAACTCTGTTAAGAATCTAGCATCGACCTTCGACAGAGAGATCGAGAATTTCCTCAATAATTCGGCGAGGTCTGCGTTTCCCGTTGGGTCTCCCTCGGCGTCGTCTTTCTCAAGTGAAATTGGTATCATGAAGAAGCTCCAGCCCAAGATTTCGGAGTTCCGTAGGGTTTATTCGGCTCCGGAGATCAGCCGTAAGGTTATGGAGAGGTGGGGACCAGCTAGGGCGAAGCTTGGGATCGATCTCTCGGCGATTAAGAACGCGATTGTGTCTGAGATGGAATTGGATGAGCGTCAGGGAGTTTTAGAGATGGGTAGAATGAGGAGACGGCGTAATAGGGATAGGGTTAGGTTTACCGAGTTTTTCGCGGAGGCTGAGAGAGAGGGAGAAGCTAATTTCGGTGATTGGGAACCGATTAGGTCTTTAAAGACTAGATTTAAAGAGTTTGAGAAACGAAGCTCATCAGAAATATTGAGTGGATTCAAAAACAGCGAATTTGTAGAGAAGCTCAAAACCAGCTTTGTAAGTTTCTCCAGCTTTTAGGGAACTTATTTCAATTTCTGTTTAGTTAATACTCAAATTCTGCAATCAGCTATTAAGCTGAGGGTTTAAAGATTCAGAAGCTTTTATCTTACTTGCAGAAGTCGCTTCTCTTGTAGTTTACTCACACTTTTAATAGCGACTCATCATCAAATGCTTGAAAACATGATAGTTTTGTTTTGGAAAATTTTCTATTCAGATTCTTATGGTATTTGTCAACTTTTCTGACTGGCCCTTTCTCTTTTCGTCTATATGCAGAAATCGATATACAAGGAGACTGATGAGGCTAAGGTTGGTATTTGGAAGTTGGAGCTCTATCAGTTCCATTTAGGTTTTAACTGGGTTTTGTGCACAATCAGGATTTGCACCCATACTCTTTTAGATTCTTCACTTATGTTGTTTTCTTAATCTTCTTTCCAATAGCATGTTAACCCTCTGGGTTCTTCTTGTTATCCCATATGTAACTTAGGTAGACCTTGGTATAGTGTTTAAATTGGGAGTTTAACTTTGGCCTCCTCTTAACGTTTTGTGCAGGATGTCCCTCCATTGGATGTACCTGAGCTTTTGGCATGTTTGGTTAGACAATCTGAACCTTTTCTTGATCAGATTGGTGTAAGGAAGGGTAAGATTGCATTTTTCTCTTCATGCTGCTTAATCTCTTTATCTGTTGTATCATTGTATGTATTCAGTTGTGAATGGTTGGTGTTTCTCTACCATAGGTGATTGATTTATCAGAATTTTTTTATGAATCTTCTCTCTGATATTAGAGTGTCTTTGTTTAGTGGGTTGTTTGCTTCATCAGAAGCTTAGCTGGTGAATTTTGATACTTTACATAATCGCACTCTTTCTGGATATCTAATATTTACAAGTCTAGGTGTTGTGTGGAAACATATCACTCAAATGATGCCATATACATGACATTTTTGAGATGTGTAGTAGGTTAATGGTTTAATACACCTTTTCTTGTGCACTATCACACAGTTTCAGTTCTTACGTTGTAAACTAAGTCACTGATTATGTTCCATTAATATGTCTTATAGATACGTGCGACCGAATAGTAGAAAGCCTTTGCAAATGCAAGAGCCAACACCTTTGGCGTCTGCCATCTGCACAAGCATCCGATTTAATTGAAAATGATAACCATGGAGTTGATTTGGATACGAGGATAGCCAGTGTTCTGCAGAGCACCGGACACCATTATGATGGTGGCTTTTGGACTGATTTTTTGAAGCCTGAGACATCAGAAAACAAAAGGCATGTGGCAATTGTCACAACAGCAAGTCTCCCGTGGATGACCGGAACAGCTGTAAATCCCTTATTTAGAGCGGCATATTTGGCAAAATCTGCAAAACAGAGTGTTACACTCGTGGTTCCTTGGCTCTGTGAATCTGATCAAGAACTAGTTTATCCAAACAATCTCACCTTCAGTTCACCTGAAGAACAAGAGAGTTATATACGTAAATGGTTGGAAGAAAGGATTGGTTTCAAGGCTGATTTTAAAATCTCCTTTTACCCAGGAAAGGTATGTTGATCATTTTGAGTTCTCTGCTTTCTTTTTATGACTGCCAATATGCTTTTCAATTATTTCTTGGGAATAACTGAGCTTTCTGGTTTTTTTTTATAGTTTTCAAAAGAAAGGCGCAGCATATTTCCTGCCGGTGACACTTCGCAGTTTATACCATCAAAAGATGCTGACATTGCTATACTTGAAGAACCTGAACATCTCAACTGGTATTATCATGGCAAGCGCTGGACTGATAAATTCAACCATGTTGTTGGAATTGTCCACACAAACTACTTAGAGTACATCAAGAGGGAGAAGAATGGAGCTCTTCAAGCATTTTTTGTGAATCATGTAAACAATTGGGTCACACGAGCGTATTGCGACAAGGTGAATCATCTACTATCTCTTTTTGAATCTTTGTACTTTTACTTATATCCTCTTGTACACGAGCTAATACATATTTTTTCCACCCATGAAAGGTTCTTCGCCTCTCTGGGGCAACACAAGATTTACCAAAGTCTGTTGTATGCAATGTCCATGGTGTGAATCCCAAGTTCCTAATGATTGGAGAGAAAATTGCTGAAGAGAGATCCCGTGGGGAACAAGCCTTCTCAAAGGGTGCATATTTCTTAGGGAAAATGGTGTGGGCTAAAGGATACAGAGAACTAATAGATCTGATGGCTAAGCACAAGAGCGAACTCGGGAGCTTCAATCTAGATGTCTATGGGAACGGTGAAGATTCAGTGGAGGTCCAGCTTGCAGCAAAGAAACATGACTTGAATCTCAATTTCCTCAAAGGAAGGGACCATGCCGACGATTCCCTTCACAAGTAAGTTCTGAAAAAGTGTGGGTTTTGCTTTTGAAAAATTGTTAATGTTTCTCTCTTTGATTGTTTTTCCCCCCTCTCGTCTTAATGAAGGTACAAAGTGTTCATAAACCCTAGCATCAGTGATGTTCTATGCACAGCAACCGCAGAAGCACTAGCCATGGGGAAGTTTGTGGTGTGTGCAGATCATCCTTCAAACGAGTTCTTCAGATCATTCCCGAACTGCTTAACTTACAAAACATCGGAAGACTTTGTGTCCAAAGTGAAAGAAGCAATGACGAAAGAGCCATTACCTCTCACTCCCGAGCAGATGTACAATCTATCTTGGGAAGCAGCGACACAGAGGTTCATGGAGTATTCAGATCTCGACAAGATCTTAAATGACGGAGATGGAGGGCATAAGATGCGAAAATCAAAATCGGTTCCAAGCTTTAACGAGATGGTCGACGGAGGATTGGCATTCACACACTATGTTCTAACAGGGAACGATTTCTTGAGACTATGCACTGGAGCAACACCAAGAACAAAAGACTACGGTAAAGAACATTGCAAGGATCTGAATCTTGTTCCACCTCACGTTCACAAACCAATCTTCGGCTGGTAGATTTTTCCCCAACAAGGCCAGTCATTGCTGTTGACTTATTAAGCCACTACGTCTATTGTTTCCCTTATTATTATTACTACTTTTTTTTATAGTTGTTGAAGGTTGTTTGTTAATAGAAAGGGTAGATAACTAGATATGTCTTTTTTGTAGAATATTTTATAAATACTAAACGTATTTGATGCTATATAGAAAATAACTATATAGTTGCTATAATAGCAAAAATGGGAAATATGAAGATCGTTTTGTGATATATTCCGTGATTTTGGTTTTGTTTTGGAATATTCTGATCACACTTGTTCTTTTGTTTCACAAGATCCAAGCTATTTACCCATTTCTTACTCCAAAGATGTAATCATGTAAAGATTACTATTAATACGAAAGAAAACACCGATAAGAGAAATTAGTGACCGCGAATAATAATACTTTCTCCCCAAAATTACATAAAATTTAATTAATCAACGTAACACGACAAGGAAAATGATGGGAAAAGTGGTGGTTTCTGCTTTGGCAACTAGTGTTAGTGTTAGGTCACTTACGTCCTCTTTTCTGTATGGGAGAGAATACGTGGATAATTTGAACTTTCTTCCAATCTTTCTTATCAATTATTAATCCCACACATGTATACACATTATCATATGGTCATTAAATTACTAAAAGTTAGAATGGACTATTTCAATTCTGATCACAAATAGAATAATAATTGATAGTGAAAAAAAATTGACTTACCCATGTGATGATAGCTCAAAACATCTGATCTTCTTTTGTATCCATGAGTTTCTTTTTTTCTCCAAATATTCTAGATTGTGGATTTGAGATCATGAAAAGAATTTCACAAGTTTTATAGTAAATCACTGTTTGAAACAAGCAAACTCGTATAAGAGACTTTAGTTAATAACAGAAATAATCGATGTTTTAGGTTTTTAAGGGTCGGTCTTTCGTAATCGAAAAAGCTGAAAGTGAAATTAACTAGAGCTGATGTATTGCTTATTATAGTTTGAAGGGGAGCCGATGAAAATTTCTTCGAACACACTTAAAGTCACCTTCCTTAAAGAAAACTTGCACCGACCACATCAAATCATGTAATAAAATTCAACATTGCTAAAAAAAAAAAAAAAAAAAAAACGAAAAATTCAATTTCTAGAATTGTAAAAAAGAAAAACTATTAACTTTCAATATATCACAAATTCATAATACAGAGTTTATGTTAGAACGTTTTCAAAAAAAATGTGTTTTAAAAAAAATATATTTATTTTAAAGGTTCTTTTGGATACAAATTTTAATATAGAAAAAATGCCGTTATTAATAGGGAGAATTAAAAAAAGAAAAAAGTATTATATCCCCTATCACACACTCCTAAAAATCCTACATACACAATTAGCCCATTATATAGAGCACTTCACTAAACCAAAAGAAATTAAAATATCTCTCTTTAACAACTTCTCCACTTTCTCTCCCCACCACCACCATCCACCACCCACCGTCGGAGAAAAAAAACAACCACCACCATGACCTCCAAAGACTGTGGTTCCCACAGCCACTCTCGCCGGAAACTAATCCGGCGAATAATATGGTCAATAATCATCTTCCTCTTCATAATCTTCCTCACAATCCTTCTCGTTTGGGCAATTCTCCAACCTTCAAAGCCACGTTTCGTCCTCCAAGACGCCACCGTCTACGCCTTCAACGTCTCCGGCAATCCACCGAACCTCCTCACCTCAAACTTCCAGATCACTCTCTCTTCCCGGAACCCTAACGACAAGATCGGTATCTACTACGACCGCCTTGACGTCTACGCTACTTACCGGAGCCAACAGATCACTTTCCGAACATCGATCCCTCCCACGTATCAGGGTCACAAAGAAGTCAACATCTGGTCGCCGTTTGTCTACGGAACCTCCGTCCCCGTCGCTCCGTTTAACGCCGTTGGTCTTGACCAAGATCAAGATAACGGTGCCGTTATGTTGATCATTCGTGCTGACGGTAGGGTGAGGTGGAAGGTTGGGACTTTTATTACCGGGAAGTATCATCTCTACGTCAAGTGTCGGGCTTATATAAACTTCAATAATAAAGCTGCCGGAGTTATCGTCGGAAATAACGCCGTAAAGTATACGTTTCCCGATGGCGGTGGTTGTAGTGTTAGTGTCTGAGACGGCAAGGGAGGATAAATAAGGTAACTAATTAACGTCTACTTTTGTTACCCACTAGTGATGTGAATTGTACATTTTTGCTTATACAAACAGAGCAAATATTACAGATTCGTGATGTTGTTGTTGTAATACGATCTTTAATAATTTCATTATGTATACTTTTTTTCTATTATAGTTGGATTATAAATTATACATCTTTTGTTATATTTTAAGAATTTTACTGATTTTGATGCATCTTTTTGATCCTTGTCAAATCGACTTTTTTTTTGTGTGTAACTTTTGATGATTATCTTTTGTATATGGTAAAGTTGGATGGCGATGGAAATTAAATGTTTAGTTAAAAAAATAAAAATAATGTTTAGTTGAATTCAGATTAGTTTCGTTAGTGTTATGTGGACGTTGTGTGAGATGGTGTCATTGTCCATTTGTCTCTATCTTTTTAATCTTAAATTAAATAGCTAGAGATTTTTTATATTATTTTATTTAATATAGTGACTTTTGATACATTTGTACAATATTCCACAACAAATAAGAAAGCTCAAAAAGATAAATATATGTGGATTGGATGTATTTTAGTCATATTTATGGATTTGTAGATTCTCTCGTCTTCTTTCTTTTTAATCTATTGGTATCTGTCTGGCTTAAAATATGGTTTTCTTCTACTTTTTAAAAAACCCATTCTCATAAAGTTTTTGCTACATTCATTCAAATAAAGTTAAGACATAACGTTACTTAGGGGTTACCGCAATATGAATATTCTTGGATCTTGAAATGAAAATATATGAGAATCCCGTACTCTCTGTTACAAGTACAACTTACAAGAACTGTTTTACCAAAAAAAAAAAAAAAACTTACAAGAACTGTTCAGCTAATAGTTTTCTAATTTTTTTTTTTTTTTTGCAATTTAGTTTATACTAGGTACTACTAGTACATAATTAGTATGGCTCTAATTAAGACCCTAGCTAGAGACTGAGATATGACTTAAATTTTTCTTGCTAATATTTGCATATTATTCATTAATATGGTATTAAAAAATGGTCCCTTAAATTGACCAACGAAAGGGGAATGTATGGTCCTTTAAAACTCAACTCATTATTTTTAAGTGTTGAGAGATAATATATTATCAGAAACAAGCCAGTGACCACTATTGCTTTGGATTTCAATCACATGATTTTAAATATATAACACACAACTACGTTCTATATGTATATCGCAAATAAAGTTAAGAAACCTAACCTTTTGGATTTTTTTCTTTGATAAACAAAAAAAAAAACGAAAAATAAAGTGGGTGATGAACGTGCTATGTGGGCTGTTCACACACAGCCACTAGTCACCCTAGAACGTTCCCGTAAGACTCTGCCAAACTCATATAATTTCCTAGGAAATTGTCCTTTATTTTACTACCTAACTTGAAAATAATTTACAAACTACAACCATCTTGAACCCTTTTTTTTTTGGAGGATAGTAATAGTATGCATGCAATTTGGAATTAAACAATTTTTGATCAAATAAATATCTCCGAATACTTTCAAATCAACTAGATACTGTATGTCCGTCCTGTAGAATTTTATTTCATCCACCATTGACAATTGAGTTTTGTACACACATATTCATAACTATTGGGCTTAAGTAGCCTATTTATGTTGGGCCTATTTGTTAATCCGTTAGGGTCTGTTATGATCTAGTGTCTTGACAGTAAACCATCATCATAGTTAGAAAGTTTATACAGTTTGGCATGATCATATCTATATCACTCACCTCATCACATGTTACATATTCCTTACTTTGTTCTTCCTTAATCAGAATTGAGAAACACAAATAATGGTAATAACAACGCCTTCTTAAACCTACTAGTTTTCATCAAACTATACCAAATAAAATAGCTACTTATAGACTCTATTGGCTAATTTCTTTTAACATTAAAGAACTTTTAGGTTTGAAATGCTTCTCGATTGCTGAAAAAGCTCTGACCACACCATTCAACAGATTGTAACGGCACTTTTTTCTTTTCAAAAACACTAAACCGTCGGTTAAGATTAACCCGCTCTTAGTTGTTATCAATTAACAAAAAAATAAAACAAAAATTAATTTGCAAATATGGTCATTGGTCACAATTAAACACTTTTTTTTTTTAACTCTTGATTTATTTATTTAACACTTTCTTAGTAATGACAAAAAAAAAAAAAAGATTAAAGAGAAATCGTGAGCATATTTACACAAGAGAAAATCGCGTCGTTTTGAATTCGGTTTCCTAAATTACAAAACGCGTTACATTAAACACAATGATCTCTCTTTGCTAAAACACGCACCACATTCATCTTAATCCATCTATATAATATATATACACAGTCCTCCTCTTCTTCTTCTCTTAGCTGAACGAACCTTTCGTATTCTGAAAATCTCTGTTTAAATTTTTTTCTCTCTGAGGCAAATCGTCGAACACATGGGGTCTAAACAACCATACCTAAACGGCGCGTACTACGGCCCATCCATTCCTCCGCCGCCGGCTAAATCTCAACGCAGATCATACAACTCGCCTGGGTTCGGATGCTGCTGCTTCAGCTGCCTCGGAAGCTGTCTTCGCTGCTGCGGTTGCTGCGTCTTAAGCCTCATCTGCAACATCCTCATAGCTGTAGCCGTAATCCTCGGAATCGCCGCTCTTATCCTCTGGCTCATCTTCCGTCCCAACGCCGTCAAATTCTACGTCAGCGACGCTAATCTGGACCGGTTCAGCCTCGATCCGAACAGCAACAACCTCCATTACAGCCTCGACCTCAATCTCACAATCCGTAACCCTAACCAACGAGTCGGGGTTTACTACGACGAGATCTCGGTTAGTGGCTATTACGGAGATCAGAGGTTCGGATCTGTGAACGTTTCGTCGTTTTACCAGGGGCATAAGAATACGACGGTGATCGGAGCCAAAATGGAAGGACAGAATCTGGTGGTGCTCGGCGACGGAGCGAGGACGGATCTCAAGGAAGACGAGAAATCTGGGATTTACCGGATCGGTGCGAAGCTAAGACTAAGTGTCCGGTTTAAGTTTTGGTTTATCAAGTCGTGGAAGGTTAAACCAAAGATGAAGTGTGATGATCTTAAGATTCCTCTCGGTTCCTCTAACTCTACCGGAGGGTTTAAGTTTCAACCAGTGCAGTGTGAGCTTGACATATCTTAGTAGTCCACTCCAACTTTTACCATGTCTTATTATTTTCATGTTTTTTTATTTAGTGTTGGGCATTAGATTTTGTGTTTTTTTTCTTGATTAGTTCATATGATTAATGGAATTATGTAGTAATGGTGTTTGGAGTTGGAAGATATATATTCTTGTTTAATTTTTTTCATATGGCTTCAACTTCTATGTGAAAAGATTTAACACTTAAGGATATGATTTTTTCATACATACAGTATGTACTTTTTGTTCAACTACACTTTAGAGAATTGCAAAACCAAAATCCACCATAAAATGTCTTTTTTTTTTTTTTGTGTGTGTGTAAGATTCATTGGTTCTTTACACTTTTTCTCTACGGAGAAGTCAAATCCAAATGCACTAAAAATATAATCGAATTAGACAATGACTAAGCTAAAGTGAAACACTTAAGACGCTGGATAGAAGAAATTAGGATTTCAAATTGCTTTGTGTGTATCGCACTAAAAGCAAATCCAAACGGCATAAAACAAAATACCTTTACTTTGTAAACTTTTTCTTTGGCTTTACAAACGTTTTCAAGAAATCAGAAAAGAAAAGTTTGTATTACCACGAAGTTTGTCGTCAAAATTAAAAAATATTCCAAGGTACAATGATTACATAAGTACCGATAGATGATATGTTTTTTTTTTTTTTTTTTTTTTTTTTTTTGCCGGCTCAGAGATAGATGATATGTTTTTTGTTCAGTTCTTATATATCTTTGTGTTTCACATTTGGTAAAAGTTTGTTTTCTCAAAAGAATTTAGTAAAAGTCTACTGTTTTATATATCACTTGTGATGAGTCAGCAGGACTCATGTCCTTAATGCTCTGTCGAGTCATATTTATATGCGCCGTCATAAATGTGGTACGCCTAGTATCTTCTTTTTCTCAAATTGCTTGAAATTCATCGCACCAAGTCGCATTGTGTTGTTTTCGTAGTATAGTATGGTCTCTAAGATCAACTATGTTCTATGTATCTCATAAAAATTCAAGACATAAGAACAGCCTAAACTTTTAGTAAACTTAGATAACTAAACGGAATCACACACAATGATAATCGAGTTCCCGATACAATTTGGTTCATATAGGTAATAACAACAAAATAAACTATAACCAAGTTAATTAGTAATGTACTAATGTATGAGGCGATTAAAGAGCTTCGAGCCAAAGGTGTTACTGCAATGGCCAATGATCGGGCCGTAACTATAATCGAAGTTTCAATGAACCAAACCAAATCAAAAGAAGTTTGGTTTTACGTAAATTCACAATCAAAGAATCCAAAACGTAACCATCTCTCCCTCTTTCACATCACCATCAGCGTCATCTACACGACTTATCACATTACGTCCTATTATATATGATGAGGTCTCTCGGTGACTTATTCAATTCAAATTGCCGGAAACAAAAATGACGACAAAAAATAATTCCGACAAAAACCCGTAAACAATTACGAAAACTGTTCCACCTAATCTGTAAAAAACTTAACACATCTGAGAGCCTTGGAAATTGAAACAACAGCTTCGGCTGCTGATGTCACAAACATCAATGACGTCATCCATATCCCGACCAGGAGATGGCGAAGGAGTGAAGTACGGAGGAGAGTCGCACGGCGTCAAGAACGGAGTTGGATCGCCGGAGCATTCCATCGGAACATCAAGTCGGAGTTCGCCATCATTATCTACCTCCACAGAGACCACATCATCAATATCATTATCATCTTCCAATTCCAAATCCTCTTCCTCGATTGTGAACAAAAGCCTCGACACTCGCCACTTGTCCGCCGCCGCCACCACATCCTCCTCCGGCGCCGCGGCACCAACAACATGCTCCTCCATCTGTACAGAAACAATTCCGGTTCTTGGCTCAATTCGAGACTGACGGTTCTTCTTGCAGCACATCAAGAATTGGAAAATAACCTCTTTACTTGCCGGAGACGGTAAAGATCCGGTGCGGCGACAAAAGATGTAAGAGAGTTCCGCGAGTAGGATGAGGAGGAAGAAGAGTAAAACGGCGAGAAGTACTGCGCCGGAGTTGGTGAGGGCATGCATTGTTTAGAGACTTTGAAAAAACAACTATGACCGGGTCGTAGACTAGTTAAAGCGGGAGTGTTGACCGGCGTTTACCGGTTACCGGTTGTCGGAGGAGGTTGGGTTGATGATGATTAATGATGTTGGAACTTGTTGGCAGGGGGACACATGAGGAACTTTTTACAGGTTGCATCAGCTTTTTTAAGGATCATAATTATCGTATACGTACTTATACATTAATGAAAAGACAAATGATAGTAGTTAATAGTTGTGTCCTTTGGTTTCTTTACTTGTCTTTAAACTCCGGTTTGTACTAAATATTAATGTATGTACAGTATTTGGAAAATATAGAGTATTCCATAAATTTGATTTGTCAATACATAATATGTTCTGTTCTGCCAAAGAAGATCACAAAATGAGTGCTAGTTCCATTTTTTTCTTTATATATAGAAATGGTTGTTGTTACATCATATCATATGTGGTCTGCAATGATCTTGATTTTTACCATTACTATGCCTTGCTACTTGTCTAGTGTATATGCATAGATAAGTGGAGATCTGAATATGAATGTGTAGGCTTAACACAATACGACTCCTTCATTAACGGAAAAAGGTTTTATTATATAGTTTTGATGACGAAGTGAGAATCAAACAAAGGATTGTTTTAGCGTACAAGAAAAAAAACTCTGCTCACATATAACAAAGATTTGTACCTTTTTGCTATCATAGTAGAGTTCCTAGATAGCAGAGAAGTACTCTTTGCTGAGTTTCGGGTCGGGTTTCATTGACTTCTCACCCGGCTTCCATCCCGCTGGGCAGACCTCATCCGGGTTTTCCTGGATGTACTGTAACGCCTGCAACATTGAAAACATGCTAAGCAAACTGCAGTTGGGTGAAAGGAAAGAGCGGTTTCGGAGTTGGGTGTATTACCTGGAGGGTTCTCATAGTCTCATCAACACTTCGGCCAATACCAAGATTGTTGATGGTTGAATGTTGGATCACTCCTTCCTTGTCGATTATGAAGAGGCCTCTCAGTGCTATTCCCTGTTCTTACACAAACAAAGTTTTTATCTTCAAGTTATCCCAAACACTTTTCAAGTTTAAAGGAAGCTAAGTGTAAAAGGCTACACAATTTACCTGATCATGGATGAGCACTCCAAAAGATTTCGAGATCGATTTAGTGACATCTGAAACAAGAGGATAGTTCAGATCACCAAGACCTCCAGATTTCCTGTCTGTTTGGACCCAGGCAAGATGCGAGAACTGCATGGACACACAAGAAGTAAGCATTAGTCGAGTAATTTGCAAACAGATAAGAACACTATTAATGTAGGTTCGACTTTTGGTGCTAGATTTTTCAATACCATCATAAACAAGGATGAGAAATCGAAATAACATTATAGTAATTGTACAGTTATACTTACCACACTATCGACAGAGACACCTAATACTTCTGTGTTCAACTTCTCAAATTCTGAGTACCGGTCACTGAAGGCAGTAATCTCTACAAGACAAAAGAAAAAAACGAGAGAAAGAGATTAGCACGCAGTGAATCTCGGATGTTCAATTTCACTATACTTCTCGAGCAATCCTAACCTGTTGGGCAGACGAAAGTGAAGTCCAAAGGGTAGAAAAAGAGAATCACATACTTCTTCCCAATGTACTCAGAGAGCTTAACCTGAAAAATACATCAATCACCAGTTAGTTTCGTGAACAAACCTAAATGTCTCAGATTAATTAGAAGCAGGAGCAATTCTTAGCATTATAAACAAGGAAGGTTCTTTAGACAATATACCTTGATGAACTCTTGATCGAAGACAGCCTCTGCCTCGAAATCAGGAGCCGTGTTTCCAACCAGTGGTGGAAGATCGGCCTATAAACACAAAAGTAAAACTCGTTAACATATCAAATCTAAAGAGCAAGATCAGTCAAAGCAACAGTCATAGAACATTATACTGCCAAAACTACATACTATAACTCATCGAACAGGCATATCAGGGGTAACGAGTTTAGCTAAAATGTCACTCAAATTCACTAAAGCAGAGATTCAAATCCTTTGTCCCTAATTCTGCAGTCATCACCACTAAGAACAAAATCAACAACCCTATAAGAAAATTTCACTCAAACTTCTGAAACATATAACCAATCAATCGCTAATTATTTTCCCCCAAACGCTAAACCTATAGAGCTAACGAGTAGGAAGAGAGTGAACTCTACAATAGGCTAATAAATTCCAATTCCAATCACACAGAAGGAGAAAGTATCAACATTGCGATAACTTACGGCCTGGGCCTTGACAGCCAAGCTCCGGCGAGAACTGGAACTGAGGGAAGAGCGCCGAGCAAACCCGGACCGGAGAGAAGCAGATGCGGAAGGAGAAGAAAGGGTTCGAAGGAAAGATACAGATGGAGAGGAAAGTGAAGACTTTACTGGAAACACCCTAGAAGAGGGAGAAGAGATGAGAGTGGTTGAAGAAGCTACAGACGCCATTGACACACACTTCGCGACTCTACTCTCTCTCTCTCTTTTTCTGAAGCTACAAAAGACTTATCTATCTGTCAAGCACCTCACTTTATAGTGGAAGTATGAGGTGGAGATAAGCCCAATGACCCCTAAACGCTTAAAACGACATCGCTTTAACGCAACGACGTCGCATAGCTATTGCTGAATAAAATGATGCGACTTGGTCTTCTTCTACCTTGGGTTACTCCGTCTCACCGTCGCTATCTTCCTCCGATCGGCGGTTCGATTCTCCAAAGTATCTACTCATGCTGTTTCAGGTGCATTGTTGTGCTCTCTTCATATTGTTTTACTGTTAAAGGCTTTTGAGTGTTTTAACAACTTTCTCCCCTCATGACTTTATATTAATGTCTAAAGTTTAGATTTTTTCACGCTTTCTCTCTAGTTTTCCTCTGTTTCTCAGTCTCGTATTTAAGTGGCTCTCTCATTATTTCTTCTTTTTAGTTCTAAGAGCAGATATAGGTTGAATCGCGTGACCGCAGACATGGAGACTCAAAACAAACTAATGGAAAAAGCTAGAAGACCTGTTAATTCCAGATTGTGCAGAGTTTCTGGGTATTTATCCATCTGTTTTTTTCTAAATTATTTGAAAAAAGTTTCAACTTTGATTATAGTTAAGCTTTTTAGTTTTGCATTTGTGATCAAGTTCGATGACGGAGATAATGGAGATTAAAGCTGAGAATCCCACATACCTTGTATTGTTTATCCCGGGAAATCCAGGTTTCACTTATGATTTTTATGCTCAAAATGTATGTGTGTGCATGTGCGCATGATATCAAAATTCTATATAATGTTTCAAACATTGGCTTGCTATTTTTTTTCAGGTGTTGTGTCATTTTACAATGACTTTTTGGAATCTTTATACGAGTTTCTTGATGGAAATGCATCTATAATTGGTATGGCCGCTCGAGTTACTCCAGATTTTGAGTTTGTTATCTTTGATTCCTTGTGATTGATTGGAAGATGTTTATTTATGAATTTTGTTTGGTTCTCCTGCTCTCTCTAATGGTGGACTGTTTTGTTTATTTGTGTAGCTGTTGGACAAATATCTCACACGAGCAAGGTACTACAACTTTGTTTCGGATTTTGCATGTTACTACTCTTCATATATATACATATCTTAGTTTGTGTTCTAAAGCTTGATAGCTCAGATTCGTGCTTTAATGATACTTGATTACTTGCATCCTTTTGGTTCCCCCTTTTTAGGACTGGGAGTCTGGGAGGCTATTTTCGTTTCAAGAACAAATTGATCATAAGGTAATAATGATTGTTGGAACAGAAGTCAGTTTCCTGATTGATCTTGGATTTGAAAGACCTCAAGTTCTTGAATCGTTTATCCGGTGAAATTAAGATCCTTAATCTGTTAATTATCATACAGATAGATTTTATCAGGCAGGAGTTGGAGAGCGTGAAAGTTCCAATAGTATTGGTAAGACTTATTGTGTAATGTATACAATGGGTTACACAACATGTTTCCATTCACATATTGCCTCTTATGACCAAATGTATACGTCCATTAATTGATGGATTCACAATTTTTCATGAAAATTTAAAACTTGAATCTAAATTGCTCTTGATAGGTTGGGCATTCTATTGGATCTTATATATGCCTTAATATATTGAGGAAGTTTTCGGAGAAGGTATAGACAGATTCCTCTAAGTGTAATACTTTCTCTATCACAATTTGCCATCATGTTATGTGATCTCTTATATCCTCTGGACTGCTTTGCAGGTGGTATATTGTGTTGGCCTATATCCCTTTTTAACGTTGAACCAACAATCAAAACAGCAATCATTAATTGGGAAACTTGCAGCGTGAGCTTTCGTCCTTGATATCTTATGAAATCATCTCTATTTAGAGTGTTGTGAAATCGTGACCAAACCATGTTGCAGAGATCAATAAGAAATTGTTGAAATTCAGGTCTTCTGTTCTTTCGGCTACAGTGAGTTTTCTGATTGCTTCACTGAGACTTTTACCTATGTCTGCTGCACGGCTGCTTGTATCCAACTCCATTGGAGCTTCATGGTCTGATACTGCTGTTCAAGCTACTTGCACTCACTTGAGGCAGGTATTAATTTTCTTCTTTCCATATTCACAGATTTTATTGGGTTTACACTTAAACCTAGTTGTATAAAATCCTTAAACATAGCCATTGCATCTTCTTTTATCGATTTTTTAAGTTCTTACACCGTACTCACTATTTAGGCGGGTTAACTTCATTTGATGCTTGTATTCTCTCTTATTTTTCTTTCCTTGCAGTATCACACCATGCGCAATGTTCTCTTTATGGCAAAGTCAGAGTTTACAGAGGTACTCTTCTTTCAACAGTGTGTCATATAAGAGTTTAGAGAGTCTCATTTTGAATTAAAAGTATGCAAGTGTTTACTCGGAAGCTCTAAAACATGATCTGCAGCAAAGCATTTTAGGTAACCCACTGTTTCATATTTGGTTTATAAGCTTGCAGTAGAGCCAGATTGGGATTTCATGAGAGAAAACCAGAGCAAGCTTGCATTTTTATTTGGCATTGATGATCATTGGGGTCCACTGCAACTCTTTGAAGAGGTTAATTAGTTTCCCTTCTCATCAGTGAATCAAAATGCATGTTCTGACACATGAAGGATAGTATCTCAGAGAATCTCCATTCTCCAGATTTCTAAGCAGGCTCCAGGTACTTCCTTATCTATCGAGAGGGAAGGTCACACGCACGGATACTGCTGCACGGTGGCTGGCTCAGAATGGGTTGCGCAGCACGTAGCCACTCTGATCAAGAACCGGTTTTCGCAGCTCCAGTAAAGTAGTACATTACCCTTCCTCTTCCTTTACACACAATAAACCAGTCTGTGAACATATGCATTCTAGACCATCAAAAGCCTTTTTAAAAAATGTTTGTTGTACTAATACAGAGTAGTTTAATATGTATTGGTATCTTGGAGATGGTTATGCAAAAGTGTTTGGTTTCATGTAACTCTTATAGTTTGTTGGGCATTATTAGATAGGAGAGCGTGTTGGTAAACCACAAATCCTCCTGCAACCACAAAAGTTGTGCATTAACTCGAATCTAAATCCAATAATTTACGCTTAGTAAGATTAAAGTTTTTGGGTTTGACATTCGAGTGTATATGTATTAATATTGGAAAAGGATGATTAGTTAACGCAATTGCAGAGCAACCACATAATATATATAACAGAAAATGAGGCTTTGAAGAATGAATGAGATTTGCTTAAATATGAAGGATAGATGCAACATAAAGGTGACATTTAGTGAAATGATAAATAAAAAGTAATTGTAGATAACCATATTTTATTTATTGCTTTGACAAAAGAAAATAAAAAAAAATGTAGTAGTAGTATCTTATTATATAATTGAAGGGTGGAATTAAATTCGTATTTATCATTTCTTACGTAACGCTCATAATTTCTCAACTGCCTCAATTACTATATTGCATTTATATTTGATTTCAATTACCTTTTAAATCTATTGAAACCTATCTGAACTACCCCCTCTTCAATTTTAACCAACTTTCACATTATGCAAATCATATTATAGATTTTCTAAGTTTATCATTTAGATTTTTCAGTGTTTTTTTCTTTGCCATTTGCAGAGGGTCTTGTGGACACACCTCCAAGTTTTTTTCTGTCTCTGACAAATCATGCAAAAGAAAAAGAAAATTTGTAAGCTACAAATCTAATTGGTTATTTTGGTAGTATATGTGACGGTTCAATGTAAATCATCCTCTTACGCAACAAAATTTTAAAAGATCTTTAACTTTGGTTCCTCAGGGGGACAAGAACTAAGATATGAACTCAAAATGGTCTTGTGGGGAGTCAAGTATTGGTACCCCAAACTCAACTTTCTATTAGGTAGGACCACAGAGACTAAGTTGTTTCATCTGGATGGATCCTAGTACTATAAAATTATCTTTGCTCTGTCTTTGGTGGACAACCAAAAAAACTCTTACCAACAACATTTCAATCACTAAAACGATATGTCTTCCTCTTTTTTATGTGTCTCTGCCTTGTTAAACAGTGAATCTTAATCAAGAAACAGAGGAAATTACTCTTTTACATCTTACAAGGAACAAAGATTGAGAAAACATAATCAAAGGAACTTTGAAGACATGTTTTAGAAACAGAGGATTCGAGACAGAAAGTACTGTAGTTAAACAGCTCCATGTACATAAAAGAGCTATTGGCTACAGATTTCTTGTGAGAGATTGACAAAAGGGTTACTGGGAATTCACCGGAAAAGCTAAAATATACTGACTGCATAGTAAAAAAAAAGAAAAAGGTAAATATGGAAACGAAACAACAACACATGTTTCATCATACTAAGGCATCATCAGTTATAAGAAAAATAAGCTTTCTTCCATTTTAAGCAAAGTTAGTGCTATTCAAGCTCCAGTTCAAGTCTGGTCTAAAACTGGAGCGTGATTAGCACTAGTCTAAAGACAAAACTACTAGAGAGAAAAATCATAAGGATAAACCATTAGTTTAGATCTTCGGTTTGAGATCCCTCCATTACATACACAAACCAAAAAGAAACACCAATCAATTTTCAGTTCCACCAGGTCTTCTTGCGTCTGGTGTTGGCAGCGGGAGCTGTTGCGGCGGCGGCGGAAGCGTTTTGGTGGAGGAAATCAAGAAGAACGGTGCTTTTGCATTTAGGACACTTAGGGTCATCTTCAGAGAGCATAACGTACATAAGGCAACGAGGGCAACCTACAAGAACCATTGAGGTTGTTGTTGTGTCGATCTCGTCTTCCTGGTTCGTCTCAGAAGAAACGCATGAGCTCGGTGAAGTCGTGTTGGATCGGGTCGGTGATAAAACAAGACTCATCTGGCTGGCTTGAGAAGGAGGCGGCGAAATATTCAGCCTCAGCTCGAGCTTAGGACCGTTCTTGTTCCTCCGGCTCATCGGTCTCTCTCTCTCTCGATCTCTTTGGGGGGGGGGGGGGGGGGGTTTGAGAAAGAGGTTTGGGTATTATTGAGGAAGTCGTCTTTCTTGTTGGTTATGCTTATGCCATTATATAAAACAAACACACAAAGTTGGTTAGAGAGAGAGGAGAGAGAGAGAGAGTCATTAAAGGCCTAATCTAATTATAATTAAATGATAGTACAACGATAATACTAGCTAGAGAGACTAGTCTTTAACTGCTAAAACAATTATTTTATATACATATAAAAATAAATGTCAATGCTGACATGTACGTTCTTTCAAAGTCGTGTTGGTAATTCTAATTTAAGTCCATCTCATTCTCATCTATGAATCTCGAGTTGTGTATTTCATTATACAGCAGAGTATATTTTTAAAAGGCATGACAATAATGAGTTTTAACTTTTAAAACTGAAAGTAATCGTACTTTAAAATCTTTAATTGCTTTAGATAGACATCTTCACTGACACGCAACTTAGTCGAGCTGAGCTGAGCAACATACGTGCTAGTTCTTTATAGACGTAAATTATTCATGCATTCATTCATTCTATTTGTGTACAATGATGTACGTCTTTATGTTTTAGTGTAATAAAGTAAATTGTCTATCAGTGTATGTATTTTTAGTTTTGTAAGATTTGTTTTCTGAATAAAAAGAAAAACAATATTTACTACATATTTATATTCTACAATACTAGCTTTGAATACTTTTGTAATATGGAGTATATATTATCAAGAAGGGAGAAATATTGAATAGTATCGGTTGACCGATGGAAGAGATATACAAAATAATACTAGTATTTCAAAAACGTATTAATGAAAAACAGATATACGTACATGTAAAGGTGTCTTAATCGAAGCAGGAAAGGAATTAAATGTATATTAATGTTAATCACAGGATTTTTACAAAATCTTCTAAAGAAACTTACAATATTTTTGGCTACACGTCGAAGTTAATTTGTTAAGAGTGAGTGACTCTGCAGCAAGCAATATCACGTAGCTTCACACCAAAAGCAAGCTATTAATATTGCAGTCTGAGAGTTAATTTCCCATGTGAAGTTATTTAATGAATTTTTATTTTATTTTTTATGTATGAAGAAATTGGTAAACACTAATTTATATACTGTACTATGCAATTTTAAAAACCAAAGATAATAAAAAGATACTTATTACAATAACACGGAAGAAGTAATAACTTCCGAACTACTAGTATAATAAAAGCTGGCAACCTTACAATTAATTTCATTTAATTGAAACTATGACCATGCTTTGCTGGATTTTTTTTACAATTAATGTTAAGAAGAGATATGTATGAATGAATGAATATATATACATACCAAAATATTCAGATTTTGTATCTTATATAAAGAAAAATATAGCAAACGCTGTAGAAAAGCATAGAATTAAGAAGAAAAACATTTATAAAGAGGCACACAAATAATAAGAAATTGCAGTCCCTTTTAGTCGAGATAATAAGTTAGATTTAATATTTATCTGTATTTTTTTACGTCAAACTGTATAGTAAATGCCCAGATGGGTGGTCATGAACTATACGTTTACATTTTAAACATTAAAAGTTCGAACGTATTACATGGATAAACGCGTGGATTATATAGTGTAAATACGGCTAATTAAATTAAATGCATGCTAGTTAATGATTTGGTTTCGTTGACTAAAGTTCCTTTATAGATACGTGAATCTTTCGAATTACAATTAAATATCGTTCGTGTAAACGACATGGGCAGACTAACTAACGATTTGATTACTTTAGACATTTTTGTTTAATTGGTTTGATAATCCTCTGCGTCACAAGTCACAACACAAAAACTACAAAGTAACAATTGTCACAAATTAAGAATATGAATGTGTTTCTAAACTGTTCGATAAGATATTTTGCTGTATATATACATCCACGATGTTGTTATCTTTTAGATTATCTTTTAGATAAAACCATATTGTTGCCCCTTATAAACTATGCAGCTAGTTCAGTAGATTCAGATACTTGAGATCATTAGTCACCTTTTGCTTTTCTGGTTTAGGAGATTCGTATCCTTGATCATCAGATCATATTTTCACTTTACTGATTTAGGAGTTTCTTATCTTGTATTAATCCCAGATCAATAAAATTGAGCTTCGCCGTTTATAATAAATAAAAAAAAGTTAAGAATCTTATTATATAGCTAGTCTTTCAAATTGAAACTGGGTATTAAGAATAAAGCCCAATTAAAAATCCAGGCCCATTAATTGTTTTACTATAAACAGATTTTGCAAGAGACGGCGGTAAAGAATGAAGGAACGATGGTGTTTTTTATGTCGTATCCGCCGACTCGACGGCAGTTAATGGTGTCGGTGAGCTTTTTTGCGGCGGGGGTTTCTCTCTTCGTTGCCGGAGCATATCTCTCACTCGCCAACATCGCACCGCAACAAGCTCGCGTCAAGGATCGGAATAAATTTGTCAAGGATCGAATCAGGAAATGGCTCGACGATTAGAGCTCAAAAATCGGTTTTTATTTTGATTATTAGTGTTTTTTTGGAGTCGTTGAGGATATAGGTTTACCAGAATCTCAAATGATCAGATCGGAAAGACAAGTTCGTGTAAACTCATGTTCTTACATGTCTGGATCATTACCAGTTCAAATTCATGTTTTTATGTCACTTACATATGAGAATCATCACTCTTGACAAAACGAGCGAACAGAGAAAGTGTAGATGTGAAATGTCTTTAGATTCTGTTATCTCTGGCGCTGAAATGTGAATAAAAATGTCCGAATCATGTTACCATCTTGATTTTCTAGCATTCTGGTTTTCTCCTTTCGCGGCATCAGATAACCGCGACTTCGAAACGGATCCACCGCGGAAGTTACTTAGCCTCGAACCTGAGACCAGATGATGATCTTTTGAAGAAGCCTTGTTTGGTTTATAAGCTTGCGTTTCATCTAAATACCCTTTAGGCTCAACCTCAATAGACCTTCCCCAATCCAATCCTCCATCTCCACTCTTTTGAAGCTTCTCGCTCTGTACAACCCAATCAACACAATCCGATATGCTTCTTTGTAGAGAAAGGCTTTTCCTTGGCGTTGCTTTCCTCCCTCTGTTCTCTTCACCATAAGGCCATTTATAGCTCTTGTTGTCAATGTTCAGTTCTATGGAATGAAGATCGCTTTCTCCTGAATCATCTTCATTTCCATCCTCGACCTCTCCGTCTTCGATGTTATATGAACCAAAACCGATGTGGTGGTTCAAGTACTCTCCTGTCTCTTCGTTATGTAGCTGAGTATGAGGCGGTTCACGGGTCTTCTCTTTGCATCTTTTCGCTTTGAGGTAGGTTTGAAGCTGATTCCTTAGCTTATCAACAGCTGCATTTTTCTCCTCGAGCTGATGCTTAGCTTCTGAGAGTTTCATTTGCACTCTTTCTTCCCGCAATGCATCTGCTAACTGCAACATCTCTCTTTCCTTTTCGACTTCTTCTTTGACTTTAAAAGATTCTCTCTTCAGTTCTTCAACTTCGGCTTTGTCTTCGCTTATGTCTCTTGCTAGTTCATCACAAACTTTCTCAACCATCACTCTCGCTCGCTTCTCGTTCTCGATTTCTTTCACTGCTTTCATCAGAGCTGATTTTGTTTCAGCCAATTCTTTGCCTAATTTCTTGTTCAAGCTCTCAAACCTTCTCCTCAGCTTCCTCTCCACTTCTAGTTCACCAGCCACAGATTCGATTGCAGCCTCAACAACTTCTTGCTCATTGCTTTTCCACGCTGCTTTCTCCTCAGCAAAACGCTTCATCAAGTAGCTGATGTCATTGTTTTCCGGTTTATGTTCATGGATTAACTGATTGACTTGTAAGCGAGCTCTTTCAAGCTCAGAATGTAAAGCAGAGACGAGGGACATGCTAGAAGATGGGCGGTCATCTTGACCCCACATTCTATTAATGATTTTGAGAAGCTCTTTTGATGTAGTGAGAGCGTTACTACAATCCTTCAACCGTGTTTTGACTCCCACAGTTGAACCAGTCGGTGTCTCCACCCGTGATCGAGTCTCAATCTGCATTGAAAAATAACATGTGAAATCTTTTCGTACATAGCTTCCTTGCACACGCATATGGATTGGAGTTAAAACAATCTAATCATAACCAAGTCAGTATCTCCTAGTTGATAATAGCCTTCCTTTTATGAGGAATTTATGTGCTTAAGAAGCAGAGACTGTATGTATGTAGGCGACCAAAGGGAATTAGAAACTCCACATACATAAACCAACAAGTCTCTCAGCTTCTCTCTGGCAACTATCAGCCTATAGAGCCAATACTCTACACAATCATGCACATTCTTCCAGTAGCAATTGATATAACAGCTCAATTAAATACCGAATGGTCTGACAAAAAATATAAAAGCTGCACATAGAAAAGTTTCTCTATAATGCTCAAAGAAACAGCCCCAAAAGTGAAACAAAAAAAAGCAACTAGCTTACATCCATGAAGCTGCCATTGCTAATAGGATCCCTAGCCCCCACATTGCAGTCTCCAAGCCTAAGCTTCTGCACAGTTGATGATGGTCTTCTCTGGCGACTTCCAGTCCCTGATCTTTCCATCCTCTACAAAAACCAACAAGTCTCTCAGCTTCCCAATTACTCGAACACAGAAGTGAAAATACAAGGAAAGCCAAAACACTTTGCAATGTCCATAGCTAGATTTAGCATGATATATAACGAACTTTCTTAGGTCTCAATTATAAGAGAATCTAGGCCTACATTATTCACCAATAAATCAACCTCTAAAAAACAACAAACCAACTACCTCCATAAGACGAACGAATGAGAGAAAAAGAAATGGAAAACTAGTAGAAGTGCACAATTATGCAAGAATAATCGGCACCAACTTATAAAAGAAACGGCCTTTCATATGATCTTAAAAGTGCGTTTTAGAAGAGCACATGACAAAAGATTCCTGAAAATCAAAACAGTTTTCTATTCTTCTCTAATCCCACTCCTTAACATCAATCAAGAAGCTTTAAGAGAATGATTCTCCCTTGATGAATAAAATACTCATAGAGGTTGCCAAAAGATCACAACTTTGACTAAATTCAGACCTCAGAATCACACAAAGATTTATCAATTGAATCAGCTAAAGAGAGACGATGAGAGATCTTTCATCTTTATAACTTCCCGAATCAATCAATTTTATATACACACATAATTTATAATAGTTTTCTCTCTCCGTTGATCGGTCAGAATTAAAGCACATGGCAGCCAGCAAGAACTTGGAATCACAGCACATTCCCTTCACAAGTTTTCCTCAACCAATCATAACAGTTACCTCAGAGACTGGACTATGCGAAGGATCAGACAGATGAGGCGGTAGGGAACCAGAATGAACCGACGACCTCGGCGGAGGAAGCGGCGCGATTCTCTCCTTTCTACTCTTTCTAATAATTGGCACAGCCGCCTCCACCACTCTCGGCGAAGGCATCTCGTTCATCTCCCAAAACGTCGCCGCAAGCTTCCTAGCCGAAACAGGAGCAGCAGCTGGAACTTTACCGGATTTGCTCCCGCAGTGCGACGGAGACGCAGCGGTGTGTAAAGCACCGGAAGCTCGCGAAACGGAAGCTGGAGACGGAGATCGGCCCATGAGTCGCCATGTAGGAACAGGAGTAGTGGATCCTCCTCTTTTACCAACAACAATCGCTCTTTTGAACCTGTAACCTTCCCGGAGAATCGAAGAAGTGGACGACGTCGGCGAAGAACATCCACGTTTCCTAATTTTTCCTAAGAGAAGTAGATTCTCTACGCTTTGTTTCTGCCTCGACATTTCAAAACAGTCGTAGATCTCCTCTCTTTACCTGTATTTGAAAAAGAAATTAAAATTCACCGATCTGTAAAAAAAAAAAAACACAGCAGAAATACAAAATCGAAGTTTAGGAGAAGAGGAGTGAAGAAGAACACTTACAGAAAACTTAAAAGCATTTCTATGGATTCTTGTTGTTGTGGAGAAGATGAAGATGGATTCAGAAAAGTGAAAGACAATTGGGAGAATTTGGAAAGGAAATGGCGGTTGCTGTGTTTTGAGGTATTCTCTGATCAGAGTAGTGTACGTGTACAGAGTGTTATGTTAAAAGTGTAAAGGGGAAAAAGATGACGGAGTGCTGATCTTCTGTGATAAGGAACACTGTAACTAGTCCACGTGCGTCGATCTTTATGGATAATTTAAGTTGATCCGTGATTTACAGGTTGGATCATTTGTTAACCGAATTAAGCCGAAATAATTCAAATCGCAAAACCGAAAATCACTTTACTGCATTTAGAAAAAACCGAGGATTCTTTTGTGAAGTACTAAATATGATATAGTATAATTTAATTAATATATATGCTAAGAATTAGGATGAAATCGATCCGACACTAACACTGGTTACTGTAGTTTTGTTTATCATATCAATAAAAGTCAGAACTCAGAAGTTCAAGTCAAAATATACTTTTAGGTAACGTACGTATATATATAGAGAATAATTTGGTTCTCAGTTTTGGTTGAGTTCGGTTATTTGGTTTGTTTGTCTTCTAATGTTACAGCCGAATATCAAAACTGAAGTTTGGGGTCGGATCGATTTTAATAGTCTAAATCTAATTAATATCCACATTTCACAAAGTTCAGACCCGCAAATGTCATATATAAAACCAAAACATTATATCATAGGTAAGTTGATCGTGAGTCTTGAAGTTGTATCCATACTTTACAAAAAGATCGAGGGGGCTAGTTGAGAACAATTATTGTTTAAGGGAATAATTAGTGCATCTAGTTTTATATTTGAACAAGAAATAGTACGCTCGGCTCGTATATGATATAAACGAAGTAATATGAGATTATGAGATCGGATCGTGTTTTGTACTGTATAGGCTTTCTTAAACCATTAGATTTGTTATTTGAAATGGTATTTGATTGATAACTTGGCCATCAATAACGCATATATATGGTTAATATAGCTAGTTAAGCAACATATATATATATTGTTATTTTTATGTGATTACATATGCAATATTACATATGAATAGTAATGTAATTGATATCAACAATTTGTGAGCACATTGTAAGTCAATTGAGTGAATCGATAAATAAGACCAATAAAGTAATTAATCTACTACACCTTAAGGTATACGTTGTTCTTTTTTTACCGGAACCAAGATTTTTTAGGTTTAGGAATTGGTTTGGTAGACACTAGACACACAAAAGGTTGTTACCGGATGTCGTGTTAATCTCTCATGCTTATGACTCAATAAAATAAATCTCATATGATAATGTTCCAATGTAGTGTACCCCCGATTTCTTCTGTCTATTAAAAACGGTGAGAGTGAGAGTGAACCGGTGTGCTTATACATTACTCATTACAAAATGGATCTATTGATTATTCCCCTAAGTGTTTAGATAATCATTTCAATTGGGTTTTGTTGTTGGATTTTCTACATTTTCGAGTGGACATGATTCGACGTCAAGACCAGTGTGCCAACAATAACTTTAACTGTTTATAAACGATACTGTGTGCTGTTTTTTATCGGTGAGGATTTGTAAGTTATTACTAGTATAACTAGCTAGTACTACTACTTGTTTTTAGGACCAAAAGTAATTGAGTAAATTTGTTCAAATCATTAATGTTGCAAATATACATTTGTTTTCTGTGTACTTTCTGACAGCACATTTTGTTACTATTAATGGTGAATCCGGAAAAAAATAAACTCTATATGAAAAGACAATTCAACCTAGAAGTAGTAGTTACCTTGGATCTACATAGTGTCAAAAAAAAAAT